AAATGGGATAAACCGTTTCCTATAGATGACAACGTAAATATGTCGTTAACGCAAAACGTAAAAATCCAAGGCCAGCGACGGGCAGCAGCATCAGAGGTGCAGAAAGGACGGTACTGCGGTCGTCAATTCGCCTGATGAACGTGACGATTAATGCAATAATATTTTCTACAATGATAAAAGTCGATAACTAGCAGTGCACTATTTAGGTTCACATTAGAAGGACGTACGTAACGTGTCAGGCGTAAATAACAAATATATTTGTACTACCATTCCAATTTATTCAAAAATGCATATAATTAACATTTCACTCAAATATCACTTAACATTGCGCTTTTTGGTCTTACTCTTGTCCATCACTACCACTGGAATTTATAGTGCGGGGGCGTAAATAATATTTTCACCGTAATAATTTTTTTTAATTGAAATTGTCATTTAATTTTAACGCATCCGCATGTTTATGGATCTTTAAATGAAGAAAAATGACGGACAATTTTTGCTATCAAGAGATGAGCAGCAGTGCCTCTTTAATCAGATCTAGAAAATAAAAAATAAAACGGTCCCCAACTCTGTCAAGCAAAATAATTATTTATTATTATAATTTATTTATGATTTATTATTATTGGTAGACTTGTTTAGCAATGGGCTTTTGATCGGCAGTAAAGTTGATGATGATGTTTAAATAAAAATGAATTAAAGCTTGTTAGTTGGGGAAGTTAACAATATGGCAACATCTTTTATTAAACATGCATACCGCCCATGTTAAACACCGGCATTTAAATTTACTAAATTATTTATTTTCTTCTTTGATATCAGTTTTTTGAATAATAACCTAAAAGATATTAAAAAAATAAGCTCATAAAATATAGTACAACTTGTGGACACTCAATAATTCTAGCTCAGCAACTACTATACAAGAAATTTATATATATATATATATATATATATATATATATATATATATATATATATACCAATTAAGTAATATGTTGGATGGAATTCTTGGATCCAATTACAATGTATCAAGGGAAGAGTAAATTGACTTCTTATTAAGTTAAGTCGCTTACCATATTCTTTTACAACTTACCATCAGGTGGGATAGTAGTATAGCTATGGTTTATAATAATAAAAAAATGACATAAATAAAAGATAATCAGGTGTGGTACTTTGACTAAACCGTGCCACGCTGTCATATAATGTCTTGCATATCTAACAACATATAGATCTATAGATAAATAAAATTGAAGTGTCTTTCTATGATATGTATGTCGATATGAATAACCATTTTTAAAATTTTTGTTTGTTTGTCTTTGAGGCTATTGAAATCAAAAAACATCCTAATTTCAATAGAGAAGATGGCTGGGTGCTACCATCTGCTTGGGATCCTATAATAAATAAAATTAAATCCCAACCCAAGCATACAACTGCAAGACTTCAAGATACCATAAGTTCATACTGCATAGATCGGAACAAAAGTTAAATTTTAATCTATGGTAACCGCGGTTAACTATGACATATGGACGTTGAACATCTCAGTCCTGCCCGTGACCATGAGTGCTGTAAAGCGTTCGAAACGTCGGGTAATTAAAAAGTTAAATACACGCGATAAATTCCGTAAAAACTAGTATTATTTCAATGTGTAGTATTCGCGTAAATATAAGAAATCATTTGTTTGTCTGTTTGTTTGGCTGAACAGATTTTAATAAAACTTCACGACTTTTTATCCGAAATAACTCGAGACGTTTAGCTAAATTAAAAACTTATAAAATAAATGGTCTCTAATGATTATCATAAATATGAATAAAGCCACATAATAAATCCCATCCAGATGAATCCGTGGTGATTCGTTTCTGCATAATATTTATTGAAGCGAATCTATCAAGCTTTCAGCGGTTCACCTTTACTAAACGTGTCAGCTGAAGAATTGCTAACGTCTGCGGTTGCTAGGCGACCACATCCGTCTAAATAGCATGCCCGTTATGAGCCCGATAGGCCTTTAGATTGAACAATACGCTTACATATTCAAACAGAGAATTTCATAAGCAATTATATGATGAGCTGAATAATTAAATAATTATTAACCCATTAATATAGACGTAGAGAAGTGACGATCCTACCGATCACTGGTATTTTTTATAGGATAGGTTGACAAGCAAGCACACAGTCCACCTGATGGTAAGTGGTTGCTGTGGTCCATAGACATCTACATCTATCCTCGATTACGAATAAAATGCAGATGCGTTGTCACCCGTGAGGGCTAAGATGGAATGCCTCGTTTCCAGTAAAATGGGTCTCCGGTTCCTTACACTCACCATACGAAACACAGCAGCATTAAGCTACTATTTTACGCTGGTATTCTGTGAGAGCGTGGTCCTTCCCCGGTCGAGCCGACCCATTCGTGCTACAACCGTACTACTAATATAATTGTAGCAAGGCTATAACTGTAAAATAAAAGAAAACAGAGTTAAAATTACTTAGCAAAAATCCGTATCGCAAAAAGTGAAATAGTGTTGCATTTAATGATTTGTACGATTGAACCGTGTAGTATATATGTATATCCCGTGGGTTTCGTAAGAGGCAACAGAGAGAAATTGAAACAGGACGAGAGCGGCAGAGTCTTCCTAAACAAAAACTTCACTTGGATATAATCCAATACAAAATTGAGTAATATTTAAGTGAAGGAAGAAGTGTCTTTCTGAGTTCACCGTGTATTGGTAGACTTATTTCTGTAAAAAAAGTGTCTTACTAAAAGTCCCACTCCTGTCACAGGCCTCTCGTTCCTGAGATGGTTTTAGGGCAAGGAAGTGTCCACCGCGCTGCCAAAATGTGAGTTAGTGTAATTGACGCGTCTCCAAAATTAGTTTCTTTTTTTTTGGGTGTTTTTATATATATATATATATATATATATATATATATATATATATATATATCTTAATTTCAAAACTTTTAAATTGGTAGTATAGGTCCGTTAAAATGATATAGCCATGCTGCAACTATCATAGTTATAACACGAATGGGTCGACTCGATTGGGACAATTCTCTCTAAATTCTGCTGTGTTTCTTATGATGAGTGCTGATAACCAGAGATCTTTTCTACTGGAAACGAGTAGTTCCATCTTAGTCCTCAGGGGTAACAACGAATCTGCATTTTGATTCATAATTAAGGATATATTATGTAGACGTCTATGAGCCACAGCTTCCACTTACCACCACCAGGTCGACAGTGTGCTAGTTTGTCACCCTTATTCTATAAAAAAAATAACAAGTAGTATTTTTCAGGATTGGACCGAAGAAAAAGAGTGAGAAGAAACCTGTCAGAGAGTCGACTCATAATCACTCAACACTTCATTGAACGGACTATCACGCCAGGAGGTGACGTAAGTAAATATTTTTCATCATTATTATCAATGCCTATCAAAATTTCACTGCTAGAACAAAGGACTCCCCCAGTGGGTTGGTAATCGCGATTCATTTACATTTCACCTGATGGTAAAGGGCTACTGAAGTCCGTAGACATCTCCAGCCAACTTCAATGAAAGAAGATGGAATTCCTCATAGCCTGTACAATGGCGTAGCGTGGGTTTTTGCCGCCCGGGGCCGCCTGGAAATTAACCGCCCCCCCCCCCCTTTATTATTTTAATTTAAAGTTTAAATATTTTATTCAACGGAATTAAAATACGTCGTATAAATTCTTGAGAGTCAATATAAACTACCACTGATTTGGAAGGAACATACATCTGTTAGATAAATTATCATTATGCAATATTACTTAGCACTTCTATGAATCTATTTCAAACTACCTACATTAATTCTAGAATTGAGTCACAATATAAAAGCGCGTACACTTGACGCTCGCGGCAGTTGATTATGAACAGTGGTGCTGAGAAGGTTATAATAGTCAATTATATTGTGAAATAAGGTGATACTAAAGGTTGTGATTAAAGTTAAATTAACATATAATCTTCTTTGTGAAAGTAAAGTATAGTGTGTTATAAAGTATTATATACAATTTAAGAGTGAAATTAAACAACGAACATAGTGGTTAAACAGTTAACTAAGTGAGTAGTCGTGGTTTTATTGGAGAAAAGCTGACACATCTATGGGAAGAAATAGCGCGAGAAACCCACAGGAAAGGAGACAATCAATTTTTCTATGGAGAATCTTTTAAAATGTCGGATTGTTTACAAGGCATAACTACATACTAACTTAACACTAGGTACATACAACAATAAATAATATTAATTAAGACATGCAGGAGGTCGATGAATGCAGGTGGCTAGGGACCGTGCTTTGTGTCATTCCTTGGGCCTATGTTTCAGAAGTGATTGTTTTGTTTGATTGAATAACTGGGTACTCGCTTTCGCTTGATGGTTGGTTCGCCGCCGCAGTGCCGGCCAGCCGGACGCCGGGTGGTTGTCGTTAACACTTTGGCAGTATTCAACTTCATCTCGCCTCTTCTCTTACGCACCCGTGCAGTTTCGCTTGACACGTAACATTGCGGGCGCAGTTTAGAGTTAATTTTATTGAACAAATCGTAGCGCTTGCCGCGCCCCCTTTTGTATGCTGCCCGGGGCCATGGCCCCCTCGGCACCCCCCACGCTACGCCACTGAGCCTGTAATTATATTGGGTCTACAGTATAAGTCTTAAACATATCGTAGCCTAGTACTGAGTATTAAAAAAAATGCATTGTGCGAGCTATATTGTTTCAAATTGGCTAAATTGAAGTCTTAGACCCAAAGGCTGGTTTGCCTTCTGCACCTAATAATATAACGCGGCTCTCAAGTGCTGGTTTGAATATACATATCCTATTTTTTCATAAACCATTTGGTTACATAGACCATTATCTACCAAATGCCATGGAAAAGTTTTAACATTACTCATATTCACCTCTTACTATACCGGATAAAATCGAATGATGGAATCACTCGCAACGCTTAGCTTTCTGGATACGGATTTTATCGCGTATAAAATCGCGCATCATTTATATCTTTTTCAGATAAGCATGCAATGTGCAGCCTCCGGTGACAAACCGCCGCAGTTTACATGGGAAAGAGATGGAGTCACAATCTCTAGCAACACAGACCCTAGGTAGTATCTATCACAAGTAATTTTCCTTTAGCATAATTATACGTTTCTTTAATGTAGCATTGTATCAATTGTTGGTAAAGACGATAAAAAGAAAATACCCGTATTTCCTCAAAAAGTTTTTATATACTTCTATCATCATATTCCGCCACAGTTACAACCCCCTTAAAGGACTGCTCAGTGAAGAGTCCCAGAGATAAAAAAATATTAAAACTACTTTTACGGATTTTATCGCGTTTTATTTATATTAATTTTAATACCCGACGTTTCGGGTGTTTTCCAGCACCCATGGTCACGGGGTCTGAGGTGACTGACGTCCCGATGACAAAGTTAACCCGGAATACCTTCAGCTTTTTAATTATTGTCTTTGGTCCGATCTACGCAGAATGAACTAACTGTATTTTGATGTCTTGCAGTGGTATGCTTGGGTTTAGTTTTAATTTTATTAATTATAGGATCCCAAGCAGATGGTAGTACCCATCCTCCTTCTCTATTGAAATTAGGATGTTTTTTAATTTCAATAGCCTCACGTATCATCCTTGGTAGGAATCGATGTTCTTTCACGAGGATTTGTGGTCTATCAAATCTGATGTAATGGTTGGGGCCATCTAGAATATGATCGCAAACTGCAGACTTCCCGGAACGTTGATGCTTCACGTCAGCTATGTGTTCTTTTATGCGGGTTCTAATTGATCTCTTTGTTTGCCCTATATATGAGAGACCACAATCACAATCAAGCTTGTACACTCCTGCATCTTGTAGAGGAATATGACACTTGACGGATGGTAAGAACTGACTAATCTTCTTCGGCGGCTTGTAGAATGTTCTAATAGAAGCTCGCTTCAAGATGTAGCCAATCTTGTCTGTGACACCTCTGACATACGGTAGTATAGCAGGCACACGCTCGACTGTGGCCGGCTTCACTCGGTCACTGTGACGGAGGCGCGGGACCCGAAGCTTGTTGTCGTGCAGAACCTGCTTTACGCGTTGAAGCTAGGTGGCCAGGTGTTTGCTGTCACGGATCCCTCGTGGTCTCTGAAACAAAGATTTGCCCACGGTAGCTAGCTGTGAAGGATGATGGTGAGATTCACCATTTAAGTATCGGTTTGTATGGGTCTTTTTTCTATACACAGTATGACCTATGGTGTTGTTAGGATTTCGGATGACTAACACATGTAGGAAAGCTAAGGAATTATTTGCCTCTAACTCCATAGTAAATTGAATTTTAGGGTTTATGGAATTAAGATGTTCTAAAAATGCAGTTACTTTGTCTGATGGTAAAATTGTGAAAGTATCGTCTACGTACCGCTTGTAGAACCTTGGGGTAACAGGTGCAGTAAGGAGGGCTTTCTCCTCAAAGTCTTCCATGAATATATCGGCGACAATGGGAGATACAGGTGAGCCCATCGCAACACCATCTACTTGCTTGTAAAACTCTTCCTTCCACAATAGATAGCCAGATGTAAGGCAATGTCTTAGTAGTACTGCATATTCTGGTGGCATGTTATTTTCATCTAGTTTCCTAGTTATAATTGAGATGCAATCTTCAACAGGTAGGCATGTAAATAGAGACTGAACATCAAAACTGACCATGGTTTCATTGTCAGCAAGACGTAGGTCTTTTATCTCACTGACAAAATGGTATGAATCCTTAGTATGTGCTCTTGTGTGTCCTCTGAGTGGTTATAATATTTTGGCTAAGTGTTTAGCCAATCTGTACGTTGGCGAATCGATTTAACTCACTATTGGACGTAACTCCATTACGTCCAATAGTGAGTACGTAATGGAGCGTTAGGTTTGTGTATTTTTGGTAACCCATACAACTTGGGAGGTTTTGCACAAGAAGGTATCATCGAATTGACGTCTAGATTCAATTTCTCGGAGTATTTCGCCGAGCTTCAGCGCGTCAAGCAGGTTCTGCACGACAACAAGCTTCGGGTCCCGCGCCTCCGTCACAGTGACCGAGTGAAGCCGGCCACAGTCGAGCGTGTGCCTGCTATACTACCGTATGTCAGAGGTGTCACAGACAAGATTGGCTACATCTTGAAGCGAGCTTCTATTAGAACATTCTACAAGCCGCCGAAGAAGATTAGTCAGTTCTTACCATCCGTCAAGTGTCATATTCCTCTACAAGATGCAGGAGTGTACAAGCTTGATTGTGATTGTGGTCTCTCATATATAGGGCAAACAAAGAGATCAATTAGAACCCGCATAAAAGAACACATAGCTGACGTGAAGCATCAACGTTCCGGGAAGTCTGCAGTTTGCGATCATATTCTAGATGGCCCCAACCATTACATCAGATTTGATAGACCACAAATCCTCGCGAAAGAACATCGATTCCTACCAAGGATGATACGTGAGACTATTGAAATTAAAAAACATCCTAATTTCAATAGAGAAGGAGGATGGGTACTACCACCTGCTTGAGATCCTATAATTAATAAAATTAAAACTAAACCCAAGCATACCACTGCAAGACATCAAAATACAGTTAGTTCATTCTGCGTAGATCGGACCAAAGACAATAATTAAAAAGCTGAAGGTACTCCGGGTTAACTTTGTCATCGGGACGTCAGTCACCTCAGTCCCCCGTGACCATGGGTGCTGGAAAGCACCCGAAACGTCGGGTATTAAAATTAATATAAATAAAACGCGATAAAATCCGTATAAGTACGTGTAGTTTTAATCAATGTATAGTGTTCGCGTAAATATAAGAAATCATTATAAAAAAATATTTTACAGAAAAGGAATTGTAATATCATATTTATACAATTTACTAAGGAAAGAAAGAAAAAAACATTTGTATTTTATTTCTAAGAAATGCCTGTTTTCTCACGATGTTTTACTTCACCGCCGAGCATGTAGTAAATTAGCAATTAAAATAATGGGTGCGTTTGGCAGAAAAAAGCGCTAGCAAGCGCTTGTAAGCAAAATGGCGATCGTAAGCAGTAAGCGCTGTCAAATCGTAAGTAGCTATTTTCCTCCAGGACACGATGTTAGTTTTAACCGGGGAACCTAACCTAATTTAAATATATGTTTGTAAAGTATTCATATTAAAAACTTACCAATCCTGAATTTTTAATAACATGTATATGTCTATTCATGTCATTATATTACTTAAAACTAATTTTACACAAAACAACTTTAAACGCTACTTCAAAATAAACAAATTAAATAAGCAAAATGGCGGATTGTGTCAGCGCTACTGAAGTAGCAATCGTGTCCTGGCCGAAAACTATTTTAGCGCTTGTAAGCGCTTGCTAGCGCTTTTTTCTGCCAAACGCACCCAATTAAAACTAACAATTGCATTGGTGCCGATGGGTATCTAAACTTCGATCAACATTGTTGATTGAAGTATCTAAATGAGATTATTCGCGTACTGCAAAAGATATTACAGTGAGCCCTTTGTCCCCAGAGTTACGACTGTTTATGTGTTTTTGTTTTATGTGCGTGTGTACCTTTTTTTTCTTGGTATGGTAAGCATGTATGCTTACTACATTATATAATTAATCATACTAAAGAAAAAAAGAGAGGAAGGAAGACTAGAAAAGGCTTATACATGGCAATAAATTAGGATTCTGTTAAAAAAAAGTGTATTTATATCTAATTTAATTCTTTTTTTATTCATTGCATCCATTACAGCTTATAAAAGTCGAATCGTGACGAATAAGTACACAGCCCACAGATAAGTGGATGCTGTGGCTTGTAGACATATGCAGATGCGTTGTTACCCCTGAGAATTTAGATGGAATGCTTCGTTTCCATTAAAAAGGGTATCCGATTCTCTACACTTACCATACGAAACACAGCAGCATTAAGCTGCTATTTTACGCTGGTGTTCTGTGACTGATCCCAACCCGGACCTCTACTTCGGAGGGAAATTGCTATAGCTGTCACGTTTGACAGACGTGTTGACAACCGCAGTTTATAATAGTTTTGAGTTATAATCAGGAAGATGCTGTTAGAATATCCTGTTTCAGTTTATTCTTGTCGCCTCTTACGACACCCACGAGCCGACACGGGATAGTGAATATTACTATCCCGCCACACGGTTAATATCTATTGCATAAAATAGTGTGAATTATAGCAAATTGTATTGTATTTTTCAGATACGCATTAGGTCAAGTGATGACATCAGATAACTCAGTAGTCACTCACTTAAACATTACGCGGGTAAGAGTTGAAGATGGAGGCTTATACTCTTGCACTGCTAAAGAGGGAGACCATATCGCTGCGTACGAAAATCGACTCGATATTTATGGTATGGCTATACCATCTAATAACGTATTGTTTAAATATATTATAAATTTATAAATATATTATTAAAAGCCCTCCTGAGGCAACCTATAAGGTTAGGCTTTTCGTCGTTGCCACGCTTGGCAAGCGGGTTGGCGACCGCAATTTTATTATTTGTAGTCTTTATTGGGAAGGCACTGCTGCCCATCTCCTGATCTGTTACCCACTGTCGCCTCTTTCGGCAACCACAGGATCGTATAGGGTAATGGATATTCTTACAGCGCCCCTAAATGATAAACATTACGCATAAAAAATTACTATTTATTTTCCAATAATTTTACGTCTGCCTGGAAAAATGAGAATAAAATATTCAATTTTCAGGTCCACCATACATCAGATCTCTTCCTCCAATAAAGGTCCAAAGTGGAGAAGCTGTGAATTTGAGATGTCCGTATTACGGGTACCCTATTAGGTAATTCTTTCATAATTAATAAATCATTTCGATTTAAGTGCGTACTCATTTTAATTTGAGTAAATAACGCTTGTGTTTAATGTCAAAAAACTAGGAATTATTACTTGGTACTTATTTTCATTATGGGCTTGATTCACTGTAATTATTAAAAATATGAAATCCGTAATTGCAAATATATTTTTAAAAGCATACAAACAAATTTACTGAATTAAAACCTTTAAATAATACTTATTCATCTATTTAATATTATTATTCATTAGCCTTGGTACCTATCTAATATTTATCTTAACTGAGCTTTTACTTAAAAAAAATTCTTACAGACAAATTTCTTGAAGGATAAACGTAAATATTTCAAAGACAACAATATACCGTCAAGCAATATAAGGGAAACCTGTTATTGGCCATACTTTTAGTTTGTTATAATATTTTCTGTATACGCTGTTAAATAAACTATCGATCGATAGTTTATTTAACAGCGTATACAAAACTACTCTTTTACAATGTGTAGTGTTCGCGTAAATATAAGAAATCATTCTCTAAGCAAACAACTTTATTTCAGTAAGATAGACTGGGATTATAAAGGAAAAATTATAAACTCCAACAACATATTCCAATCGAGATATAAGCGTTATTTATCGAAAAAACGCAAAACCAGAAGAAACGTGGTCAACATGCACGGTGTTCTGACGATACCTGAAGTAACGAAGGAGCAGAATGGCGCAGTATACACATGTATAGTAACAAGTCCTTCGGGTGAAATGGCTAGGAGAGCTTTCGAGATTCAAGTCATTGAAGCACCCATCTTAGAGGATTTGCTTTTGGGAAACAATCTTCAAGAGGGACAAATTGTAAATATTTATTGTAACGTTAGAAGCGGCGATCTACCGATACACTTCGAGTGGCTCAAAGATGGCAAGAGAATACCGAGTAGTTTAAAGGTAAAGTTACATAAATTATGAAATAGTAAATTACAAGGTTTTATCATGTTTTTTTATAGAATAAGTGTAACAAACAATCGCACAGTTCACCTAATAGTATGTGAATGTTGTGGCTCACAGACATCTACGTCTATACTTCGCCAAATACGAAACACAGCAATATTAACATGCTATTTTACGCTGGTATTGTGTGATAGTGTGGTCCTTCCCGGTCTTGCCGACCCGTTCGTGCAACATGATATAGCGTGCGGTGTGTCTCTACCACATATAACAACCACGTTTCAACTCGCATGATTTTGATTTACGGATTGAGATGTTTCAAATAACACACAGTTTACGTGGTAGAGCCATGCTGCAGTTATATTAGTAGTATAGTTGTAGCACGAATAGGTGGGCTTGACCGGGGAAGGACCATGCTTTCGCAGAATACCAGCGTGAAATAGTAGCTTAATGCTGCTGTGTTTCGTATGGTGGGTGTACAGAACCGGAGATCCTTTTTTACTGGAAACGAGGCATTCCATCTTATCCCTCACGGGTGACAACGCGTTTGCATTTCGATTCGTTATCGCGGATATATGTGGGTGTCTACAGTCCGCAGCAGCCACTTATCATCGGATGGACTGTGTGCCTGTTGTCACGCTGTGCTATAGAAAAGTTTATAAAATTCTTTGATTTTTTTATAATATTTAAGTAGCAAACATACGTTGAGTCCACCTGATGGTGGGTGCGTTTGGCAGAGTGAAGGTGTAAGATGGGATTAGTAAGGAGGCCGGGGAATAATATTTAATGTTTGTAGTAATTTGATATAACTATATGTTTCTGTTTTTAACTTTTGACCTTTTTTTACTCACTTGGTGAAGGTGCGCTCGTTTGGCTTATTTTGGCACCCGGTGAATAGCTACTGCAGTCCATTTACTTCTGGAGCCAAATTCAATTTAAGAAGGCTACTGATGCGTTGTCACATCTGAGGACTAAGGTAAAGTACCGCACAGCCTGTAATAAACTGACTTAAAATTTACTTCACATAATTCTTAACGCTCTGATTAACCGCAAACAGTTGGTTATCAAAACCACGTCCATCAATCACAAAATCAAGACTCAGTTGTACCGCCCGCAATAGCAGTTGACATTTTGGGAAATAAATTCACCGCTTTTACTGACAGTGTGATAAAAAGAAGTTTTGAAATACTTTAATGAAGTATATTTGTTGTTAGAGCTTTCTAAAAGAGGCTTGAATATTTCTTACTCTGATAGTAGTTTCCGCGGTCGCCAAGCCGCCACAATCACTATCGCTAGACTGTGATAGATTAATAAATGAACGAATTTCTCAGTTACTCATTTGTAAGTGATACTATTTTCCTTCCCCTACAGGTTGTGGAACGAAGTTCGGAGTTATTCAGCGCCTTGGTTATAAAGAAAGTGTCCTTGGAGCACTGTGGTACTTATACTTGTGTTGCATCAAATCACGTAGCAAAAGTTAATAAATCCACTGAGCTCTACATAAAAGGTAATTAAATTATATTAATTAAATCGTAATCTCATAGTATTTAAATATATAATTCCCTCCAAGAATCAATTTAAAAAGGGCGGTAAAAGATATATCGTGTGTCCCAGAAAGAATATAACGATAATCCTGGAGTATCCTATACACCTACACTAATACACTACATCCTAATAGTATAGGTATCATACGCTCAAATAAAATACAAAACAGAATCTATTCCAAGTAGTGCTAAAAATATATAAAGGTTTTAAAAATATGTTTTTATTGACCTTACTGTACTTTCATGTACACCACTGCCACAAATTAATGAAATTCGTTGCGTTTTTATTGTTCTCTTATTCCTCACAAACTACTCCATTAAAATGTAGTAAAGAGTATGAGTATCTATTGTAGTTTTCTTAAAAAAAAACTTTTATTGTTTTTATGAAATTTTATAAAATAATAATTTTGACAAAATTTGAGAGCCATTAGTGAAAAAAAAGTATGAAGACCTAAGTGGCCAACTATTTCAAAAATATGCGCAGTTAATACAGTATACAAATTGGAAGGTGTATCCATTCTTTCTGGGACTCCCTGCACATTATGTGAAACAAGCTTCATAGCAGTTTTCTTAGATCAAATTTTAAATTCATTGAATAAAATATAATTCCTGTAACTATGATTGTGAAGCCGTATAGTGGCGGTTAAGAATATCCACTACCCCATATCTTCCCGTGGGTGTCGTAAAAGGCGACAGAGGGAAACAGGCAGGAGGTGGGCAGCAGCATCTTCCTGATAACAGCAACTGTACTACAAAAAAAAACTGCGGTTGCCAACCCGCTCGCCAAGCGTGGCAACTATGGCAATATACCCCCCATGAACAATTACACAAATAGACGGCCCCCAGTCCCCGGCGGCCCCGCTATTCCTGGCTACGGTGGCGACCATGGTAACGGCGGGGCAGGGGGTGCTAAGAATCTCCGGTGGAGGTTCGGTTGCCACCTACGACGACTCGACCTGGCAACATTTAACGCACGCACACTGAGGACAGACGAGAAGATCCTGGAGCTGGAAGAAGAGATAGACAAGTTGCGCTGGAGTATTATAGGATTATCCGAGGTCCGAAGAGAGGGGGAGGACACGGTGATTCTCGAATCCGGCAACTTGTTCTATCACCGGGAGGGCGACCATCTGTCCCAAGGAGGTGTCGGATTTATCGTCCACAAGTCTCTCGTCAACAACGTTGTACAGATTGAGAGTGTGTTGACGAGGGTCGCGTACCTGATACTCAGAATCACCAAACGGTATTCGCTGAAGGTCATACAGGTTTACGCACCAACGTCGGCACATTCCGATGAGGAGGTGGAGGAAATGTATGAGGATATTTCCAAAGCCATACATTCCTCCAAAACCCACTACACGGTGTTGATGGGAGACTTCAACGCAAAACTAGGCACAAGACAAAGCGGTGAGCTGAAGTTAGGGAAATTTGGAGTAGGGCAACGGAACCGAAGGGGCCAGCAGCTGGCCGACTTCATGGAGAAAGAGGGACTCTTTATGATGAACTCTTTCTTCCAGAAGCGGCCCCACAGGAAGTGGACCTGGTCGAGCCCCGACGGTTCGACAAAAAATGAGATTGACTACATTATGACGACCAGACGTCAACTGTTCAGTGATGTCTCAGTGATCGCAAGGGTGAAAACTGGCAGCGATCACCGAATGGTTAGAGGCACACTTAACCTAAACGTTAAGTTGGAGAGGTCTCGTCTAATGAAGTCAACGCTCCGTCCCCCTCGTGCTCTAATCCAGAATCCCGAAACCTTTCAGCTCGAGTTACGTAACCGCTTCCAGTGCCTAGAAGATTGCAATGCAGTGGACGATATGAACGACAAGCTCGTGGAAACTGTCCATGCGGTCGGAGCTAAGTTCTGCAAGACCCGCCGCAGAAGAACACAAAAACTCTCCGATCACACTCTTAATCTCATGGCTGTTAGACGGGAGATGAGGCTGCAATCGTCAACAGATTTGACAGCATACAGGCAACTGAACAGACAGATCTCCAAATGCATGCGGCGAGACTTACGCAACTTTAATACTGCTCGTATTAAAGAAGCGATCGAGCGGAACCAGGGCTCCAAAGTCTTTGCCAGAGATCTGTCTGCCAGAAAGAGCCAACTGTCAAGGCTGAAGACTGAGTGTGGCAGCATCGTTTCCGGGACACCTGAGATTTTGAGTGAGATTGAGAGGTTCTATGGGCAGCTGTACACATCATCGTTGGAGCCACACGCAAGTGTGAGTAACGATCCAAGAGCAAGTCTTATCCGACACTATTCCGATGATATCCCGGACGTCAGTCTAAGCGAGATTAGAATGGCTCTCCAGCACCTTAAAAACGGCAGGGCCCCAGGCGAGGATGGAATTACAGCGGAGCTTCTGAAAGCGGGTGGAACACCGGTACTTGAAGTCCTTCAGAAGCTCTTCAATTCCGTCCTCCATGGTGGCACTACTCCAGAGGCGTGGAGCAGAAGTGCGGTGGTCTTGTTCTTTAAGAAAGGCGACAACGCTCTCTTGAAGAACTACAGACCGATTTCCCTTCTGAGCCGCGTCTACGTGCTGTTTTCGAGAGTCATTACGAATCGTCTCGCACGCAGACTCGACGACTTCCAGCCTCCCGAACAAGCCGGTTTCCGAAAAGGCTTCAGTACCATAGACCACATACATACCCTGCGGCAGATTGTACAGAAGACTGAAGAGTACAATTTGCCACTTTGCCTGGCGTATGTGGACTATGAGAAAGCCTTTGATTCCGTCGAAATTTGGGCGGTGCTGCAGTCCCTTCAGCGGTGCCAAGTTGACTGTCGGTATATCGAAGTGCTGAAGTGTTTGTACAGTAGGGCTACGATGGCTATCCGAGTACAGAACCAGAGCTCGAAACCTATCCAACTGCAGAGAGGTGTAAGACAGGGTGACGTTATATCCCCCGAAACTCTTCACCGCTGCTTTGGAAGACGTTTTCAAGCTACTGGACTGGAAAGGATACGGTATTAACATCAATGGCGAGTACATCACTCACCTTCGATTTGCCGACGATATAGTCCTTATGGCAGAATCGCTGGAGGACTTAAGCACTATGCTCAATGACCTCAATAGTGCCTCCCAACGGATAGGTCTTAAGATGAACATGGACAAAACAAAGATTATGTTTAATGTCCATGTCACACCTATGCCGGTAGTTGTTGGGAGCACTATGCTCGAAGTTGTTGACGAGTACGTTTACCTGGGACAAATATTCCGACTAGGTAAGTCCAACTTCGACCGAGAGGTCAATCGACGGATTCAACTCGGCTGGGCAGCGTTCGGGAAATTACGACATATCTTCTCGTCAGGTATACCTCAATCTCTGAAAACTAAAGTGTACAACCAGTGCGTGTTGCCAGTGATGACTTACGGATCAGAGACGTGGTCCTTCACTGCTGGCCGTATGAGGACGCTCAAGGTCGCTCAGCGAGCTATGGAGAGGGCTATGCTCGGAGTTTCTCTGCGTGATAGACTCAGAAATGAGGATATCCGCAGTAAAACCAGATTGACCGACATAGCCCAACGGATTAGTAAGCTGAAGTGGCAATGGGCCGGCCATATAGCTCGAAGAACCGATAACCGATGGGGAAGAAAGGTTCTCGAGTGGCAGCCTCGTACCGGTAGGCGTAGTGTAGGGCGACCCCCACTAGATGGAGTGACGACCTGGTAAGATATGCAGGAAGTCGATGGATGCAGGTGGCTCAGGACCGTGCTTTGTGGCATTACTTGGGGGAGGCCTATGTTCAGCAGTGGACTTGTGAAGGGCTGTGATGATGATGATGATGATGATGATTGTGAACAAGAGGCAATGAGCAGTCCATATTACTTAAAGAACCAACAACCAAGGCGTAAAAACCAACATGGGGTACAAAGATTACCCAGTGGCAACTTCGTACCGGTAAGCGGGGTGCAAGGTATCCCGCACTAGATGGAGTGGTGACCTGGCAAAACATTCAGAATGTCCGTGTTTTGTTGTCCTTGGGGAGAGTTCATTGTTGAGCAGAAGATTTGTGAGGATTTATAATGATGATGACGATAATTAACACCAATAAATACTCCCAAAATTAAAATTGCTTATGCTCTACTTTCTGTTTCGTATTTCGATGAAGAATTTATAGTAAAATTATTTTTTCAGTTGCACCAAAATGGGCGGAAGAGCCCTCAAATTCTTCACTTCTACTTGGTCGAAGAGGAACAGTATCTTGCAGTGCCAACGGGTACCCTCAGCCACAGGTGCACTGGATGAAAAAAGATGGTAATATACATACATACATAAACACTCACGCCTGTCACCCAGAGGGGTAGGCAGAGACTACGGACTTTCATTTGGCACGATCTTGACATACCTCTTTCGCCTCCTTTACATCCATATATCTACGCATACACGCTCGTCGGTTAAGGGTACTTATAACGTGGCCCATTTTCAAAATATCGCCAATTTGGTCGATAAACTTTTTTCTAGGGCGTCCCTTCCCGATTCTGCCGTTCACATCTGCCATATAAATTTGCTTTGTCACTCTTTCCTCATTCATTCTTTCTACATGACCAAACCACCGAAGCATTCCTTTCTTAATCCTGGTCACAATATCATCTTGCATACCACATTTATCTCTTATCACGCAATTTCTCACTCTGTCATTCAGATTCAACCCTAGCATACTCCTTAAAGACCGCATTTTTACAGCATTTATTCTACTTTCGTGCTTCTTCTGCCACACCCAGCTTTCACTACCATACATTAAAGTAGGGACTAACACAGCATTATGAATTACCATATGTGCCTTTTTTGACAAATTCTGGTTCTTCATAATAGAGTGTAGTGCCCCATTCACTCTATTCCCTGCATTTACTCGTCGTTCTATAGCCTTATCATATCTACCATCCCTGTTAAATATACATCCCAAATACACAAACTCATCCACTTGCTCAATTAACTCTCCTTCTATTCTTATTTCACATACCGTTTTGCTTTCTTCTCTTTCAAAAACCATCACTTTCGTCTTACTTGTGTTCCCTTTCATTCCCCTTTCTTTTAATTCCCAGTTCATTAATGTAACCATCATTTGCAACTCAGCCGCCGATGATGCAAATATGACTTGATCATCGGCATACAAAAGGCATTTGACGTTTAACTCGCCCGTTCTTAACCCACATTCTTCATCTTTCAAAGTTTGCAAACACCTGTCCATAAATAGGGTGAACAGCCAAGGGGAAGCTACACAGCCCTGTCTGACACCTTTTTCGATGCCAAACCAGTCCGAGTAGACCCCATTGATCCTGACACAAGCACTAGAGTCCCTATAAAGAGACCTTAATGCCTGTATCAAACCAGCGCTCAACCCATATGAGTTCAGTGTTTGCCATAACACATTCCTGTCCACTCTGTCATAAGCCTTTTCCAAGTCCATGAACGCACAAAAAACTTTCTGGTTTTTGGCCAAAAACTTCTCCGCAATCATGCGCACGGAAAAGACTTGATCTGTACACCCCATTCCCTTTCTAAAACCCGCTTGCACATCCCAAATTTTTCCATCAGTTTCTTTCATAACTCTCTCAATTAACACCTTGGCATACAGTTTACCCACAATACTAAGCAAGCTAATACCACGATAGTTTTTGCAGTCCTGCTTTGACCCTTCTCCTTTATATATTGGTACTATAACTGCTTTACACCAGTCAGTCATCCGGTACCCGTTTTAATTCCAAACATAAATTAAACAGGGTGTACAGCAGGCTTGCCACCACTCCCTCTCTAGCCCTTAGTATCTCGAGTGATACTCTATCATATCCAGCTGCCTTACCTGCTTTCATGCTTTTCATTGTCTTCATTATTTCATCCACACTTATCTCCATACCCCTTTCCAATTCTTTCGGAATTTCTAGTTCATTTAATTCAGACGACTCTTCACTCATAAACACGCTTTCAAAGTATTCCTTCCATCTGTTTAAATTCGAAACTTCATCATTCAGAATACATCCATTCTCGTCTCTTAGCATTAATTATAGGCTTTTGCCCCTGGCAGTTCTTACGAGTTTCCAGAACATTTTTATATTAGCCTGGAAATTATCAAATATCCTTCTATCATTCTTATCCGTTCTTTCTTTCTTTTTCCTTTCAACTACTTCTTTTACTCTCTTATTTAGACGTCTAAATTCTGCCTTTTTTCTTTCAATCTCATCATTCATACCAGAAGAATTACCAGCTTTAGTTGCTAGTAAATCTAACCATGCTTTCTTCTTTGATTCAACTTCCACCGTATCTCATCATTCCACCACAACGTATTACTTTTCCTTTCATTTGTTCTCTTACTTACACCACATACTTCGGTGGATGCATCCACCAAACCTTTCTTGATATTATCCCACACAGTATTCAAGTCTAAATCATTCATACACAACTCACTCAAACATCTAATATTTTCTATCAGTCTGCATTTATACTTCTCTTTCACATCTTCATCTTGTAACTTCTTTATTCTTATACGCTGTAACGCAGTGGTAGACACAGATGTCCGATGCCGCCAACGCTTGAAAAGACCATTAATTCGACATAAGACCAAGTAATAATCTGTCCCTACGTTGGACCTTCGGTAAACCCTTGTATCTACGACTGCGCTCCTCATTCTTTCATCCACAATTACGAAATCTATCATGCTTCTATCATCACCTCCTTCCCATGTATACATGTGAATCTTCTTATGACGGAAAAAAGTATTCGTCACAAAAAGATTCTAATTATCAAATACACATACGGTGAGGAGGTCTTCACCATTCTCATTTATACTTTCATCACCAAACGTTCCCAATATCCTTTCATAACCAGACCTCTTCACCCCAACCCTTCCATTAAAGTCTCCTAACATAATAATATTTTCATTTTCCTTACATTTTGTCAACACAATCCTTACCATGTCCCAAAACTGCTCTCGGATGTAAGTGGGCTTAGACATGTCTGGGGCGTACACCCCTAGCAAGAACAGCTTCTTTAAGCCCACTTTCATTCGTATCCATAGCAGCCTCAGGCTTACACATACATACTCTTTCACACATTGACCCATTCTTTCTGAAAGGATGAAACCGACTCCCAGGCATGCCCGTTCGGTCTCGTCTACACCAGACCAATACGCGGTATACGTACCATGTGCAGTGGCATCCTTTCCCTTTCGTTTCGTCTCATTCACACATAATACATCTATTCCTCTGTCAGTCATCATTTCGCATACTTCATCCATCTTATCATTCATTCCTCCACATACATTCAGCGTAGCCAGACGGGTTTCCGCAATCCACTTTTCGCCCCTCCGGGAGACAGAACGTGACGGGTGGCGAACCTCGTCGCCAGTTTTTCTGCCCCATTAAAGGTATATTATTACGTATGTAAGGATATCGATAGATTAAATTAATCACGAAATATTATGTGTAGCAACATTCACTTACTAGATATAGTGATAAACATACCAGCTGGTGTACTTGCTGGTCTTTCCTAGGGCATAGGTTTATATCCGAACTAGTGGTAATCACTTTCAATATTTTGTACTTGTTATTTTGCATCCGAATTGATTTATTCTATTCAATCCTATTCCATTACGCTCTATTCCGATCTATTCTGTTCCATTCCATTCTATATCATTACATATTATTCTACTTCACTTAACTCTACTTCACACTACTTATTTTTATGGCATTAAAGTGTCAAACGAGCTCAGTCTAATCGATGGTCAGTGACTAAGTGGTACTGCAGCCCGTAGAAACCTGCTTCCAACAACAAAGATGTTATCAGGTCAGGCAAACCCAGGCGGGCACATTTTTATATGAGATTTAAGTGACTAATGAACTTACATTTTGTCTAATGGTCTGCGGCTACTGCAGCCCATGGACACATGCAAACCTTCATACAAAGATGGCTAAATAAGTGCGTTGTCATCTCTTAGCACAAAAATGAAATAATGATTTCTTATATTTTACGCGAACACTACACATTGAAAAAATACTAGTTTTTACGGAATTTATCGCGTATATTTAACTTTTTATATACCCGAGGTTTCGAACGCTTTACAGCACTCAAGGTCACGGGCGGGACTGAGATTATCAACGTCCATATGTCATAGTTAACCGCGGTTACCATAGATTAAAATTTAACTTTTGTTCCGATCTATATAGTATGAACTTATGGTATCTTGAAGTCTTGCAGTTGTATGCTTGGGTTGGGATTTAATTTTATTTATTATCGGATCCCAAGCAGATGGTAGCACCCAGCCATCTTCTCTATTGAAATTAGGATGTTTTTTTATTTCAATAGCCTCGCGAATCATCCTTGGGAGGAATCGGTGTTCTTTAGCGAGGATTTGTGGTCTATCAAATCTGATGTAGTGGCGGGGGCGATCCTGTACGTGTTCACAGACTGCAGACTTCCCGGAGCGTCGATTCTTCACATCAGCTATATGTTCTTTAACGCGGGTTTCTATTGATCTTTTAGTTTGTCCTATGTAGGAGAGACCACATTCACAATCAAGCTTGTACACTCCTGCATCTTGCAGAGGGACATTACACTTGACTGATGGTAAAAATTGACCAATCTTCTTCAGCGGCTTGAAGTATGTTTTGATGGAAGCACGCTTCAAGATGTGGCCAATCTTGTCAGTGACTCCTCTAACATATGGCAGTACGGCAGGTACGCGCTCGACTGTGGCCGGCTTCACTCGTTCACTGTGACGTAGGCGCGGGACTCGAAGCTTGTTGTCATGCAAAACTCATATTTATAGACATAGAATATAGATATAGACATATTCATGGAAGACTTTGAGGAGAAAGCCCTGCTTAGTTTTGCAAGACAACAAGCTTCGAGTCCCTCGCCTACGTCACAGTGAACTAGTGAAGCCGGCCACAGTCGAGCGTGTACCTGCTGTACTCCATATGTTAGAGGAGTCACTGACAAGATTGGCTACATCTTGAAGCGTGCTTCCATCAAAACATACTTCAAGCCGCTGAAGAAGATTGGTCAGTTTTTACCATCAGTCAAGTGTAACGCCCCTCTGCAAGATGCAGGAGTGTACAAGCTTGATTGTGAATGTGGTCTTTCCTACATAGGACAAACTAAAAGATCAATAGAAACCCGCGTTAAAGAACATATAGCTGATGTGAAGAATCGACGCTCCGGGAAGTCTGCAGTCTGTGAACACGTACAGGATCGCCCCCGCCACTACATCAGATTTGATAGACCACAAATCCTCGCTAAAGAACACCGATTCCTTCCAAGGATGATTCGCGAGGCTATTGAAATCAAAAAACATCCTAATTTCAATAGAGAAGATGGCTGGGTGCTACCATCTGCTTGGGATCCGATAATAAATAAAATTAAATCCCAACCCAAGCATACAACTGCAAGACTTCAAGATACCATAAGTTCATACTGTATAGATCGGAACAAAAGTTAAATTTTAATCTATGGTAACCGCGGTTAACTATGACATATGGACGTTGAACATCTCAGTCCCGCCCGTGACCATGAGTGCTGAAAAGCGTTCGAAACGTCGGGTATTTAAAAAGTTAAATATACGCGATAAATTCCGTAAAAACTAGTATTATTTCAAAAGTGAAATAACTCATTGCCTGTAATTATACTGACTCTATATCCGTTAACCACCGGCACACATTAGTGCACGCACTGTTGTTTGGCGGCTTGTGTTCTAGTTAAATATTTTGTTAATATTTGTATCAAAATTTCGCTAAATAATTGATAGTGACTAGTAACGCCATCTATTGTTCATCATATAAAACGTTTAAAGAATTCCAGTCTGTTGCGAACTATTCACATGTTTTAAGGTCGACCACACACATACATAATCTCGTTTTGCCCGCAAATTTTCGAACGTAAAAATACCGTAGGTGTGTGACGGGTCATTGATTTTATATGAGCTTTCTGCGTTTGGAATCCTGATATTCAGAATTCCGAAACGGAATTCCGTATGTATGTGGCCAGCCTTAAAAGGAAGGGAAAATTACAAGTTTTTTGCGGCTGAAAACTTGTTGGTATAAAACTCAGTTACCTTTTAAGGCAACAGGGTTTTAACTATCCAGATGTACTCTTGGGCGGGAAAGGAGTCCCATTTCTGTATTTAATAGAATTCGACATTATAAAATCAAATAAAATTCACAGTTACCTTAAAATGTATATTATAGTAATTTCAACAATTTTCCAGCTCTTCTCGGTACGTGGCAACCGGTACTGGAACTCGCTGGCGGTGGGATTCTGAGCCTACCTAACGGTACTCTAATCATCGAGGAGGTATCTCTCACAGACGAAGGCTTGTACTCCTGCAACGTTGAAAATGGAGTTGGCAGTCCACTCAGCAAAACTATATGGATGAGTGTTAATAGTTAGTAACATTTTGTTAACATATCCGCACATTAGCTGATGTAGTAAGCCTAAGGAGTATTAATCTATTTCCATATAATTTTGAACGCCACTTTATAATTTTCAAGGTCACCTTTTATTTTTGTAACCCATTATTTGAGCTTATTTTCAAATTTCTAAAACTTTTTTTATTTCAATCGATTTATGAATTCTATCCACTTCAATAACAAAAACAGCCTTGAAACAGCTTGAAGATTAGTTTCGTCGTCTCAAAATTTAACAGTATTTTATTGGCACGTTCTTATCAACTCGCTTTCTTCTCTATTTGTATGTTCATAACTTCCCGAAGTACAAAAAAGATACGAGATTTAATATAATATATACAGTTTTTTCTAAGAATTCTGATAAACCTTAGACTGTTACACCTTGTTGGATAGCTGAAGAAACGTAAATATTTTTAAGTACATCTGCAACATACCTGCCATAGATTTTTTTAAATATTCCTCAAAATAAATTACTTTGTACAAATTTATTTCTTTTTTTAACTATCAATCTTGTACTGCGACCCAGATTGTTGACTTCCCAACTAACTAAAGACTTGAAACCTTTAAAGGAGCTTTGGAACATTGTAAACTAATCGCCTTTTGAGTTATAAATGTCTCAATACTTTTATTCTGATATGACGAAAGCGCCAGACTACACGATCACTTGTTATTTTCAGAGCCAGTCCACTTTGACACAACTTCCACAAATGTGACTTCAAGACTTGGACATTCAGTAACTTTGGAATGTAAAGCCCTAGGTGACGACCCTATAAGGATATTATGGACACATAATGGCAATGTTCTGGATTTTCAAATTCACAGGTGATTTTTAAAATTATAACAATTTAGTAAAAACAATGTTTTTTTTTTTTTTTTTTTTTTTTTTTTTTTTATATACTTCATCATAAATCTAAAGTATGTAGTATATGATTTAGGGCCGATTTATCAATCCTGAGAAATTTTTTTTATTATGGAATAAAATAAAGCCTAAACAATTTTAAAATTACATTATATGAAACAAAAACTTTTTATTCAATGTAGATTATAAATAATACTTATGAATGTCACTCTTTTGTTTAATTTACCAGTGGTTCGGATAAAAATCTTCTGTCCTGGGAAGAACCAGCAAGAAACCCACCGGCACTTTAAAAAAAATTAACAGCTACTCGTAACAATCACGAATTTCGCACAATTAATAATAACACAAAATAAAATGGAAATAGCCTGGTAGCGATCACCTCATACCCAAGGGTTATAATAAATTCCTTAATATTATAATAACCTTTTTTATATAAACTTTACTTAATAAAGTTTTTGAAATTTGAAGAGGTAAAATTTTGTATATTTTCTGGGATTTTATTGTAAAATCATATACATCGCTCCAAGACTGAATTACTGACTCTGTGGAGTCGAGTAACTGCTATTATTAGTATTTACAGAATGAATATCACTTATTGTATTAAAACTACTTTTATTTTTTTGGACATACATTACTCTTTCGTAAATGTATTGAAAGGCTAAAGTTAATATTTTAATTTCCTTAATTTTTTTTTTCTTTCACATTCAATCATCTTATAATTAAGATAACTTTTATCTGAATCAACCATCAATAAAATACAACGAAATTTAATTTTTAGCGAGTTAATGATTTCAAATAAAAGGAAGTTTCCCTAAATACCCGTATCTTTGTATGCGCAAAATTTTTTCAGAAACTACACGATCGCCTTAATAACTTCGCACTGATAAACTATAGGGTGAAGGGTATAAATAGCCAGCATAATTAAAGGCTGTGAAGCATTACATTTGAGTCCTCTGACGAGGCATCTGTCTTCTTTGTTTGAAGTTTATTGAACATTTTACAATTATTTAAATTATCAGTTATTCCACTCTTTATTCTGTTTTCTTTTTTAGAGCTAAACTCTCGGAATCCAAAACATCTTTAGGTCTAACTAGTAAGCTTAATCTACAATATTCAGAGACTGGTGACGCTGGATTGTACCAATGTAGGGCCAACAATCCATATGGTACTGCAACATTCAACATATATTTAAATATTTTAGGTAAGGGTACTTAAATACTATAGAGTTTACATTACGATATAATTGAATCTCGTTATTTCATTTCATTCTGTTCCATTCCATTTCGTTATGTGCCATTTCATTCTTATTATATTCTATAATGTAATTCGTTAATAGATGTATATAATCTAATAATAAAATTACGAGATATAAAAACTTGTGGCATACGGTAAAGTTTTCATTAAGCTTATGTTGTACCATAATGTATCCTCTGTATTATCTATAATTTGTTTAAAAAGAGCAAGTAAAAAATAAATAAATCGTTCAAATTAATGATTGAAAACGTCAAGTAAAACATTTCGTAAAGTGAATACTACTTATTTCATTTGCTAAATTCCAGAACCTCCCACTCCACCTACAGAACTGAGGGTAGAATCAGTGCGAGCGCGATTGGCAGTCGCATCGTGGCGGTCGCCGAGAACGCACGCGCCCAGATACGTTGTACAGTACGCTCCGACGCATGTAGTTGACATCAGTTGGGATCATGCAGTTACTCTGAATATTACACGGTAAATAAATATATTTATAAATAGGGAAAGAAGAATACGTGTATTAAGTTTTATGCCATCAAAGGCATAACTTGTAAAAAAACCAAGTCTCGCAACTCCGTTCTTCTACCGTAAAAAGTTGTGATATCCATGTAGTGTTGAGTAGGGACTGAATAAATTAACCGACTTGGTATTATCATGAATCTCATAACTTTTTACGGTAGAAAAACTGAGTTGCGAGAGTTATTTTTTTTTACAACTTATGTCTTTGATGGCATCTCATTTCTTTTTAGTAGATAAGATAGTCCTACTTTTTTCCCTTTCGGTACCTTCTACTTCTTGAATACCAACAACGTACCTATCTACACCTATTATACATATACAAGTACACTGATTCATTCACTGCAAAGGTAACCTATTCTATATATTTATATGGGATTACAAAGTTAATTACGTAGTTGGTAAATGTAGAAAACTGGACCGAAATTAAAAAAATATTTTAGTTTTTCCTTGATTTATACACTAAACATTAGTTTTATTCTAAATTTGAAGCTTCTATGTCTGCTAGAAGTGCGTAAGAGTTTTGATGATGGGTCAGTCATCGAGTGACAAAATTAAGAAAATTTGATTAGTTATAATTCTTAAAATATTGGTTCAAATTAAATGAAATTTGAAATATAGCATGTTTATACAATGCCTACTAGATTTCAATTTAGAATTCAGGCTTCTAGTTTTACCCACTACGAAGTTATGGGTGGTCTAAAATGGCCTGAATTGAGAAAAGTATGGTACGGTCGTGCCGCCTTTTTGCTCGACTTGGCGGAGGCACTACCGTGCCTCCAGATGATTATTGACTATAGAAACAACTTTACCACATAAATCTAGCGTTGTAAAATATATTCCTTTTAGGAAGGATAACGATATAAGACAATCGGTTGAACTACAAAACTTGCGGCCTGCGACTGCGTACGTTGTGAGAGTTGCGACTGGAAATCAAGTTGGAGTCAGCCGGTTTACAGCACCTACACACTTCACTACACATGAGGAAGGTAAAGTGTTACCATTTAAAAAGTGAACTTAATTATCTCTACAGTTATTTTTTTAAATAGAATTAGGGTACCAACGAGCACACAGTAACCACCCGATAGTCAGTGGATGTTATGACCTTTAGATATCTTCATCTGTCGTCGATTAAGAATCATAATGCAGATTCGTTGCCACCCCAGAAGACTAAGATGGAAAGCCTCGTTTCCAATAAAAAAGGGTATCCGGTTCTCACCATACGAAACACAGCTGCATTGAGCTACTATTGTATACTGGTATTCTGTAAGAGCGTGGTCCTTCCCTAATCGAGCAAACCAATTCATACTACAGGTACAATATAGCTGTGGTCGTATAGTCGTCGTCCTTTCAGCGGGTCTTCTTTCATGAAACAGATTCTAGTTTAACCTTGAGACTAATTCAAAGTTTCTTTTTGTAATGAGACCAAATGTTTATTTTCAGCACCGTCGTTACCACCTGTAAACATAGTAGTTGAACAAACAGACGCTCCAGGTGAACTATTCGTATCATGGTTACCACCTCCGAAAGAATCGCACAATGGCATAATCACTGGATATCATGTAAAGGCAGTGCCACAAAATGTACCTGCAAGTAAGTTATTGTATTATGTTCTTTTGTAAGATTTTGCTACCTTGTAATTTCGTTCTGCCCACACTGTCTGTACATCGTAGATTTTTTTATGAATTAGGTAAAAATTGATTTGATAAAGTTAGGTTTAGATTTTAAGTTAAATCTTAGTGCAAAAATTGGTTAGCCCTGCAGGCCATCCCTGGAACTTCCCGCTAATTTAAAATGCAAAGCGCTCTAAAGGAGACGGTCCATTTCAGGCCCAGTCTATGTACACTATACCGTAAAAAAGCGAAAAATTCAGGGATTTTATAAAAAATAAAATAATAGAATAAATCAAACTAAATGATTTGCTAAAAATAAAAATACATACCCAATTTTGATGATTTTACAAGATGGCGCCCTTCCACTCATAAAATTATATGTTAAATGTCATGTCTGAAAAGTGACTTCAGTCATGAAATAATGTGGGTAGTGTGAATTTTTTTTATTCCTTACTTGTTCGTGCAATTGTGAACTCTGTTTATGATATTTCTTTTGAATTTCTTCGGCGATATGTTTTCTTTTTAATTTGGACTTTGGATCTGTTATTACTTGTTTGACTCAGCTATTGTTTTATGGACTTCAAGATATACGTGATATTTTGATTTAATTGATATCGGACATCTATAGAATCACATTTTGAATCACTAGGCATCAATCACCTCATGACATTTGACAGCTAACGTCAAAACGATATCAATTCGCCAATAGTGTTGCAGTTTTTGGTAAGAATAAAATATTAATACCACTGAAATAAAGGCAAATTCGTGGATTTAAATGACCAAAATATATTATTTTAATTTATTTCAACACAAAACCAGGCCTATGCTTCATACAAATTTGGACAGTCTCCTTTCACCAAATTGTTGCGAAATTTCGAAGTTAAAAACGTTTTTTTCAAATTCTTTATCCTTCGATATCTCACGAACGAACGAACCGATTTTTATTTTCCAAACGGCATTCGACGTCATTTCTTAAGGTTAAGAGCTGATTAGTTTTTGAAATCGATCGGTGAAGCCGTTTAAAAGTTATTCCAAAATAACAGTTTTTGAGGTTTTGCAAAATCTACTCGCCCGAATCAGTTCATATTATCACTAAATCTATTCAACATTGAGATCTTTATAATGCATCTCAATCGATCAAGACGTTCAAAAGTTATGAAACGTTTACATACTTTTAATTTTTTTAGCGAGTAGTTAACAAAACTGTTGTCCTTGTCCTTACGTATCTTTATTTGTTTATTGGGCAATCATACGTCTTCTTCGTTATCAGGCGATAAGTTCACAGCTGGATATGGATCCCAATATTAATGAATTCTTCTTAAAGTGGAATTAACCACTTAGAAGTAAATATTTTAGGATTCGATATCTTTTCTTTAAAGTTACTTGAACCCTTTTTGCATCTGAGCCAATTTCGAAGTACCAAATTTCAGAGTAGTTTGTAAGGTGTCCTGATTTTTAATAATGCATCTAAAATCTTAAATAAATGATTTTTTTTTAAAATAACGACAACTGAAGCAATTAAATTTTGTGGAGTGTTGGAGAGTCTGCACAGCGGGAAACTTCTTGTCTCAATACGCCCTTATCAGTTTTTTAAAAAAGCATCAATTTGTTATTGACACCCGTCCTAGTAGTAACTTAAAGAAAGACAATGCACTGATTTGCAAAAAAAGGCACTTTTGATTTTTCCTGCCTGAAAACAATACGAAATAGGTTACCTGCCTGAAAACTATACGAATTAGGGGTACTTCCCAAATTCAATTTTTTTTCGCCTTCATTCGAAATATGACTAATACATAACTTTAACGGTAGTTTCAGAGGAAACTGATACTAGGACTCTGAAGGTGTCGCAGAAATCTGGAAAATTGGAAACAAAAATTAGCGGCTTACTTAAAAATACAAGGTAAAGTTTTCATCAAAATGAATTTAATTATTTCTCGTTCATTTTGATTTGTATATTTTTTAACAAACGAGCAGCCTTCCTCTTAAAAAATCCTTATGGTAAGTGGATGCCGTAGCTCATAAATTTCAAAAGAAATATTTATTTTTGCTTAAAAACCAATGCAGATCACTCACAAGTTAAGCTAAACATCTACTGTCAAAGAAACTACTGAAATGATAGTGTCGTCATTTTAGTAGTTTCTTTGACAGTAGATATTTAGCTCATATCATATCCTGTTCTCGCACATTACAACTGTCTTTGACTGCCTCGACTCTGTCGTAAGTGAGACTGTGATCATGAAGTTCTGAATTCGAATCCTGGAAAAAATTGTTATTGTGTTTTTCTATTGAGAATTCTCAGTAACAGCACAAAGTTAGGAAGTGTGAGATGTTTTCCCCGTGCCTCAGAAAGAGATATTTCATATATTGCCATAAATATATGCCAAAACATGCAATTATTATTTCATCTAGGATATGAATCCGGGAGCGACGGCTGAACAATGAAGTATATCAACAAAGCTACGTTAACATTAAAATATTTACAGTCAACATCATTATGATCAGCCAGTAAGACATGAGCCGCACTCGTTGTAGGGTGGATTTGTCTTTTTTGTTACTCTGGGCAGGCGGACAAAATATCGCAATACCACTGTCAGTGTATTTGAGGCTGCTCCTCTAGGTGTTAAGTCAATATCCTCTAGATATTAAGTAAATGACGGCTCCGTGGCGTAGTTGATTAGCAATGAGTGGCTGCGCTTGGGGGTCGCGGTTCGAATCCCGCACAGAACAAGTATTTCTGGATGTTTGTCCTTGTGAAATTTGTTTGTAAACTGCCTCCACGATACAGGAAAAAATCTTAGTGTGGAGGTAACTTTTTTAAAAACAAAAAGAAAAAAGAAAAGAAATCAATATAAACTATCCATTTCAGATACGCAGTAACAATATCAGCCTTCAACAGTGCAGGTTCGGGACCATATTCATTGCCTGTGTTTCAAGATACGATGGAAGGTGGTAAGTAAAATTTTTAATAGACTCTTACTCTATGAGAAGCCTTTCATATAAACGCCGCAAACCGCATTACGATGACAACCAAAGAGATATGCAAAGTAATAAAAAATTAAAAAGAAAAACAGAAAAGTTTACATTAAAACCTATTTTCTCACTATTTTCATGCTATCTCATGCTTTACATTATTGCTTAAAACACCTTTTCTTCTCTTTACTCGTTTTTATTTAGTTAGAACTAATCACTTTCAAGGTGACAAGGCCGCCATTAGGATCATGCATCATAGTTTAAACATCGTTTATTCCTTATTAATTACAGCCTATCATAAGGCCCGGTTTACATTTTGAGAAGTGACAAGTGCGAGTAGCAAGTGATAAGTGACAAGTGCGTATTTTATTACCATTTTTCACTTGTCACTGCTTGTTCACATGCACTAAGCATTTGTCATTTGTCAGCTGCACTTGCCACTAGCATTTGTCACTTCTCAAAATGTAAACCGGGCCTAACTGCACTGCTCAACATACGTCTCCATCGTGGATTGTCCCATAGTTGCCTATTTACTAAGACGCCGGAATATTATAGTAATCACATAGTAACAATAAACATTCGATTGTACCACAAAATGTGTTTAAAGTTAAACACATTTTATATATTACGTATATACTGGACAGAAGTTATAGTTGACACTAATTTCGTTCTGTATGAGATTAGTTTCTAACTTTAACGTGGTTTTGTGGAAATATGTAATAGTCCAAACAGTTTTTGCTGTCATTTCCAACTTATCTTTAAAGCATGTTTGTTATTTTGAATATTTTGTTGTAAAGATTTTTTAAAACGCTTTTGAGAGGACTAAAAGATATCATAATCTCAATATCAGTTATATTAAAAGTTTCATTCCCTATTTTGATCCTCTTAGGGATGGAAATTTTTCTCCAAATTTATATGGGAAAAACCTGTAATCTATATAAAATGTCCTCCAGACCGAATTTCGGCCACGGCGGCCTGCCTCAACGGAGGCTAGCCATCGGCGCAGGACAGGATTATAATGCCCAAGTGTATGCGCGAGCACAGGTTCACTCTCTATTCTCTCACTCTCATGATCCGATAGGACGGTAAAACGACACGACCGGAGAGAGATCAGGCGCAGGACCAACGGCTTTACCTGCTTTCCGAGGCACGGGGGTGAGACACCGCCAACTTACTAACTCCGGGCAGATACTGAGAATTTTTTGACGGAATAACTCAATAATTGATTTTTTGGCCCGACCCAGGATTCGAACTCAGGACCTCATGATCAGCAGTCGCACTACACAACCACTAGACCAACGAAGCAGTTCTGTAAGCTATAACTTGTAAAAAATCGTCAAAATTAGTTTACAATTAGTGAAGTTACAAAAACCATACAGGAGATAACATTTCTCTCATATGGTACCTCTTCCTTTTTTTATTCGACTATAATAATCTTAATATACCCTCGCCACTAACCCTGTATAAAAATAATAATAAGCTAAACTTAAGTTAAAGTTACAGCCTATATATGTCGCACTGCTGGGCACAGGACTTCCCTCATTTCTGAGAGGGTTTTGGGGCAAGGAAGTATCCGCCGCGCTGTCCCAATGCGTTTTGGCGAACTTCACAAGTTTAGGATTTTTTTTCTTATTTCTCAGACATGCAGGTCTCCTCACGATGTTTTCCTTCACCGCCGAGCATATGGTAAATCAGCACTTAAAATTGTAATTAACAATTTCATTGGTGCCGGCGGGGCTCGAACCCGGGTTGCTCGCGTACTGTGAAATCTACAACGAGCGCTAACCATCTGAGCTAATCTTTATTTTTCAGCACCGGAACATGCGCCCACATCAGTAGAATGTACAGCAATATCGTCAACATCTCTCAGAGTTGGCTGGCAGCCTATAGCGTCTAATGGACAAGGAAGCTCGCTTATCGGATACACGGTATTATATGCTACTGAAGGTTAGTTTTATTTAAGTGTTTTATGTTAAGAAATATATAATTACAAATTCTTAAGAAAATATAATCAGACCTCAAATATTCATCGGTACTGGCTAAAAATATACGACCACAGTATTATGAGCTCGCTAACGTTGTGATATCAGTGCACTAACATCAGATTTATTTTGTTAAGGCCGGTTTACATTATCTTGATTATTAAGAGTGTATTAGGATGAGTCAAAACGTAAAAACTGTAGCTTAGTGATTAGAACTACCGGCATTAGTGAGTGCAATTCTACGTCCTTTTACACTAAAATTAAATACAGTCGATGTTTATTTCAGTCGCTAGTGACATTCTTCCACCGCCCGCTTTCGACTGGGGACAGTTTATCAATTTTGTGTGTCGTTTAAAATATTATTTTTTATAGAATAAAAGTTAAAACGAACACTCAGTCCATCTTATGATAAGTGGATACTGTGGCCCATGGACATCTACATTAATTATCGATTAAAATGAAAATGCAGATGCGTTATCACCCCTGAGGACTAAGATGGGATGCCTCGTTTCCTGTAAAATAGGGTGTTTGGTTCGCAATACTTAACCCACAAAACACAGCAGCATTAAGCTGCTATTTTACGCTGGTGTACTGTGAGAGCGTTCATTTCCCGGTCGAGCTGACACACTGTGATATAACCATAATATAGCTGGAGCATGGCTCTAGCACTTATACATGACTTATATCCACGCTGCAGCCATTAAAGTAGCCAGTTTTTTTTTAAATTAGAATCGCTCATATTTTTACATTGTTTGTCTATTCTTGCGACCAAATATCACTGTATCTGATGAAGTGTAAACGTCCATAAAAAGGGCACCGAAACTACAGAAGCACTCTCACTCCATTGCTATTGATGTTCTCTGCTGAAGAACTGAGATAACGTAAACCAGCTTTAAGAGATATTTAATAAATATGAAATATTTCTAATAATTGTGAACACCATCTTTTAAGTCTTTTGAAAATGGAAATGCGTTAAAACAAGCTAAATACATAGACAACACATTAGGGCTGTTGGACAGTGGAACTAGTTTCTCCAAGAGTGCGCAAATCGATGCTTTTTCTTAAAAGATTTGTCTGTACGTGCTACGTAAAGTATAGGGTTTGGAACATCGTAGCTGAAATTGCATATCGAAGAAATTTAAAAGAAAAACGAGGGCGTGTAAAGTCATTTATTACGCATTGGGGCAACGCAGAGGAATTTTCACAACTTCCAAACCACTCTGTAATGAGAGGTATTATAATTCCTCTCATTACATTGATCTAGTAGTATAGTTTTTAACACAATTTATCTAGGATTTTGTATTGAGAGATTGTAAAAACTATTTCTAAAAGATTAGTGACAATTATACGACCGTGTAGTGGCAGTGAAGAATACACAATACCCCATATCCCGTTGGTATCGTAGGAGGAGACAAAGGGAAAGAATCGAGGAGATGGGCAGCGGCATCTTTCTAAGAACATGAGGCAGTGAAAACCTGCGTCCAACACGCCTGCCTAACGTGGTCAAACATCCCCCCTCATGACGTAATCTATGGGGGTCCGTGTTCAGCAGTGGACTTTGATACCCTGTATAAATGAATGATTTTTTTTTTTATAGAATAAGGGTGACAAACGAGCACACAGACCACCTGATGTTAAGTGGATGCTGTGGCGCATAGACATCTACATTTAACCTCGATTAAGAATCAAAATGCAGATGCGTTGTTAACCTTGAGGACTAAGATGGAATGCCTCGATTCCAGTAAAACGGGTCTCCGGTTCTCTACACTCACTAGAAACACAGCAGCCTTAAGCTACTATTTTACGCTGGTATTCTGTGAGAGCGTGGTCCATCCTCGGTCGAGCCGACTCATTGGTGCTACAACCATAATAGGCCTGCAACGTGACTCTACCACGTAAAAATGCAAAAAGTATTTCAATCTGTTCGAGTACTTACTACTTCTTTTTTTCAGAAAGCGCGTGGCAGAACCAAACCTCGCTACATACTGAGTTATACCTGCAAGCTCTCATGAAGTATACAAATTACACGGTCAAAGTGGCGGGCTACTCCAATTACGGGCCTGGTCCATTTTCATATCCTATTATATGTACAACCTTACAAGACGGTAAGTCAATTAATGAACGCGAACACTACACATTGAATAAAACTATTATTTGCGGATTTTATCGCGTTTAATTACCACTTTAACTTATTTTTATTATCCCGACGCTCCGGGAAGTCTGCAGTCTGCGAACATGTTCAAGATCGTCCTCACCATTACATTAGATTTGATAAACCACAAATCCTCGCAAAAGAACACCGATTCCTACCAAGGATGATACGCGAGGCTATTGAAATTAAAAAAAACATCCAAATTACAATAGAGAAGATGGATGGGTGCTGCCATCTTTTTAGATCCTGTAATTAACAAAATTAAACCCAAACCCAAGCATACCACTGCAAGACTTCATGATACTATAAGCTCGTTTTGCGTAAATCGGACCAAAAATTAATATTCAAAAACTGAAGGTAGCCGGACTAACTATGACATATGGAAGTCAAACATCTCAGTCCCCCCCCCGTGACCATGGGTGCTGTAAAGCACACGAATCGTCGAGATAATAAAAATTAGTTAAAGTAGTAAATAAACGCGACAAAATCCGTAAATAATAGTTTTATTTAAGGTAAGTCAATTTATAATTTTAACTAAGTAGCGACATAATAAAACTAAATATGAGATGAGCAGGAGTATGTTCTTGATCTAACCATTACAGAGTATATCTAACAATGAAATAATAAGTCCTCATCATTATTTTAATGTATCGCACGTGCAGTTTTGAACATCTACCTCCCTTGATCGTCTTGAGACACCTGCATCTATCTATCCATCAGGTCGTCACTATCCGAGTGACATCGGACTACGAGAGTGAGGGACTAGAGTACACCTGTAATCGCGCACACTTCGGCACTACAATCCTATCCTGCGCAGATGGCTAGACTTCGCTGAGATTTGCCACCGTGATCAAAATTCGATATGGAGGACCTTATTATTTTATCAGGTCGTCCCGCCATTTTGTGGAAATCGTATTGCATTGCGCCTTTTTATAGTATAAGGGTTACAAACGAGCACACAATTGCCATCACACAGGCTGCCATCATTTTCTACCGACTTCAAAAATTAGGAGGTATTCAATTCGACTGTATTTTTGTGTGTGTTACCTCGGAACTTTTTTCTGGGTGAACCGAGTTTGATGATTCTTTTTTTATCTGACATCTGGTGCTTTCCGTATGGTCGCATACAAATTTGATTAAGACCTGAGAAGTTTTTGAGCTATCCTTATATAATGCGTATTTAATTGACTTCGAATACATTGACGATGTTCGGTATTTATTTGAAAGTCGGTTGTACAATTTTTTTTAATTTTACCACTCAATATCAATCGTGTCAATTGTTGGTATTTCAAGCTATATGACAATTGGCATTCTGCTTGTGATCAGATTGAATATGTTAGAAACCCTTTATGTGCTAGAACATTATTATAGTTTTCTTATAAGACTCGCAAAAAATAATCGCGTCTCTATTACTTAAGTCATCACTGTCGTCACTCACACATTTTGAAACTGCCTTCTTTTCTTTAATAATAATAATAAGTTTTTTATTTCCAAGAGGTTGTACATCAAGATATTTGCTCAACGTTTAATAAAGCTACATTGGTACATATACCTGAAAACATAGCATCTGCAGCCGAACTACGAATACCTGTGCATCAGATGTCGGCGCCATATCTCCACCGTTAATTTATAAAAATATTAGGATGCAAGCAAAAGTTAAATAATCAAATACTATCTAAAAAATTTGTACATTCCGCTAACATAACCTAAGTACAATGAAAGTAATTGGATCACATATTATGTTTATATACTATATTGCCACTTATTACTATACCAAGGTACAAACAAGATAATAATTTACACTACTAATGTCGTTCCTCTCTCATAAGATGTATAAATATATGGCTGTAAGAAGTAATTGTGTAATGTGTGTTTATCGTCGCAAAGGACTCGAAGTCAAAAAAGAAAGATGTACTTCACTTTATTAAGTTGTAAATAGCATATAAACAATTTCATTCCAGTTCCTGAAGCTCCAGCTGATATTAAAGTACTGGTGCTGTCGCCCACCTCTCTACTAGTCAGTTGGAAACGGCCAGAACATCCGAATGGGGAACTCCTTTACTATACCGTGTATGTGAAGCCAACGTCTAGGTAAATATACATAAATACAGTGATTAATATTTGCGACTTTTGTCGAACTTTGTGTTTACACAATACACATGAGATCACAATCAACTTATGTAACATATTATATTATATAACGTAGGATATATACAGCACTTCGATATACCGACAGTCAACTTGGCATCGCTGAAGGGACTGTAGCACTGCTTAAATTTCGACAGAATCAAAGGCTTTCTCATAGTCCACATATGCCAGGCAAAGTGGCAGATTGTACTCTTCGGTCTTCTGTACCATCTGCCGTAGGGTATGTATGTGGTCTATGGTACTGAAGTCCCTCTTTCTCCATAAAGTCGGCCAGCTGCTGGTCCCTACGGTTCCGTTGCCCTACTCCAAATTTCCCTACCTTCAGCTCACCGCTTTCTCTTGTGCCTAGTTTTGCGTTGAAGTCTCCCATCAACACCGTGTAGTGAGTTTTGGAGGAATGCATGGCTCTGGAAATATCCTCATACATTTCCTCCACCTCCTCATCGGGATGTGCCGAGGTTGGTGCGTAAACCTGTATGACCTTCAGCGAATACCGTTTGGCGATTCTGAGTATCAGGTACGCGACCCTCGTTGACACACTCCCAATCTTTACACGTTGTTGACGAGAGACTTGTGGACGATAAATCCGACACCTCCTTGGGACAGATGGTCGCCCTCCCGGTGGTAGAACAAGTTGCCGGACTCGAGGATTGCCGTGTCCTCCCCCTCTCTTCGGACCTCGGATAATCCAATAATATGCCAGCGCAACTTGTCTACCTCTTCTTCCAGCTCCAGTATCTTCTCGTCAGTCCTCAGGGTGCGTGCGTTATATGTTACCAGGTCGAGTCGTCGTAGGTGGCAACCGAACCTCCACCGGAGATTCTTAGCACCCCCTGCCCCGCCGGTACAATGGTCGCCAGGAATAGCGGGGCCGCCGGGGACTGGGAGCCGTTTGTTTGCGTCGTTATTCATGGGGGGATATTTGCCATAGTTGCCACGCTTGGCGAGCGGGGTGGCAACCGCAGTTTTTTATTATGTTATTGTTGTTATTAGGAAGATGCTGCTGCCCATCTCCTTTCTGTGTCCCTCTGTCACCTCTTACGACACCCACGGGAAGATATGGGGTAGTGGATATTCTCAACCGCCACTACACGGCAAGTTACTGCCTTGTAGTGGCGGACGTTTTCAAGCTACTGGACTGGAAAGGATACGGTATTAACATCAATGGCGAGTACATCACTCACCTTCGATTTGCCGACGATATAGTCATTATGGCGGAATCGCTGGAGGACCTTAGCACTACGCTCAATGACCTCAATGGTGCCTCCCAACGGATAGGTCTTAAGATGAACATGGTCAAAACAAAGATCATGTTTAATATCCACGTCATACCTATGCCGATAGTTGTTGGAGCACTATGCTCGAAGTTGTTGACGAGTACGTTTACCTGGGACTAATAGTCCGACTAGGTAAGTCCAACTTCGACCGAGACGTCAATCGACGGATTCAACTCGGCTGGGCAGCGTTCGGGAAATTACGACACATCTTCTCGTCAAGTATACCTCAATCTCTGAAAACTAAAGTGTACAACCAGTGCGTGTTGCCAGTGATGACTTACGGATCTGAGACGTGGTCCTTCACTGTTAGCCGTATGAGGACGCTCAAGGTCGCTCAGCGAGCTATGGAGAGGGCTATGCTCGGAGTTTCTCTGCGTGATAGACAGAAATGAGGATATACGCAGTAAAACCAGAGTGACCGACATAGCCCAACGGATTAGTAAGCTGAAGTGGCAATGGGCCGGCCATATAGCTCGAAGAACCGATAACCGATGGGAAAGAAAGGTTCTCGAGTGGCAGCCTCGTACCGGTAGGCGTAGTGTAGGGCGACTCCCCACTAGATGGAGTGACGACCTGGTAAGATATGCAGGAAATCGATGGATGCAGGTGGCTCAGGAACGTGCTTTGTGGCATTACTTGGAGGAGGCCTATGTTCAGCAGCGGACTTGTGAAAGGCTGTAATGATCTTGATGATGATTTTTATAGAGTGATAAATGACCTCACAGTACGCCTGATGGTAATTGGATGTTACCATCAGGCGTACTGTGACGTAACTAACGCACACCCTCAGACACCCCAATTAGTATATTATGTTATAATCATAATACATACACTGAATTTTAGTTAAACATTTTTATGCACTGATTATTTATCTAATTAGTTGTACTAATTCTGATGTGGTCACAGTACAAATCCACGAACGCAAAGACTTTGAAGTGCTTGAAATAAAGTTCATTTTTCTTTATTTTTATTGAATGACAGAATTAGTAATAATACAAATAAAACTGCACTCTTAAGTCTTATTGACTTAAGTTACGGTTCATTTCAGTTGGTTTTGACTGTACAGATTTAGTTTGACTGTAATTTACGTAGTTTTAATTATTTTTGGGATAAAAAATTACCTATATTAAAAATAATAGGAATCGATTCAGTAAACGATTCTGAACAAACTACTTTCAAAGTAATTATGGTACAAGTTGTGTATATATATATACACTTTTTAACAACTTACTATTATATACACTTACAATTATATATATATATATAATTATGGTACAAGTTGTGTATATATATATAGTATATATATATACACAACTTGTAACGTTTATATTTATTAGAAGTGTGCCAGATTACGAGATGTATTAAGTAGGCTCGGCCTGAGCCACCAGGAGGCAGTTAAGGTCAGCTGAAAGCTTGTGTGTTAAGAGGGGGCTGCATAGGCAGATGTCTCGCGAATGAGGCGATTTGAGTGGGACTGAGGTTTTGGAGAATCTCTCAGAGAGTGATTTGAGGAATTGCTGAATTGTCGGGAGTTCTAAGTATCTGTGGAGGTCGGTGCTACGGACATAATAGGGTGAGTTCGTAGCCCGACGTCAGAAGAGATTTTGAACTATTTGAAGTTCATTTATTAGGTTGGGTTTAGCATGTGCGAAAATGGGGGCCACGTAGGTCATAACGCGTCGTATACAGACCTTATATAGGGTTCATGATATAGCTGCAGCGTGCCTCTCACTTATCTATATACGTAGTCGCGGTAGCGAGCCGGAGTAGGGTTATGACGTTAAACTAGTTACAAAACTTCGTGTGCAGCATATTGCTTTGACTGTAAAATATGCGGATTATGGGTGGTCAAAGAAAATATGATAACATTACCCGTGAAATTATCCTTTTATGTAGAAAAATTGATCATTAAGTTTGTACCTGTATAAAAAGTTAAAAATAAAGTTAAAGCATTGTACAATTCCTTTAACTACCACACAGCAGTAGTCCGCCACAGACGCATCGTATAGAAGCCGAAGGTCGTACAATGGCGGAGCTGAAAGACCTCACCACTGGCAGGACATATGAGACCTGGGTATCGGCCAGCACGAGAGCTGGCGAAGGCGCTGCTAGTAGAAGAGTATCGCATACTCCTTCACAAAGAGGTAAATCGCAAGTCCAATTAAACAGCTTAACGTGATTTTCAATGTAATATCGTCTAATTACAAAAAAAGTTTATGGAAAGACTCTGGTTAAAACGATGCTGTCAAAAAGCATACTTTACATTTTAGTTTGCATCATTGCCCGGGACATATTTTAACTACATTTTGTAAATTAAAACCATAACATATTTAGTTGTAAAAACTGACGTAACAACCTAACACATCACACTGCTGGGCACGATTGATTAATTTGGGTGGATCAAACGATTGAGCGGACCTACGACTAAAAGAGTATAGTAAGGTCGACGTCCGACTTTATCGAGCGGGTCTCACAGATCACAAAAGTATTAAAACTCGAAATGACTCATTTGAATGATTGACCCGAATACTTCAATAATCGGGTCACTAGAAATGAATGAATGACAAATGTCTACTCCTCTCATTTCTGAGAAAATTTTAAGGTAGGGAAATAGCCACCACGGTGTCTAGTTGGGGGACTTTACATTATTTTTTTTAATTCATCAGACATACAGCTTTCCTCGCAAGGTTCTTCACCGTCGAGTAAGTAGTAAATCGGCGTTTAAAATTTCAAGAAACAACTTCATTGGTACCGGCGGGGATCGAACGCCGGTTGCTCGGGTACTGTGAAATTTACAAGCGCTTATTATCTGAAAAACAAAACAGAACGAACTTCTACCTACCCACAATATATAGTTTCCGACACGAGTCGTGAGCACAGATAAACTGTGGTGGGAGGTAGGTACACTGTCGGGCAAAATTATTTTGTACCTTTATTATTTCAATTCGTAATTGAATATTTTCGCCGACTTTTACGAAAATGTTTACTCGAACACATCAACTTTTACTTTGATACAGTAATGTTGCAGATATTCGTGTCCGTTATTTTATTATCTACTATAAAGTATTTAATGTATACCTGGTGGTTAGAATTGATTATTATATTAAGAAGAAGGAAGAGGTGATATGCCTTCCATAAAATCTGGTGTTGCGGTGCGCCGTACAGTAGCTACTGAGACATTAGTCGCCTCAGCAGTCTGTTTATATACGTCTATGATGTTTTTGCAGTACCTAATTTTTTCATGTAACTAAACACTGAATAAACTATTTGTCGGGATTGTCTATTTAACACCGAATTCTTCCTTCTCTGCATATTTAGACCAAAATCTGAACAACCAAATTATAACAACAAAAATAATTAAAAACAAGAAATAACAAAAACAATTAATAATAAGGAATACACAAGCAACAATTAACAACGAGGTAACAAAAACAATTAACGAAAATAAACTAATTAAAAAAGTTATCACTAAAATTGCTCTTGTGTGCTGAAGCCGAATGATACGTTCGAAAATAGACGACGAGAATCGACTGATGAACCAATCACGTTGAGCGTCAGCGTGGTCAACGTCGTATCGACCAATAAATTGTGTGCTCACGACTTATGTCGGCAATTATACCGGTCCTTAAATTTTTGAAACATGATTGTCTGTTAATTACAGTCGTAGCTGGCGTAGCGTCACTAGGAGGCATGGTCTCTGTAGGAGTGGGGAGCTCTCTACTTCTAGCATGTTCGTGCGTGGGATCACCACCACCGCGCACCGTCTGGTACCACAACCACAATATCATCACACACCACCCGAGGTTCACAAGAAACCACGACGACAGTTTACTCATTAACAGTAAGTTCCTTTTTTCGTCTTCGCATAAGATTTGCTACATGGTAATTTCTACCTTGGAGCCCGTCTGGGTTTCCAGCTTCTTATCTATTTCAACGGCTAAGAAGCAATGGATACACTGATGTGTTAATGTCTGAAAGATATAGAGAGCCACTTCATCTTAAACCAAGTGGTGACAACGCAATAAGTTTTGAAATGTGTCTACAAATGTTTTCGCCGAATGCCAAAAATGTATCTGCATGTCATACATACCGCAGACTCTAAGCAATCATGGCGGAAGAACTTTTAAATATGCTGGGAGCTTAATTACTATGCAGACTGAAAAAAAGAAATAAAGGATATTTTTTTATAGAATAATGATGACAAACGAGGACACAGTCCACCTAATAGTAAGTGGATGCTGTGCCAATGAACATCTATATTTATCCTCGATTAAGAATCAAAACTCAGATGAGTTGTCACCCCTGAGGACTAAGAATGCCTCGTTTCCAGTAAAAAAGGGTCTCCGAATCTCTACACTCACCATACGAAACACAGCAGCATTAAGCTGCTATTTTACGCTGGTATTCTGCGAGAGTATGGTCCTTCCTCGGTCGAGCCGACCCATTCGTGCTACAACCATAATTTAGGCGTAGCATGGCTCTATGACGTTTAAAATTTTAGCAGACTTCAAAATTAATACCCTGATGTCTGTGTAAGAATATCTAATACCCCATGTCATCACATGTGTGCAGAGGGAACAAACCATGGTAGCATGGTCTCCATTATAACAACTAGAAACTAAAACATACGGTTTCTAGAAAATAATATCTGTGGGAAGGATGCTCAGCAGTGGACTTTAATGCATTGTGATTGGTTGATTCAAAGTTAACCCATTCCCTGTCTCTTGATTAGGGTTGCCACCTGTGCATTATAACAAAGTTTATTTTATTTACACTTCATTTCGGACAACGTTCTTTACGAGGTACGAGGATTATTAAGTACATGAAAATACTTTATATTACCTGTTTTTACGAATTTAATAGTTTACTAAAATAACGAATTATAACACAGACATTTATGTGTGAAAAGTACAAGGAAATAATTCTCACAGTTTTATCTTTTTTTTTTTTTCAGATTTATCTGCTTCGCAAAAATGGCTAAATATTTTACCAAGCATTAATGATTTTGTAAATTTATACAAAATCGTGTCGTATCTCCTATCCATTTCCGCCACTACAGTATTATTTACATAGAGTATTTTCTTTGATAAATGCTAAGTGATAGGATAAAAGAAACAGTGTTATCTTTACTTAGACACAGAATGTAAAGATTTTGTGTGGGTAAAATAGTTTATTTCACTTGTTGTACTTTATTTTTAGCTTTAAAAAACTAAAAAATAAATGACGTTATTTTATTTGCTAACCCTACTCGAGACATATTGTTTATTGCTTCTGTCCGAAAATGGATTAGTGAAAGTGTTAGAATTCATTGAATGATCAGAACTGCATTGCCAGTTTATGAAAGTATCTGCTCTGCCGTCACCAAGCCACCCATGGCAGCAGAGTGAGTTTGGAGTTAGATGGAATGGAATAACCATCCATCTTAAAATTTACTCTTATGCTTCTAATGTTCTAATTGCATTAAATGCTTTTAATTCCAGATATAGACCAATCGCTAGGTGGGAATTACACGTGTCTCGCTAAAAACTTATACGGCTCCGACTCAGTGGAGTATGTGGTCATTGTTTTACCTCTACCAGAGGCGCCTATACTACGAGCTACGCCGTATAAGGACTCTATACTAGTGGACTGGGAGCAACCTTACTACTCCATTGGTAACAGAAGCTTCACACAGAAAATCAGTAAGTTTATATTTGTGTATTTTGCGGTTCCATCGATTTTATTTTCATTATATCATCATTACAGCCCTTCACAAGTCCACTGCTGAACATAGGCCTCCCCCAAGTAATGCCACAAAGCACGGTCCTGAGCCACCTGCATCCATCGACTTCCTGCATGTCTTACCAGGTCGTCACTCCATCTAGTGGGGGGTCGCCCTACACTACGCCTACCGGTACGAGGCTGCCACTCGAGAACCTTTCTTCCCCATCGGTTATCGGTTCTTCGAGCTATATGGCCGGCCCATTGCCACTTCAGCTTACTAATCCGTTGGGCTATGTCGGTCACTCTGGTTTTACTGCGGATATCCTCATTTCTGAGTCTATCACGCAGAGAAACTCCGAGCATAGCCCTCTCCATAGCTCGCTGAGCGACCTTAAGCGTCCTCATACGGCCAGCAGTGAAGGACCACGTCTCAGATCCGTAAGTCATCACTGGCAACACGCACTGGTTGTACAATCTAGTTTTTAGAGATTGAGGTATACCTGACGAAAAGATATGCCGTAATTTCCCGAACGCTGCCCAGCCGAGTTGAATCCGTCGATTGACCTCTCGGTCGAAGTTGGACTTACCTAGTCGGACTATTTGTCCCAGGTAAACGTATTCGTCAACAACTTCGAGCATAGTGCTCCCAACAACTACCGGCATAGGTGTGACATGGACATTGAACATGATCTTTGTTTTGTCCATGTTCATCTTAAGACCTATCCGTTGGGAGGCACTATTGAGGTCATTGAGCATAGTGCTTAAGTCCTCCAGCGATTCTGCCATAAGGACTATATCGTCGGCAAATCGAAGGTGAGTGATGTACTCGCCATTGATGTCAATACCGTATCCTTTCCAGTCCAGTAACTTGAAAACGTCTTCCAATGCAGCGGTGAAGGTCCAGTTTCGGGGATATAACGTCACCCTGTCTTACACCTCTCTGCAGTTGGATAGGTTTCGAGCTCTGGTTCTGTACTCGGATAGCCATCGTAGCCCTACTGTACAAACACTTCAGCACTTCGATATACCGACAGTCAACTTGGCACCGCTGAAGGGACTGTAGCACCGCCCAAATTTCGACGGAATCAAAGGCTTTCTCATAGTCCATATACGCCAGGCAAAGTGGCAGATTGTACTCTTCAGTCTTCTGTACAATCTGCCGCAGGGTATGTATGTGGTCTATGGTACTGAAGCCTTTTCGGAAACCGGCTTGTTTGGGAGGCTGGAAGTCGTCAAGTCTGCGTGCGAGACGATTCGTAATGACTCTCGAAAACAGCACGTAGACGCGGCTCAGAAGGGAAATCGGTCTGTAGTTCTTTAAGAGAGCGTTGTCGCCTTTCTTAAAGAACAAGACCACCGCACTTCTGCTCCACGCCTCTGGAGTAATGCCACCATGGAGAACGGAATTGAAGAGCTTCTGAAGGACTTCAAGTACCGGTGTTCCACCCGCTTTCAGAAGCTCCGCTGTAATTCCATCCTCGCCTGGGGCCCTGCCGTTTTTAAGGTGCTGGAGAGCCATTCTAATCTCGCTTAGACTGACGTCCGGGATATCATCGGAATAGTGTCGGATAAGACTTGCTCTTGGATCGTTACTCACACTTGCGTGTGGCTCCAAAGATGATGTGTACAGCTGCCCATAGAACCTCTCAATCTCACTCAAAATCTCAGGTGTCCCGGAAACGATGTTGCCACACTCAGTCTTCAGCCTTGACAGTTGGCTCTTTCTGGCAGACAGATCTCTGGCAAAGACTTTGGAGCCCTGGTTCCGCTCGATCGCTTCTTTAATACGAGAAGTATTAAAGTTGCGTAAGTCTCGCCGTATGCATTTGGAGATCTGTCTGTTCAGTTGCCTGTATGCTGTCAAATCTGTTGACGATTGCAGCCTCATCTCCCGTCTAACAGCCATGAGATTAAGAGTGTGATCGGAGAGTTTTTGTGTTCTTCTGCGGCGGGTCTTGCAGAACTTAGCTCCGACCGCATGGACAGTTTCCACGAGCTTGTCGTTCATATCGTCCACTGCATTGCAATCTTCTAGGCACTGGAAGCGGTTACGTAACTCGAGCTGAAAGGTTTCGGGATTCTGGATTAGAGCACGAGGGGGACGGAGCGTTGACTTCATTAGACGAGACCTCTCCAACTTAACGTTTAGGTTCAGTGTGCCTCTAACCATTCGGTGATCGCTGCCAGTTTTCACCCTTGCGATCACTGAGACATCACTGAACAGTTGGCGTCTGGTCGTCATAATGAAGTCAATCTCATTTTTTGTCGAACCGTCGGGGCTCGACCAGGTCCACTTCCTGTGGGGCCGCTTCTGGAAGAAAGAGTTCATCATAAAGAGTCCCTCTTTCTCCATAAAGTCGGCCAGCTGCTGGCCCCTTCGGTTCCGTTGCCCTACTCCAAATTTCCCTACCTTCAGCTCACCGCTTTCTCTTGTGCCCAGTTTTGCGTTGAAGTCTCCCATCAACACCGTGTAGTAGGTTTTGGAGGAATGTATGGCTCTGGAAATATCCTCATACATTTCCTCCACCTCCTCATCGGGATGTGCCAAAGTTGGTGCGTAAACCTGAATGACCTTCAGCGAATACCGTTTGGTGATTCTGAGTATCAGGTACGCGACCCTCGTCGACACACTCCCAATCTTTACAACGTTGTTGACGAGAGATTTGTGGACGATAAATCCGACACCTCCTTGGGACAGATGGTCGCCCTCCCGGTGATAGAACAAGTTGCCGGACTCGAGGATTGCCGTGTCCTCCCCCTCTCTTCGGACCTCGGATAATCCAATAATATGCCAGCGCAACTTGTCTACCTCTTCTTCCAGCTCCAGTATCTTCTCGTCAGTCCTCAGGGTGCGTGCGTTATATGTTGCCAGGTCGAGTTGTCGTAGGTGGCAACCGAACCTCCACCGGAGATTCTTAGCACCCCCTGCCCCGCCGTTACCATGGTCGCCACCGTAGCCAGGAATAGCGGGGCCGCCGGGGACTGGGGGCCGTCTGTTTGTGTATTTATTCATTGGGGGGTATTTGCCATAGTTGCCACGCTTGGCGAGCGGGTTGGCAACCGCAGTTTTTTATTACGTCACAGTTGTCATCAGGAAGACGCTGCTGCCCATCTCCTGCCTGTCTCCCTCTGTCGCCTCTTACGACACCCACGGGAAGATATGGGGTAGTGGATATTCTTAACCGCCACTACACGGCGGTTAAGAATATCCACTATATCTATATATACTGGATGATCCTTTTACCGTCTGGAAAAAAATAGGAAGTAACATGTAAATGGAGTGGAAGTGGAAGTGGAAGTTTCCATGGAGAGTGCTCTGAAGAATTGTTCGAATTAATAATAATTAAGACTATATGATTTGATAGCTCTTCATCGGTCAATCAAATAATAAAGGATCAAAAGGACGTTGCTTTATCGAAGTCATTTTAACAGTTGACATTAAGTATATTAAATATTTTGTCAATTTTAGTATGACGTATTGTAGTTAGTTTTTATTAAGTAAATTTTTCTAAGTGTTCGTAATTATTGCCAAAGCTTGATTGTTATTTTTTATTGATATATTAGTTATAGCATACGACTTTGTGTTTTTCTATCTATCCTCCTCCCAGTTTTGGTTTTATAGAACGGCAAAGCTTAAGGTCCAGGACCATATTAGGACCATATTACCCTCATGTACCCTATATGTAGTCGCCTCTTACGCCAACCAAGGGAAATGGTTTCTGACAATAATATCACTTTAATTAATAAACTTTTGTAAGTTGTAAGTAATTTTTGCAAACATCGAAGCTTAATTACCGTCCCTTGCACTACAATAACAAAAGAGTACTCCACAGGAGCCGGAGTATGACGTTAAACTAGTTACATAACTTTGTGTGCAGTTATATTGCTTTAACTATAAAATGTGCGGATTATGAGTGGGCAAAGATATGATAAGGTTACCCATTAAATTGTCCTTTTATATAGAAAAATTTATGATTAAGTCTATACCTGTATAGAGAGTTAGTCAGACCTTTTTACCGTCTGGAAAAAAATAGGAAGTAACATGTAAATGGAGTGGAAGCTTGGGCACTGATATTTTATAAAAAATAAAAACAAAAATTTTGAATTATATTAATTAAATAATTAAAATCTATCGAAATTCGAATCATATACACCCTACTTTACGAACGGCAATAATACAATAAATTTAGCAGGCATTTTTGACTTTGTCACTTCGCAGGGTCACCGGCTCAAGAGCAAAGGATAAAATAATTGTGCAAAAATGTATTTCAAAGGTTTAATTCAAAAAAAATTGTTTATATGTTTTGTAAAGTATCAGTGCCATTGCCATATTTTTGAATGACACCTTTTTCATTTACGCTTTAGATAAAACATACTTTACGTTTCGTCCGCGTAGTCAATATTGAGCACTATTTGAAAAATCATCGATGCTATCATTTAGTAAGAGCTGAAAGTTTAACCACGACAAAAACTTTTACGTCAATCCGAGACGTTTCTAAAATATAGGCACCGATCTTAAGGTTTATGATTTTCAGGTTACAGTCTAACGTGGAAAGAGGCAAGCGGTCCGTGGCAGGAAGCTTGGCCAGCGAACAAGCTACCTAATCTTTCCGGTGTTCAAAAGCACGCACTAACTGGCCTTAAATGTGGCACCAAGTACTCCCTGCGTATAACTGCCACCAATAAAGTTGGGACTTCGCAACCAGCTTATATTGACGTCAGCACGTTAGGTGGAAGTGAGTATCATTTACTTTTATTTCTTATATTTGCACCATTCAGTACCACATTGAGTATTCCTTTTTTATATAGGGGACGACGGCAAACGAGCATATGGCTCACCTGATAGTAAGTGATTACCGCCGCCAATTAATAACTGCAACACCAGCGGAATTGCAGATGCGTTGCGTTTTAAAAAGGAGAAGGCTCTTTTCTTGAAGGTCCCTGAAGACAAGTTATTTGCTTAAAACATGTCTTCAGGGAATTGAACTGGACTAGATTTAGTCGCCCCCAGTCCGAGAGTTTGTTCAATAAAGTCTTGACTTCAGACACAAATTCGAATTATTTGAATGATACCATGTAGATGGTGGTGCTTATCCAGACCTGCTCTTAGGGACATAATTAGTAATACCACCACCCAGCGCTGCTGGATCCTACTCCTCTTTAAGCTAGACCGTTTAGTCGTCACCGTTAGCAATGTATATCCAGAGATCGTTATAACTACATGATGTGGAACGTGAAACGCCTCATTACCAGTAAAAATGATCTCCATTTCTCACCACTTATGAAACACAGCAGCATTACGCTGCTATTTTACGCTGGTATTCTATGAGTGTGGTCCTTTTCCGGCCGAGCCGAACCTATAATTTCTATATGAAATAGATCTTTTGCAAGTTAAATCAGAGCATTCTGGTTCTGATATTTTTTAATAATAATTTACTCGCTATTTGGTTCTCAATACAAATACCTTCAGTGGTCCATTGATAATATGAATAATGTTGAAGGTCGATATTTTTATCGATATGACAACATTGCCGATACAATATTATCGAAATCGCCAATATTGTTACCGATGCGATGGAATTACAGACAAGAAATGCAGGTATCATACCCTAACCTTTTCATAATTGTCATAAGTCACTTGCCGGGGGTTTCTTCTTCTGTATGTGTGATTCGCCCGCCGTACTCCTATTTACACAAGTGGTAAATTTATAAAAAAGTACATCCGACTTCAATACAACCTAATCAATGTATTCGAAGTCATTTAAATACGCATTATGTAAATATTGACTGGTGGTCTCAAAAGCTACTGGTCAGATCTTAATTAAATTTATATGGGACCACACGGAAAGCAGCAGCTTTCAAATAAAAAGAATCGTCAAAATCAGTTCACTCAGAAGAGAGTTCAGAGGTAAAACACATAAAAAACGTACAGTCGAATTGAGTACCTCTTCCTTTTCGGATGAGGCAATTACTATCTTTGAGTCGATGGATAGATATTCCTTAATTGACAAAATATCAATATAACTACGAGTATAAAAAAGTTCGAAATCATCGAATATCGATATATATATGGTATCCAATATGTATATCGGACACGAGATATATATCGAGATTATTTTTAATATTGAGCTATTATATACCATGTTATACCTAATTCAATGTACACCCCTACAAATATAGTACGAGGGTATAATATGGTCATCCGGTTAATATGGTCACGTTCTTGTAACTCTAAAATTACAGACTTGTTTGCATAGATGACTTTGTGATACGATAACTCTCCATCGGTCAATAAAATACTACCTAAAGGGTCAAAAAAGCGCTGCTTTATCGACTCTATTTTGACAGTTGACATTATAGTAAATATTTTAGTCGATTTTAGTATGGCGTATAGTTAGTTTTTTTAAAGTAGATTTTCGGAAGTGTTCTTAATTATTGCCAAAGCTCGTTTGCTATTGTTGCGCAGCTAAGTTGACATCTGGCACTGGCGCCATCTGGTGTCGGGTAACAGCGAGGAGAGCTTTCCAGAAAATACATGACTAGTCTTTCAACCAACAGCGCCATCTAGTATCGAACAGAAGAATTAAGCTTTCTGGAAGCCGCATAGTACGAATTTTCTGCGCTTGGTCGGTTGACGCGCGTATTTACTTGAATATTCTGGATGTTTTCGTGGAAGAGCCCTATATAAAGGCGCTGCAATACGCGATCGGGGAAGTATTGAATTTGGCGAGACGAGCGAAGCTTCGGAGCGGAATAAAGTGAATCAGTGTGATTAATTATTAGTGTTTTAAGTTTAATTAGTGTAAAGTGAATTAAAGTGTTAATTTCGGTAATTAAATCGGCAATTTTTATTGTCACTAACCCTAAGCACGTAACACTATTTTTATCTTAATTTATAGTATACGACTTTGTGTTTTTGTCTGTCCTCCTAGTTTTGGTTTTATAGAGCGGCAAAGCTTAAGATGACCATACCTCACGTACCTCACAATACTTAAAAGTTTTACGATACTATATCTATGAGTTAGACTGCTGTTAGACGTGTCCATTGTTTCAGTTCCGATTCCACCGTCCACAAACGAATGGCTCTGGAGCAACTGTTCGCATATATACGTGCAGCTCGCGGGATGGGATGACGCTGGCTGCGAAATGAGAAGTTGGGATGTCGATTATCGTGTGCTTGGTTCGAGGAATTGGATCCGCGCTCACAATACACTGGTAAGGAAGATTTGATTGCAATAATCAAACTTAATCAAAACCTCTTTTCTAAATATAAAATACAGGACTCGTAAATATAAAGATTTGTTTAAAAATTTTTTGAATTTTATAAATAAAATCGTTATACCCACACTAGGATTTTCTGGTGTATCGTGAAGGCAATTTACATCCATAAAATGTACAAAGCCAAACATCCAGACCCGGAACAATTAATAGTAGGTCATGCAAATACTTATTCCGTGCGAGATTCGAACCCGCGGTCCTCAATGCTATAACTCATTGCTAAGCCACTGCGCCACGGAGACGTCAAAATATTATTTCACGTTCAATTATAATCTTATTGTATTATCTTTTAGGTTAGTTTAATAGGTTAATCCTGCCAAAATGATACTGATGCTGAAAAAATAAAAGTTCGTTACACTGTGGTATTATAATCTCATTTGCAAATGTTTAAAACACTTTGTAAGCGCTTGATATATTTGCTCATGTCGTAAAAGCCAATCCTCAAAATTGTCTCTTAACTAACCAAATGTAAAATAACAGAATTTTATTGGTTTTTACGAATGTCATTAATATAGACTACTGTTCGTGGGAGGCTAATCTGCCTACGGGTTGCACACTTTAGCACATTACACCCATAAGACAATTTCAAATTCGATTTTTTTAGTATTGGTATACATTAGTCCTCATACGGCCAGCAGTGACGGACCACGTCTCAGATCCGTATGTTATCACTGGCAACACGCACTGGTTGTACAATCTAGTTTTCAGAGTTTGAGGTATACCTGACGAGAAGATGTGTAGTAATTTCCCGAACGCTGCGTATGAGGACGCTCAAGCGCTATGATGAGACGCTAATGCTCGGAGTTTCTCTGCGTGATAGCCTCAGAAATTAGCATATCCGCAGTAAAACCGGAGTGACCGACATAGCCCAACGGATTAGTAAGCTGAAGTGGCAATGGGCCGGCCATATAGCTCGGAGAACCGATAAACGATGGGGAAGGAAGGTTCTCAAGTGGCAGCCTCGTACCGGTAGGCGTGGTGTATATACATGGAGTGACGACCTGGTAAGACATGCAGCAATTCGATGGATGCAGGAACCGTGTTTTGTGGCGTTACTTTGGGGAGGCCTATATTCAGCAGTGGACTTGTGAAGGGCTGTAATGATGATGATGATACATTAGTTACCTACGCTTCCGTTTGTACGCTATTTTATTATTAAATCAAACAATGTTGTTGCATATCACTGATAAAAATTAAAAACGTAAAATTTCTATCGCAGTTTTTCTTCGTCAGAAGTATTATTTTAAACGGCTGAAGAATAAAAAAAATCGATAATTTTAATTTCTGACTCCGAAAGTAAGAACTCTTTTCATTTATATATATGAACGTTGGGCTCGGCTAGGCCTACATTATTATCCTTTTACTTTTGCTGACTGTATTGTTGCTCTAGTGCAGGGGTTCCCAAACTTTTAAGGTAATGGAACACTTATCAAATCCCTTTTGTTCTATGAAACCCCACATCAAATGATTATAGACAGTACAATCGAAATATTATAATTTTCAATAACTACCTACGTACCCAGTGGTTCTTTTCCTTACATATTTTGTGCCATTTTATAAATAATATTTATACTTAAGAGTAAAATTATTTAACGAGTAAAAATAAATAATTTCGCGGAACCCTGGTGACTTTTTCACGGAACCCATAGATTCCGCGGAACCCTCTTTAAAAATCTCTGGTTTAGTGTACATCATTATTTATACATTTGAACGTAAATATAAAATTTGGATACTCTTTGAAAGATAGCCCTGTAACGTTATTCCTTAGTCTTTAATAATTTCTTCAAACATATTTCTTTGTTTTTTGTGTTCTATACATATATATATAAGCATTATTTATAGAGATACACCGACCCGGCTTGGAGTATATACCAAGCTAACACCCCGACGTACCGCACTAGTTCATTCGCCATCAGCGACCTGTCACCTGGTACTTGGTATCAAGTTCGAATCACTGCGACTAACGAAGCTGGAAGTGTGACCACTACTTATAATTTTGCCACCAAAAACTTAGACGGAAGTAAGTACACTATCAATTTTTTACTTATACGATGTGCACAATTGCCTATTTAGTAATTATCTATTTAGTACCAAATTCAACATATTGAATCGCCTTGGTGTATTCCTGTCAGACAAAGATTTTTTTTTCAAATGATATCAAATTATACAACAAATTAATAATTGTTATCTATGGTAATTGCAGTTAACTATGACATCTGGACGTTGAACATCTCAATCCCCCCGTGACCATGGGTGCTGTAAAGTGCTTGAAACGGCGGGTATACAAAAAAGTTAATATGCGCGATGTAATCCGTAAAAAACTGGTATTATTTAATTGTTTAATGTTCGCGTAAATCTAAGAAATCATTATGTCAAATTACATTATACACTTTTTTGCATTCAAATTCTGTATGGCTTTACCACTTCAGATTTTCATCAATGTGAACGCCAATAATTGTTATTTGCACTTCTTTGTCATTATACTGAATTCTTAAATTAAAATTATGATTAGTTTTTTGTTTAAATTGTATTATTATTGCATTTTTTCTGTCCGTATTACGGAGGTTACTGTGGTAAAGTTATGAATTTACCTAACTAAATTGCGTGAAATTAAAGATTCATAGTTTCATCTTAAAGGGTTACTTTTATAGATAGAAAGAGAAGTTGGATTAAAAGCTCCTTGAAAACTATTTAAAAAATAGATTTTATAATTATATTTTTTTTAAACGTGGTAGTCATGCAGCAGGTATATTATGGTTATAACTGCTGGGCTCGGCTGGGGAATCACCGAATACTAGAGTAAAACACAGAATATTAGAGTAAAATAGCAGCTTAATACTGTTGTGTTTCGTATGGTGATTGTAGAGATCCGTAGATCCTTTTTTACTGGAAACGAGGCATTCCATCTTAGTCCTCGGAGGTGACAACGCATCTGCGTTTTGATTCTTAATTGAGGATAAATGTAAATGTCTATGGGCCACAGCATCCACTTACCATCGGGTGGCCTGTGTACTAGTTTGTCATCCTTATTCTAAAAATAATAATATTTAGGATAATATTATTTTGGAATGTAAAACTGATTTGCGTAACACTGCTGACTAGTTGCTCCACAGCCCTCTCAGAAACAAGAGTGCTACTACAGAACTGCGATAGCTGATGTACCAGGTCGAGGGGTCCCTCTGGGAAGTTACTTATTTCTGACCCAAAAAGGCAGTGCTTGCACTGCTGCATTTCGGTCTGAAGGGTATAGAGGATCCGTTTGACAGATTGTGGGGTATTCCATCTTAGTAGGGTCTGAGAAGGGACAATACACCTGTAGCCTTTTTGTGTGAAACTTGCTGCAGATGTCCATGGACTGCAGTAGCCACTTATCATCACGTGGAGTAAGTTCGTTTATCACTTTTTTTTTAAATATTTTATTCGTGTTTGAACAATTAACTACATTGATCGCTATTTGACTCGATTTTCTCGTTGGTCTAGTGGTTGTGTAGTGCGACTGCTGATCATGAGGTCCTGGGTTTGAATCCCGGGTCAGAACAAATAATCAAATATTGCGTTTTTCCGTCAAGAAATTCTCAGTAGCTGCCTGGAGTCAGGAATTTGGCGGTGGCCCTGCGCCCATTTTTTACCGTCCCATCTGATTTTGAGAGTGAAGGAATAGAGTGTGCACTTATGCCGGCGCATACACTTGGGCACTATAATCCTGTCCTGCGCCGTTGGCTAGTCTCCGTGGACGCTTGCCGCCATGACTGAAATTCGGTCTGGAGCACATTATATTCATCGTATATTACTATCATTTCAGGTGAAGTGGGACCACCTTCCGAACTATTGGACGTTAACATGTTGGTTATAATCTGCAGTTCGATATTGCTGGCTTTGTGCCTCGTCAGCTGCATTTATATACTGGTTAAGAGGCAGAGGTTAGTAATTTAGGAAATTGTATTTTATTACATCATACAAACAGTGCTTTACAAAACGAATATAGAAGTGAAGAAGTTGCAGTTGCACAATTGGATCGGCTCAACCGGAGAAGAACGACACTCTCACAGAATATTAACGTAAAATTAAATAGCAACATGGTGTATACTTCGTGCCAAATCGATTGAGAAAAACGGATGATGACCTCAGATATGAACCGAGTGTCAAAAGGCGTAACTTACAAAATCTCCATTTAGATGTGATAAGAATATTTAAATATTGATATTATTCACACTTCTAGGTTAGCACATATGTTTTGTTTTTTGTTTATTAAATAATATTGTCTGTGGTTCTTATAAACATCGTAAAATCTTACGGTACATCGCGAAAAATGTGTTATATTTTATATTTCAATTTATGGTAAGTAACGCAGCAATTCATTTAATACCAGTCTCATATTAAAACGAATATTTGAAGCAATATAATCGCTATATTGAGCTTTTGCAACTTCATCCCTTTAAAATAAACAAAACGCACGTTAAGTCAGTTCGTTCTAAAAGAAACTTGACATTAGCGGCCAGAGATGCGTTACTTTTTTTGGGCCGGTCCGCATGCACCGAATAAAAATAAAGTTCTTATATTATATTGCAAATAAAGTTTTATCTTTTGAATAAGTACGTACTTATTCGGTGTCTTTATCACTCGAATCTTTATATGTGTTATTTTTTAATGCTTTTTATTGTTAAATGAATAAAGTACTTTATAACAGTAGATGATTTTTCTTCTACAGCGATCATTTACACAACTCTTTAATAATATTAACATAACACATAAACACTCACGCCTGTCACCCAGAGGGGTAGGCAGAGATTACGGACTTCTATTTGGCACGATCCTGACATACCTCTTTCGCCTTCTTTACATCCATATATCTACGCATACATGCTCGTCGGTTAAGGGTACTTCTAACGTGGCCCATTTTCAAAATATCGCCAATTTGGTCGACAAACTTTTTTCTAGGGCGTCCCTTCCCGACTCGGCCGTTCACATCTGCCATATAAATTTGCTTTGTCACTCTTTCATCATTCATTCTTTCTACGTGACGAAACCACCGAAGCATTCATTTCTTAATCCTGGTCACAACATCATCTTGCATACCACATTTATCTCTTATCACGCAATTTCTCACCCTGTCATTCAGATTAAACCCTAGCATATTTCTTAAAGAACGCATTTCTACAGCATTTATTCTACTTTCGTGCTTCTTCTGCCACACCCAGCTTTCACTACCATACATTAACGTAGGGACTAACACAGCATTATGAATTACCATACGTGCCTGTTTTGACACATTCTGGTTCTTCATAATAGAGTGTAGTGCCCCATTCACTCTATTCCCTGCATTTACTCGTCGTTCTATATCCCTATCATATCTACCATCCCTGCTAAATACACATCCCAAATACACAAACTCATCCACTTGCTCCATTAACTCTCCTTCTATTCTTATTTCACATACCGTTTTGCTTTCTTCTCTTTCAAAAACCATCACTTTCGTCTTACTTGCGTTCACTTTCATTCCCCTTTCTTTTAATTCCCAGTTCATTAATGTAACCATCATTTGCATCTCAGCCGCTGATGCCGCAAATATGACTTGATCAGCGGCATACAAAAGGCATTTGACGGTTAACTCGCCCATTCTTAAACCACATTCTTCATCTTTCAAAGTTTGCAAACACCGGTCCATAAATAGGTTGAACAGCCAAGGGGAAGCTACACAGCCCTGTCTGACACCTTTTTTAGATGCCAAACCAGTCCGAGTAGACCCCATTGATCCTGACACAAGCACTAGAGTCCCTATAAATAGACCCTAATGCCTGTATCAAACCAGCGCTCAACCCATATGAGTTCAGTGTTTGCCATAACACATTCCTGTCCACTCTGTCATAAGCCTTTTCCAAGTCCATGAACGCACAAAAAACTTTCTGGTTTTTGGCCAAAAACTTCTCCGCAATCATGCGCATGGAAAGGACTTGATCTGTGCACCCCATTCCCTTTCTAAAACCCGCTTGCACATCCCAAATTTTTCCATCAGTTTCTTTCATAACTCTTTCAATTAACACCTTAGCATACAGTTTACCCACAATACTAAGCAAGCTGATACCGCGGTAGTTTTTGCAGTCCTGCTGTGACCCTTTTCCTTTATATATTGGTACTATAACTGCTTTACACCAGTCATCCGGTACCCGTTTTAATTCCCAACATAAATTAAACAAGGTGTACAGCAGGCCTGCCACCACTCCCTCTCCAGCCCTTAGCATCTCGAGTGATACTCTATCATATCCAGCTGCCTTACCTGCTTTCATGCTTTTCATTGCTTTCATTGTTTCATCTACACTTATCTCCATACCCCTTTCCACTTCTTTCGGAATTTCTAGTTCATTTAATTCATACGACTCTTCACTCATAAACACGCTTTCAAAGTATTCCTTCCATCTGTTTAAATTCGAAACTTCATCATTCAGAATACATCCATTCTCGTCTCTTATAGCATTTATTATAGGCTGTTTTGTATTTCCCCTGGCAGTTCTTACGAGTTTCCAGAACATTTTTATGTTAGCCTGGAAATTATCAGATATCCTTCTATCATTCTTATCCATTCTTTCTTTCTTTTTCCTTTCAACAACTTCTTTTACTCTCTTATTTAGACGTCTAAATTCTGCCTTTTTTCTTTCAATCTCATCATTCATACCAGAAGAATTACCAGCTTTGGTTGCTAGTAAATCTAACCATGCTTTCTTCTTTGATTCAACTTCCACCCGTACCTCATCATCCCACCACAACGTATTACTTTTCCTTTCATTTGTTCTTTTACTTACACCACATACTTCGGTGGCGGTATCCACCAAACCTTTCTTAATATTATCCCACACAGTCTTCAAGTCTAAATCATTCATACACAACTCATTCAAACACCTAATATTTTCTCTCAGTCTACATTTATACTTCTCTTTCACATCTTCATCTTGTAACTTCTCTATTCTTATACGCTGTAACGCAGTGGTAGACACAGATGTCCGATGCCGCCAACGCTTGAAAAGACCATTAATTCGACATAAGACCAAGTAATGATCCGTCCCTACGTTGGACCCCCGGTAAACCCTTGTATCTACGACTGCGCTCCTCATTCTTTCATCCACAATTACGAAATCTATCATGCTTCTATCATCACCTCTTTCCCATGTATACATGTGAATCTTCTTATGACGAAAAAAGTATTCGTCACAAAAAGATTCTTTTCCGCACATACGGTGAGGAGGTCTTCACCATTCTCATTTATACTTTCATCACCAAACGTTCCCAATATCCTTTCATAACCAGACCTCTTCACCCCAACCCTTCCATTAAAGTCTCCTAACATAATAATATTTCCATTTTCCTTACATTTTGTCAACACCATCCTTACCATGTCCCAAAACTGCTCTCGAATGTAAGCGGGCTTAGACATGTCTGGGGCGTACACCCCTAGCAGGAACATCTTCTTTAAGCCCACTTTCATTCGTATCCATAGCAGTCTCGGGCTTACACATTCATACTCTTTCACACATTGACCCATTCTTTCTGAAAGGATGAAACCGACTCCCTGGCACGCCCGTTCGGTCTCGCCTACACCAGACCAATACGCGGTATACGTGCCATGTGCAGTGGCATCCTTTCCCTTTCGTTTCGTCTCATTCACACATAACAAACACATCTATTCCTCTGTCATTCATCATTTCGCATACTTCATCCATCTTATCATTCATTCCTCCACATACATTCAGCGTAGCCAGACGGGTTTCTGCAATCCACTTTTCGCCCCTCCGGGAGACAGAACGTGACGGGTGGCGAACCTCGTCGCCGGTTTTTCTGCTCCATTAAAGGTATATTATTACGTATGTAAGGATATCGATAGATTAAATTAATCACGAAATATTATGTGTAGCAACGTTCACTTCTTGATGTAGTGATAAACATACCAGCTGGGGTACTTGCTGGTCTTTCCTAGGGCATAGGTTTATATCCGACCTAGTGGTAATCACTTTCAATATTTTGTACTTGTTATTTTGCATCCGAATTGATTTATTCTATTCAATCCTATTCCATTACGCTCTATTCCGATCTATTCTGTTCCATTCCATTCTATATCATTACATATTATTCTACTTCACTTAACTCTACTTCACACTACTTATTTTTATGGCATTAAAGTGTCAAACGAGCTCAGTCTGATCGATGGTCAGTGACTAAGTGGTACTGCAGCCCGTAGAAACCTGCTTCCAACAACAAAGATGTTATCAGGTCAGGCAAACCCAGGCGGGCACATTTTTATATGAGATTTAAGTGACTAATGAACTTACATTTGGTCTAATGGTCTGCGGCTGCTGCAGCCCATGGACACATGCAAACCATCATAGAAAGATGGCTAAATAAGTGCGTTGTCATCTCTTAGCACAAAAATGAAATAATGATTTCTTATATTTACGCGAACACTACACATTGAAATAATACTAGTTTTTACGGAATTTATCGCGTATATTTAACACATCTATTCCTCTGTCATTCATCATTTCGCATACTTCATCCATCTTATCATTCATTCCTCCACATACATTCAGCGTAGCCAGACGGGTTTCCGCAATCCACTTTTCGCCCCTCCGGGAGACAGAACATGACGGGTGGCGAACCTCGTCGCCAATAATAATAGTAGTTAATAAATATATATTAATATCAATCATTATAAAAAATATAAAAAATCATTATAAATAAAGAAAGTACTACATATAAAAAGTTCCTATATATTGAAGGTTAGGTAACCAGTGGTTAAACGACCGAAAGGTCAATGTCCGTTTTTCTCGATCGTATTTGGCACGTACTATAGTGTTACGAATAGTGTGTATGAGATTTAAACGATCGCTTTAGTATGATAGTAAATCGCTTGTTTGTTGAAAATACTGTTAAAGATTGTACAAAAAAGAGAAAGCCATAGAGCAATCCCCTTAGTTTATACCTTAAAATGTAATATCATCATCGTGATAGTGTAGTCATCGTGATAGTGTAGCTAAAATCCGTCAAGCCATTTCGGAGATTAGCCGGAACAAACATACAGGCAATTTTTTTTCTTACAAATGAAGCTTTGTACGGACTAAACGTTCCAATGTACGCGTAATCTAGGTATGTTGAATACGCGTACAGGGTATCTTTATGCATTGTGGGATTATGAACGCGTAGTGATAAGTCGCAAGTCGGCTAGCCACCAGCGAGTATCTGCCATGCCTTGTAACACAGCTGACGTGTGCGCCACCACTGTGGCACTTCTAATTGTGCAACCAAAAGCCAAGTGGCGACGACTCGCTGCGATTCGACACGCCTGCTCATATATTTTTTTCTTTTTTTTTTAAACGTTACCCCTACACTAAGATTTTCTCTTGTATCGTGAGGGCAGTTTACAAACATAAATTGCACAAGGACAAACATCCAGACCCGGAACAACTATTTGTAGGCCATACAAATATTTGTTCCGTGCGGGATTCGAACCCGCGACCCCCAGCGCAGCCACTCATTGCTAAGCCACTGCGCCACGGAGTCGTCGAAAAAATATTGTGCACGCGTAGCTGCAAGTGCGGACTAAGCGTCGCTGTGTACGCACAGCCGATTATGCGTACATTGGAACGATTAGTCCGTACAAGGCTTCCTGTTTAAGCTTTCATATGCATTTAGTAAAAAGTTATTATTTTGACATTACAAACAGATGCTTAATTTTTTATTTTTTATTAACTGGCTTTACGGCTCTGGATTCTAGCCCTTCTGAGCCTATCATTTCTTACAGAATCTTCATTTTTATATTCTTTTTCTTCCAATATGCTGAACCAAGCAAGCGGACAGTTGATGACGACAGCCTGTTCATGAGGCGCCCAAGCGATCAAAATGACTTGAGGTTTATATCGACATCAAAGCACTTGTTTCGTCGTTTCTCTAGTAGTTCACACGCGCGGACACTTAATTCACAAAATTGCATTACTTTTACGAATCAAAATCCACTTCAAACCATTATTTAAGCGACAAAATAGGAGCGTCGATCCGTCTACGGCCAAGTTCCCGCTAATACTCCACAGATGCTTAAATGTTATTTATTTGTATAGATTAATGAGTTGTTCTAGAGCCGGCAACCTAACCGAGTACCGGGACTCCATCACGGCGGACAAGTCCGGCAGCGGCGACGTGACGGCGAACACGTCGCACAGCAACCTCGCCGGCGTGAAGGACAACGCAGCGAACGCGCAGAACAGGATATATAGCGCGCCAATACACATGAGGAACAATAGCAAACATGGTTAATGTTCTTTCTGTCTTTCTCTTTTTTATACAATAAGGGTGACAAACGAGCACACAGTTCACCTGATGGTAAGTGGATGCTGTGGCCCATAGACATTTATCCTCGAATAAGAATCAAAATTCGGATGCGTTGTCACCCCTGAGGACTGACAGGGTAGGATATCCGGATCTCTGCCCTCACCATACAAAACCCAGTAGTGTTAAGCTGCTATTTTACGCTGGTATTCTGTGAGAGCGTAGTCCTTCCCCGGTCCAACCAACCTCCGTCGTGTGCTGCAACTTGGCTCTACCACGTATGAAAATTCTCTTCCTCTCCATAGCTCCATCCCTCTCTCTCTCTCTCTCTCTCTCTCTCTCTCTCTCTCTCTCTCTCGCTCTCTCTATCTACCATATCTAATTTTCTATCCCTTCTTAATCTTTATTAATTTTATTAAATTTTACAAAATACCAGCATAAAACAATAGCTTAATGGTGCTGTGTTTCGTATCGTGTGTAGAGAACCGGAGATATTTTTTTACTGATAACGAAGAATTCTTAGTCCTAGAGGAAACAACGCATCTACGTCTGGATTATTAATCGAGGAATAAATATCTGGCCATGGACACAACATTCACTTATCATTAGGTAGACTATACTGTATACTACTTTGTCATTCTTATTCTATAAAAATGTCCCATAAACATTAGACCTGTAAGTTCCTGATTTATCTTAATGAGCTTATTATGGATAATTAATGTGTATATAGTATAATATAATATATTTTTATGTGCGAGTGTGTATATGCACGTTTATGTATATGTATTTTCTTACCTTATGTTTATTCTTAAAAACTTATACTTTGAGTGAATGCTTAATTCATTATTATTTTTTTAAATGGACTGTTAGCATCGATAACGACGCGGGCGCAATATCGAATTAATACTTATCAGGGCTCTGGTGAAAATCAGCGCTGCTGCAGTACGTGTGGTAGCATATGCTGAGACGGAATCCTTTCTGGCATCACATCACTACTCTTGCCGAGACTTATTTTTAATTATGTTTACAATCTTGTACCTAGTGTGTGTTTTATGTTCTTATTTACTTCTAAATGTGTATTTTGTGAGTGTATTGATGCTAATTAAACCTATGTCTATGTCTACTTACGTAAGATTTTAAAATCATTACATAACTAAAATCGACGATATAATGTACGCCCAAAATATTATACTTGTAGATATAAGGTCAATTTGACTATAAAAGTGAGTTTGGTTTGTCACTTGTACATTCCCAATAAACAGTAGCCTTCTGGCAACGAAAATTTTATATTATTTCCTCTTTACAGAACTATATGAAATAAGTCCGTACGCACAGTTCGCCGTCGGCTTTCGGACGTTTGGACACGTAGAGAACCAAGACATGCCATGCCGGCAAAATAAACTTAGATACGATACTGGTATGTATCGATATGCAAGTGTACTCGATCATTTTTGCCTACAGATCCCTTGCCATATTTTAGCAGGAATATTTGTTTGCAGTATCAAAAAACACATAAAATAATCTATCATAAAATAGCTGAAAAGCTATTATACTACTTTAGAGTACGATTGATAATAAACCCTGGGAATAAAATATTTCATTATAAATTAATGTTTGAAAAAATACCCTGGATTTTTCCCAGGACCAAGGATTTTTCGAAATGGTAAACCTTAAAAGAGTTTCAATAAGTATTCATGTTATCTATATTAGACAAAAATGCAAACGCAGTTTTATTTGTAGTCGTTATTACCGTGAGTTAGAACTGACGCGATTTTCACAAAAAAAAAACAGGTTATTAGCACTGTTTTCTGTCAATGTATCAAAAAGCGTTTGCATAGTCAAAGAACTTGTTGTAGTGAAATTTGTTTGACAGTTTATTGTACATTACATATTTTAATTATAATATATCTTTATAACTACAGAAATAAAATGTTTGAAAACAAATTTGTAGAAATATTGTCATGTTGAAAGATAAGTTTGAATATCCGTTGAAAATTTTACACAGTTTTTATGAGTGCGAACGCCACCATCAACAAAACATGTTGCCTGATTTATGTTATGCTATTTGTTTCAAAACATTACATGTTAGATGTTTCTCAGTGCAAACGTACTGTTAGGAAGTCGCTGCTGCCCATCTCTTGTTTCAGTTACCCTGTTGAGACGGTTGGGGTTTAAAATAAGGCAACAATCAGTCATAAAAAAAAATTATGTATTGGTAAAAGAAAAGGTCGTGGGCGTGGTTCCGATAATTTAAAAAAAGTGCCCGTTTGGCTTCACTGGCAGGGTCAGGTACTCCCCTATGTGGCCGCGAGGTGGTCGAGCAGGGCCGGGGGGTTGGACTGTTCACGGGGAGCGCCGTGGGCAGCTGGCTGTGGCGGTGGCGGCGTCGAGGGGAGGCCTAGGCCCTCTTAAGAAGGACGACCGCCACGGTTGTAGTCGTAAAATTGCACCCCATACGGGGTGCAAGACGATACGGAGGTCCGGTGACGAGAATTAACGAAAAAACTATACGGCCACAGTGCCGGAATTATTATATTATTTTAAACTTTTTCCAAAATGGGATTAAAATTTGCAAGCGCGTACGAGGACACAAAGCAGAGCTTGTGAACGCGGCTGCAGTGGTAGTGTGCGCCTCCCAGCGCGACGCCGTGGAATGATACCGGCCGGGTAAAACTCTGACGCGAGAGTTGCAAAGCGCATAGAGTAACGAAGCGTCAGAGTGTTTGTTCGAAATACAATATTTTAATATTTGATTTATTATTTAATTCGTTCTTTTAGTTTACTGATTTGTTTTATTAATAGGATACCTAAGTTAATTATAGAATTATTTTTGTTAATAACTTTTATTTTATTTTTATTTAGTTTATTAAATGTTTATTTAATTTTAATAAACCGTTTAATTATAATTATGCATACATGTACGTGCAACGTTACACTGTGTCTCCACTTGCGACGGTTACGTTCAGTTCACAACCGTAGTTTGTATCCTTTGTTATTAGAAAGACACTGCTGTGTATATTCCTACACTGCAACTACATGGTCAATTTAGTGTCGGCAAATTTAGTAATTAAAACTTGTTAAAAGACTTAAAATCGCCTTTCTTTAAATCCCCATCCACGGCTAAAAGTTACAGCCTATATAAGGCACAGACCTCCGCTCATTTCTGAGAGGGTTTTAGGACAAGAAATTAAACGCCGTGCTGCCCCATTGCGTGTTGGCGAACTTCACATGTCTTCGAAATATTATTTCTTATTTCTCAGACATACATCCTCACGATGTTTTCCTTCACCGCCCAGCACGTGGTAAAGCAGCACTTAAAATTACAATTAACAATTTCGTTAGTGTCGGCGGGGATCGAACCCGGTTTGATCGCGTAGTGTGAAATTTATAGCTAGCGCCAACCATCTGAGCTACCACAGCTTCATTATCCCACAGCTAACTAGGTATTAAATACCCATGTACTATATTTTTGCAGAGACAAGTTTTCAAATATGTTCCGAGTCGGAGGACAGCGACAGCATATCGAAGTCTACCCTAAAAAGTGTGCCGAGAAGTAAGTAATTGTTTATTTATTTAATTTCACACAACTTATAGTGGACTTTCCTATGGTGGACATAGTAATGATAATAAAATAAGACATATAATATAAAAATAAATAAATAGTAATGATAATGTTGCGCGCCATAGTTGATGCCTGATATATGGCACTAGGCGCCATCTAGTATCGAGTAGTAGAAATGGAGCGTCAAAATCTATCTAGAAAATTCACTAGAGTCATCTAGTATGGAGTAGCAGAACTAGGAGAGCTTTCTAGAATATTCGATGCTGGAACTTTCACCATTGTGCCCGAACATTCTAGATGTTTCAGTGGAAGAGACCCTATATAAAAGCGTTAGGGCCGTGACCGGGACAGTATTGAATTGGCACCACAAGCGAAGACTTAGGAAGGAAATAAAGTAAACTAAAGTGTTAAGTGTGATTAAGTATTAGTTTGTTTTGAAGTTTTAATTACCGAACATACCTAATTGGCGTATATTACACGCTGTCGCAGGTGTCAATTACTGCATTACAAGGTAGGTTATTCCTCAATCACAACCGTGATTGTCGTAAAACCGACAGCCTTCATGAGCGTGTAATTGACGCCATTCAATCGGCAGTTTTTACTGTCACAAACCCTAAGCTCGTAACAATTGATGTCAGAAGTGGGATAAAATCATGCCGATTTTACTTAAGGACGAAACGGAGGGTGTCCGTACCCGAAGTCAACGCCAGCAGGAGATGATTTGGTGGTGCAACGCCGCAGAAGTCGGAAGGCCAGCTGCCGGCCACGGAGGCCGGCCCGTCAGCAGCTTCTACATCTGTAGCACCTGACTTGGATGCTCTGATGATGATGCTGCAGCAACACGCCCGTCGGTTGGAAGAACAGCTGCAGCGTGGACAGGAGGAACAGGTCCGTCCGTTGGAAAAGCTGCTGCAGCGCGGACAGGAGGAACAGGCCCGTCAGTTGAAAGAGCAGCAGGAGGAACAGGCCCGCCGGCAGGAAGAATAGGCCCGCCGACAGGAGAAACAGGCTCGTCGATAGGAGGAATAGGTCTGTCGTTTAAAAGAGCAGCTCAAACGCGATATGGAAGAGCAGATGCTCCTCATGAAGGATCTTTACGCTACCTTCGAGAAAGAGATAAGGTAGGTGAAGTACAAGGTTGCTCAACATGACAACCGCCTGTAGGAATCTAAAACCCAAATCAACCAAGTGAAGAAAACGCTGGACAAACTCAAACTTGGGGATGGAATTACAGCTCCCGTGGTAGCTACAACACTTTCGCTATGTGGATTAAAACTGCCGCCGTTCGACAGGACATCTTCTTGGTCAGCCTACAAAATCCAGTTCGAGGCTGTCATGGAGGCAAACGGCTGGAATAAAAGAGCAGCCATGACTGCTCTCACACTAGGTTGCGTGACCAGGCCTTAAATGTTCTGGAAGCTCTCGGTAAGGAAGTGACTTACGAGCAGCACCTTGAGGCATTGGAGGCTAGATATGGTGACACTCACCTGGAACACATCTTTCGAGCACAGCTTAAAGATCGCGTGCAATGCAGCAATGAAAACCTGCAGCTGTGGGCCCTTGAGGTGGAGAAGCTGGTCCGAAAAGCATACCAGTCTCTACCTGCAATCATTGAAGGGAACCTGGTGCAGACATTCATCGACGGCATCCGTGTCCTTGAAGTCAGAGCTGCTGTGAGGCACCGGCACCACGATACGCTTAAGGACCGCCTTGGCACATGCACTGGAGGTGGAAGCCGTGTGGGGCAGGATCATCGGTCCCACCGCGCCAGAGAGGTTGCAGCAGCTACAGTTTGCGACCACAATAAGGGATTACAGCCCTAGGTGCTATGGCTGTGGGGAAAGGGGCCATTTTCGATCCAGCTGCTCTAAGCAAACTGTAGAAAGGGAAGGTGATCAATCTCGTGAGGGTAGCGCGGCTAACAGCACCGCCCAGCAGCAGCAGGGAACCGAGTGAAAACCAGGACTGCGGGGCGGGTGCTGCCTGATGTTAAAAGAGCCCCAAGGATCTCGATATCACAAACCCATGATGGGAACAGCTTAATTATCAAGGGCAAGGTGAACGAAATTCCGTGTAAACTGACCATAGACACTGGAGCCTCTCGCACGGTTGTCAGTTCCCAACTTATAAATCAGTTCCGTGGAGACTCCGCATACAACCGAGAACACATTAATTTGGTGACAGCCACCGGTCAGCGCATACCCGTCCGTAGAGAGAGGATGGAGTTGAAGCCAGGCAACATGATCTACCTGCATAATGTCATCGTGGCTGATATAATGGACGACTGCATCCAGGGCCTAGACTTTATGAGGAAGAATTGTTGTGAGATTGTGTTCTGAAATGTGGACAAGAGGAACTTTTTGTGGATGGGGCGTTACTAGGGAATGTTTACAGCCTTAATAAGACTATCGCAGCGTTCTTTCCCCGAATGAAATAGTCAAGGTGAAGAAGTTGTTACTCAAGTACGCCGATGTTTTCTCGTCGAACGATGCTGACACCTATGTCAGTCTTCCCTAGAAGACTGGCTTAGTTCAACACAAAATAAACACAGGAGAAGAATTGCCTATCCGTCAGCGGCTAAGAAGATTGCACGTCAAAAGGAACCTGGAAACCATGATTGAGGGAATGGTGACGGATAGTGTTATTGAACCTGCATCTGGTCCATGGTGTTCACCCGTGGTACTGGTAAAGAAGAAGGACGACAGCATGCAGTTTTGTGTTGACTTGTCGCCGTCTGAATCATGTTGACAAGAAGGATGTATCCCTTGCCAAGAATTGATGACACGCTGGACGTGTTTACAGGAGTAAAGTGGTTTAGAACGCTGGAGCTCAAGAGTAGCTACTGGCAAGTTGAAATTGACCCTAAGGACGAGAAGAAAATTGCGTTCTCGACGGGAAAGGGTCTGTGGCAATTTAAAGTAATGCCGTTTTGATTGTGCAATGCTCCAGCAACGTTCTAAAGGTTGATGGAACTTGTACTTACCGGGCTAATTGGCGATACCTGTCTGGTCTACTTGGATGACATGATCATCGTAGGCCTTACGTTTGAGGAGCACCTTCAAACCTGGAACGCGTGCTCATAAATATTCAGAGTGCAAAACTCAAGTTGAGTTCGAAGAAATGTTCACTATTCTAACGGCAAGTTAACTTTTTGGTTTATGTAGTGTGGGAAAAAGGTATCCGCACGAATCCAGAGAAAATCGCCGCTGTCAAGGATTGGCCGGTTCCAAAAGACAAGAGGCAGGTTAAAGTATTTTTGGGTTTGTGCTCCTATTATCGGCGATTTGTGAAGAACTTTGCAGTGCGATAGCTAAACCTCTGCACAAGCTCACCGAGTAGAAGCGACATTTCAGCTGGGATGAAAGTTGCGATATCGCATTCCAGGAGCTCAAGGACCGTCTGTGCAAATCACCAATTTTGGGGTACCCTGATGCAGGCAAGGAATTTATACTTGACACAGATGCAAGTGATATTGGACTTGGTGGTGTGTTGTCTCAACTGAATGGTGATCAAGAGGTTGTGATAGCGTACTTCAGCAAGTCCTTGTCAAAACCGGAAAGGGATTAGTTGTGTCACAAGACGGGAATTGCTTACTGTGGTAAAGTCGTTGCAGCATTTTAGCAAATATTTTCTGGGGCGGAAATTTCACTTACGAACTGACCATGCTGCACTGAAATAGCTATTGCAGTCAAAAATCCGGAAGGAAGTTGCGAGTGGATTGAACTACTGCAGGTGACTTTTGAACATTGCAGCGGAAAATCTCATGGCATCGCAGATGCATTGTCAAAAAGACCTTGTCCTGAAGATTGCAAGCATTGTACTAGGCAAGAGGGTAAGGAAGAAGTATCTGTGAAGATGCTCAGGACAGACTACCTCAGCAACGAGTGGAAGGACAGATTACAATATGCACAGCAGGAAGATCCGGACATCAAGTCGATTCTGAAATTAATTAAGAGCAGTGCTCCCAAGCCCAAGCGGAGCGACGTCGCAGCGATGATTTAGACCATGAAAAGCTATTGGGCCCAATGGGACAGCTTGCGGCTTCAGGATGGAGTTCTGTGCCGTAAATGGAAAAATGGTCGGGGAGACAGCTGTCATTTGCAAAGGGTTGTCCCTAATGCTAAAGTACCGGATGTTCTACAGCTGTACTATAATGATTGTTCAGGAGGCCATCTGGGAGTTAAACGAACTCTACTGAAGATCCGAGAACTGTTTTACTGGGTCCACTGTCGAGACGATGTCGAGGACTGGTGTCGCAAATGTACAAGTTGTGCGGCTGTAAAGGGACCTCAGACTCGTAGTAGAGTTGCATTGAAATTGTACAATGTTGGTGCATCATTGTAGAAAATAGCCATTGACGTGGCGGGGCCGTTTCCGTAAAGTGAAAGTGGTAACAAATATTTCATGGTTTTGATGAATTACTTCACTAAGTGGCCAGAAGTCTTTGCCATTCCAAATCAAGAAGCTTCAACAGTTGCATATAAACTAGTTTATAAAGTCTTCTATTTGGCTTTAGAGATTCACAGCCTTCAAGGAAGGAATTTTGAGTCTCAAATATTCCAGGAAACTTGCCGAGTTATGGGTACTCATAAAACAAGAACAACTTCTTACCACCCACAATCTGATGGAATGGTAGAACGATTTAATCAGACATTGGAGAGGTACCTAGAAAAAGTTGTAGACAATCGACAAAGAGATTGGGACAAGCACATACAACCGTTTTTGTTGTCATATCATTACATCGGCTTTCGCAAACTTTGGAAGAGAATTACGGCTGCCTGCAGACCTAATCACCGGAATACCACCTGATGCCCCACACAGTATAACCGATTATGCAAATGACTTGCGGAACAAAATGAATGACATTTATGAGCACGTCAGACAATCGGGCCAGCAAATGTCTGAAAAGATGAAACCCCGGTATGAGCAAGAACAATAAAGGTTTCGACGAAGGTTCACTAGGGTCAGGGGGGTACTCCTAAGATCATCCATGTGGATCGACTGGCGCGTTACTATAATAATAATAATAATAAGTTCTTTATTTCCAAGAGGTTGTACATCAAGATATTTGCTTAACGTTGAATAAAGCTACATTGGTACATATACCTGAAAACATAGCATCTGCAGCCGAACTACGAGTGTGATCAGCTGTCAGCGCCATATCCCCACCGTTAATTTATAAAAATATTAGGATGCAAGCAAAAGTTAAATGCAAATGTTAAGTTAAATGTGTGTGTGTAGCTGTGTGTGTGTGTGTGTGTGTATGTGTGTGTATGTGTGTGTGTGTGTGTGTGTGTGTGTGTGTGTGTGTGTGTGAATGTGTGTGTGTGAATGTGTGTGTGTGTGTGTGTGTGTGTGTGTGTGTGTGGTGTGAATGTGTGTGTGGGGGTGTGTGTGTGTGTGTGAGTATGTGTGTGTGTGTGTGTGTGTGTGTGTGTGTGTGTGTGTGTGTGTGTGTGGAGTATGCGTGTGTGTGTGTGTGTGTGTGTATGTGTGTGTGAATGTGTGTGTGAATGTGTGTGTGAATGTGTGTGAATATGTGTGTGTGTTTGCTCATGTGCGTGTGTGTGTGTGTGGTGTAATTGTGATTTTATAATGTGTAGTTTTGCGTGTGTGTGTTGTGTGAGAATTTGTGTGTAACTGTGTGGCATGTGGGACGAGTGTGTGTTAGGTGTGTGTGTGTGTGTGCGTGTGTTGTGTGTGTGTGTGGCACTTATGTGCATGTAGTATGAGTATGAAGATGTGGAGTGTCAAAATCTATCTGAAAATGTCACTGCGTGTAGTGTGTGTGAATGTGTGTGTGTGAATGTGTGCTTTCTAGAAAATACGATGCTATAACTTTCGCCATTCTGCTCGAACATTCTAGATGTTTCTGTGGAAGAGGCCTTGAAGGCCGCGACCGGGGCGATATTAAATTGACGATAAAAGCAAAGACTTGGGAGCGAAATAACGTGCTCTAAAGTGTTAATTGTGATTAATTATTAGTGTGTTTTAAGTTTTAATTGGTGTTCGGTAACTAAAGTGTCAATTTTGGTAATTGAATTTTTGTTTTTGTTTTGAACGGCAGTTTTTATTGTCACGAATCCTAAGCTCGTAACAATAAAAATATATATGGCGTACTTAATGCCCGAGGCATCCTTTATCAGCCAACCAGAATGAAAATTAATGTTCAAAGTTTTAAAGTTTTTTTTAATAAAATAAAAGGTGACAAACGAGCACACAGTCCATCTGATGGTAAGTGGCTGCTGTGGCCAATAGGCATCTTAATAGTTATTCGATTAAGAAACAAAATGCAAATGCGTTGTCACCCTTGAGGTTTAAGATAAAATACCTCGTTACTGATTTGCTTTACGCTTTATGAGATCGTGGTCTTTCCCCATTCGAGCCGACCCATAACATACGCGCAGTTGTCGCGTGGCTCTACCACGATTCGAGTCATTATCATCGCCAGTCCATAAAAACCCACAGCTGGAGATAGGCCTCTCACATTATGTGGAGGATTTGTCTTAATCGCTACGCATGGCAGGCGGATTGGCGATAGCGATACCAGACGTCCCACACCTTTGACACTGCTCTCTCTGGCTATTTTGCTACTCTGTCTCGTCATATCTCAGAAGGCAGGAGTTCTTTCTTGCATATCTCGTAGTCCCCTTTTAAGACACCCACTGGACGATATAAATGATGGATTCCCTTTCGCTGCCACTACAGTTTTTTGTTTCTTAATTGTTCATTGTTTAAAATAACTAATTTCTTTTTTTTACAGAAATTTGCAGAACTCCGCATCACAGATAACTAAATTAAACTGCCAATATTTTAAGTAACTTCATCGTGAGGACCATCAGAACAGACTATTTGCAGTCTATATAAATTATTTCTCGCGCGTACATTTAATAGAGCTTTAGAGACATAATTTTATAATGTATATTATAATTTATTTAACTGATAATATCAAAACGTTACAATTATTTTAATATTGTACAAAGTGGATCACTTAAAAATTTAAGTTATATTGATTTCGACCAATAAAGGTATACTTTGACTTAGTCTACTATTCTCAGCGATGCCATCATATTTTATACGCCACGAAATCCGGACTTGTATCAACTAGAACCGCTTCCGAAACGGAAAGCTCTTCATCGTTTTTTTGTTTTGCACATCATTTGATCGGTACTCTCTACCTGAGACTTTATAGCATTCAAAGAATATAATAATTTCTCTGACGAGATATCGTAATTACAATAAAATAAAAAAAAACCTTAAGTTGTAGCCTACATACGTTCCACTGCTGGGCACAGGCCTTCCCTAATTTCAATAGGGATTAAAGGCTAGAAACTATCCTCCCCGCTTCCCTAACGCGTGTTATCAGACTTCACATGTCTTCGAACCTTTCAATTTCTCAGACATACAGATTGGCTCACGATGTTTTCCTTCACCGCTGAGCACTTAAATTACAATTAACACACATTGGTACCGGCAGGGATTTAACTCGTGTTGCTTGCATATTGTGAAATTTAAAGCAAGCACTTATACGATGGTACCACGATAACTCTACAGCAATTAGTAATTTTACTAACTTAATTACTCCCTGTTTCTTCCACCATCGGACAACCAGACGCCCGGCCAGCCTTCACCCTTTCGTTGTCAACTTACCACACATTCAAACCAAACTGTTTTCTTCATAGTTCGGGAGTGAATACGTTTCCAGTCTTTAGATCCGATTACAATGTGCTGCTTCACCAGCTTCGGCAGCTTCACCACTTACTATCAGATGGGATAGTAGTCAAGTGCTGGCTTAGAATAGGGATGTCAAAGAAGGTTAGTGGGCTTCGCATCGCTATACAGCGCGACTACTAAACTATGACAACCCTCTGTGTTTACACATTTCTTTAGACATTTAATTAAAAATGCTGGCTTTGAATGAAAGTCAGCCGTGCTATTGCTGATTAACTTACCAATCAAAGCGAGCTGCTTGTGTATCCATATTATTAATCATAAAAATGACTATATGTTTAAAATGTATGTAAAAAATATATAATAAACACTGCCCAAATATATCGCAATCGGAGTTTGTCTAAAATGTTTACAAACCTGTTAAATTTGTATATATATTTTGTACGTATAACTCTCTATAACGTGGCCTCTAATGCATTGTATGATAAGTAACAGTTCTAACTTACTAAAGAAATCCTAATAGATTTCTTATAAAATATTTTTAATTATAAATTTAGAAATACAGCGTAGGAAAATACTTTTGTTATCACGCTATTGTAAATAGCCTGTATTGGGTGCGTGAAAAAAGCGCTAGCAAGCGCTTGTAAGCAAAATGGCGATCGTAAGCGGTAAGCGCTGTCAAATCGTAAGTAGCTATTTTCCTCTAGGACACGATGTTAGTTTTAACCGGGGGAACCTAACCTAATTTAAATATTGTTTGTGAAGTATTTATATTAAAAACTTACCAATCATGAATTTTAAATAACATGTATATGTCTATTCATGTATTATATTACAATATTGCAAAAAAAAAAACGACTTATAAACTCCACTGCAAAACAAACAAATTAAATAAGCAAAATGGCGGATTGTGTCAGCGCTACTGAAGTAGCAATCGTGTCCTGGCACAAAACTATTTTAGCGCTAGTAAGTGCTTGCTAGCGCTTTTTTCTGCCAAACGCACCCATTGTAAACCAAAGTCAATACTTTTAATCTTCAGTGCCAATGTTTACTCGTACTAAAATTCTACATTAAAAATTAATTATGTTTAGCAGTCTCATGGAATAGTAATATTAAAATATAAAATGTAATAGTATATAAAATATAAATGAACATAAGTACTTGCGGACACTTTTGTTTAAGTTTCTTACGATGAAACTGTAAGTTCCACGGTCGACAGCATCACATGTAAAAAAAAATCAAGAATATTAAAGGAAACTCGCACACGTTTAGGCGTGCGTTCACCTTTAAAGTATTAATAAGAGTGAACGCACCCAAAGCTTCGCGCGCTGTGGTCATCGGATTTTTCGAATGGAATTACTAGTATATGCTGTTTTGCGCACACATCCGCGCCGCATGACCCATGTTTCAGTAAAGTACGGCAAGTATTCGTATTGCACCTGCGCACGAGTATGAAGTCATCGGAATCGACACGTGAGGTGCGGTGCTGCACGTGCGACTAGATTCTGGTGACGTCATCTCCATTCTATTCTTTTTCTGTTTTGAGAGTTTTCTGTTTCTAAGCCGTGCCCTTTTGGAGTTATTCTATTAATCCGGAATTCTTTGTTTAGTTGTATTTTTTATCTGTAATATAACAACGAACAACAGAAATACAGCTAAAATAATGAGTAAAATTCTGACAACACTGCTCATGCGGCGCATACGTGCACGAGATCATCAGAAAATTCGATGACAGTCTACTCATTTATGTGTGCGTTTATCTTAATGCTAAACTGTCTTCTCAAGGGGCTATAGTACCTCAGCCCAAATCCTAATTTCGCCCCCACTTCCCCGCGCGTCGTATGCTATGTACCGACATGTTTGTAATCACTAATACTGTAAGTAGATAGGTCGTTAGATACTTATTTCATTAGGTTTATCATATTTATGCCTGTTTCTTAATGGCAACCCCGACTCGACTTCTAATTTTTATTACGGTTATTTCCCATTTTAATTTTACGTCGTCCTGTTGCGTAGTGTGTATTCTGATCGTAAGCGACACAGCTGTCCCGTTCGAAAGCCAAAGCGAGACTGATCGGGCGGCATGGAACAAGCTTCAAGACGCTGATAGTTTAGGTAACTTTTTTGCAGCGAAAATAATGGTAATTTATAAAAAATAAACATAAGCCCGGCTTTATAGTTAGTTCAGTTAGTATGCAAAGTTTCATGATCAAATTTAAAGTATTTTATTAATAACAGCGGTTTATAGTTCAGTTTGGAGGTAACTGGATTTTTTTCTATCGAGAAAATTTTAGGGAATCGTGTTTTCGTCTAACATTAATCCTCAACTTTACCGTGTATTTATTTCAAAATTAATGCTGCAATATTTTTGGCAAAACGGAGGATCTTGGTAAGCCATGGGAGTTACTATTGCCCTTTAAAATCGCAAAATTATAGGCAAAGGCCCTAATACCACAGAGCTATGCCATATTGTATCAAATGCTCAGATCAAAGATGTGTTGGTCATCTTTTATTTCATAAAAGGACCATATATAATTATTTTCATTTCTTAATTTAAATATTTAACGTTATATAATGAATGAAAAAATATCTAGTCAATAAGTATGTAATACTTTTAAAGTTACTCGTAAGCAAAGTTTTGTAAAATCGTAGCGGAATTGCTAAGAAAATATCTGCGAGAAGACTGATTCATCTTACGATTGTTGTTTGGTTTCTATACAATTTTAATCTAGAAATAAAATTAAATAAATGTTAGATATATCACTATGCAGTTTCATTTTTTAATACAATAAAATGTTCTGTTACTTTTCCTTTCTTCTGTTTCCGGGGGGGTCTTTCTTCCCCTCCTTCTCCTTTTTATGGTTTTTTCCTTGTGCTCACTATACTACTAATATAAGCCTAACATTTTAAAAATCCCAATATATTATTGAGATTTCTAAAGACATAACTTTTGACTCATAGTTACCACTAAAACTATCATTTTTTTGTCATTCTATCGCTGTAATATAACATAGGGCTCTTCTTCTTCAGAGAAGACAATCTACGTAGAACAATTCCACAGGTAAAATTCACTAATCAGTGGATTTCTTTTCTATCTGGAAGTTGTCGTATGGTGACGGCGTATGACAGTCAACATATTTCGTGCCATGGATGTCGTAAGTGGCGATGACGGGAAATACCACAAAAACCTTATGGCTTCTGGTATCGCTTACGTCAGAGGTAAAATACCCAAACCAAGCATCAAGATCTTAACTACAACGGGAGACGCTAATGTCCAACAGTGGACTTATAGGGGCCAACAAAGAAGAAAGGAAAAGAGAAAAGACTAAGAATGGAAACGTCTATAAGTGAAATTATAGTATTCTATCTTAGGCTTCAGGGGTGGCTGTAGCCAATTTTTGTTACTCAAATATTAAAAACAGACAGCCTCGTTGGTCTAGTGTTTATAAGCGGGCCTGCTGATCGGGTGCCCACCGAAATCGGGTTGAAATACCAGCAGACAGAAAAATCCAATAATAAAAAAAGATATTGTGTTTTTCTGTCCAGAAATTCTCATTAGCACAACCCGAAAAGCCGGAATGGAATGTAGAGAATGAGAGTATAGAGAATGTAGCTTTGTTTGCTCACGGAGTAATAGTGTTCTGTGGCGAATGCATGTTCTTCGCACATGGCTAGTCTCCGTTCAAACTGGCCTAAGTGGCCGAAACTCTGTCGTAGAGGACATGATTATTATGAAAAACATTTTTCCAATTTCACGTCTTTCATGCTAATGTTGAAAGCTGATATTATGAGTTTGTCTTTAACCTTTTGAGTGGCACGCCAAAACGCATTACCGTGTCCTGTACGCCAAAGCGAAAAGTAAACAAAAATGCCTATGAAAAAAATTGTGTTGCCAAGAGTTGATATATCGAAAACACAAAATAACTTGATTTTGTTGGTTTTTTATGCAATAATGACTCTTTATAATTTGGTATGTTTTATTTAATCTTGTGCTGTTTTCCATTCTTTTTATATATGTACTTTGTACATAAATAAAAAACGAACAATAACAATAAAATAGTAGTAAACCACAACACTACTCTTCATCGTGATGCCGTCACTGTCACGACTGGACGACAACGGCGTAGCTGACCTTCCTTTATGAAACTTTCTTAGAGATGTAGCCATGTCGCACTCGATTTCGAAATCGATCTAACCAAAATATACAGGAGTTTAATATAGAGGAGTTTAAAATTAAAATACCAGTAATAATTTTCCAATATCTATATTTCATATTTTTGTGGGCCGGGTTTTTTGTCAACTATAGACGTTGTTGGCGCTCAGGGCCCGCAGGTGCTGATCAAGTATAAGTGACTTTGGCGCACAAAAGGTTACAAATATACGAGGTAGAACTGCAGCTATATTATGGTTGTAGCACGAATGGGTCGGCTCGATAGGGGAAGGACCACGCTCTCACACGATACCAGCGTAAGGTAGCAGCTCAATACTGCTATGTTTAGTAGTGTGAGTGTAAGGATCCGGAGACCCCTTTTTAGTGGAAACGAGGCATTCCATCGTAGTCCTCAGGGGTAACAGCGCATCTGCGTTTTGATTCTAACCGATGATAAATATAGATATCTATGGGCCACAGCATCCACTTAGCACCGATGGACTGTGCTCGTTTGTCACCCTTAGCGAGTTCAATCTCCCAACAACAATAACATTTTATTTTTAATTTTTTAATTGTAAAATAAGAGGAGGTTAGGGCAAGGAATAGTCCGCCGCTGTGCCCCAATGCGTGTTGGCGAACTTCACATATCTTCGAAATATATTTTTTTCTATTTCTCTGACATGCAGGTTTCCTCACGATGTTTTCCTTCACCGCCATGCACGTGGTAAATCAGCAATTAAAATTGCAATAACAATTTAATTGGTGCCGGCAGGACCGAATCCGGTTTGCTCGCGTACTGTGAAATTTAGCGAGCGCTAACCATCTGAGCTACCACGGCTCAATAATGTAGGGCCTTACTTTAGTTTGAATAAAACTAATTTTATACGAAAAATTAGTAACGCGGGGACTCGATGGACCTATGGGTGCTGTATAGCAACTCTTACGTTAGGAATTAAAATTTACTTAAAAATATTTAAATGAAGCGCGATAAATAGCACATTTATATAATAGTAATATGTGATAATCTAGTATATTTATATAGTAATCAAGTAAGTATTCGAAATTCATAAATAGGCAAATAATGCATAAGCAAAAAAACAACTTTTGGAGATATTTGTTTATTTTCACCAACTTATCAATTACATACGCAAACTTTACCTTAACACATTGTATAACAATAATCCCGCGAACATCTAATATTTTAGTATACCATAATACGAAATATCGACAAAAATACACGAAATAAGAAACTTGTTAGGTTACAGGCAGGCTAGTGTTTTTAATATTCTCACTTAAGCGAAAGTTACCGCTATAAACATTTATTTGTTGTATATAAAGGACATTGAGATATAAATTTTTAGATATGTATGAAACCTCTACCTTAAAACTAGCTTTATTTATATAGTTTACATACACACTACTAACATTTTTTAATCAGTACCGCTCGTAAACAAAAAATAAATGTAAAAAGCTTCCAAAGATTCCGCGTCTGTAGAAAAATTTTACACAGGAACGAGCATATCTATGGTTTTGTTTATTTATTATCTATGTATAAAAGCGGAATGAAAATTAATAAATAATTGTTAGCCTCCCTCTTATTAAACTATCTACTTAACAATGTTCTATATATCATTTAAAAATATTACAATAATCACTTTTACATTAGTTTGCATGTATTTTTAATCTGTTGGCAAATGTCAGTAACCACCATTTTGTGTAGGGTTATCAAAATGGCGTCATTTCGAACTTACAAATATCTTTAAATATTTTTTTAAATATATTTCATGCGATATAACAGCTAATAAATCAATTTCAGGGTTAAGTGTTAGATATTACATTTTTATGGTTATTTAATAGATGATTTGACTTAACCGATAATTTTATTGTAGCAGAGTAGTATGAGATCTACAGATACGCTAAACGCATCTCAAAATACTTCGATGAAGTTATTTGCTATCGCATTTTCTCTTATTAAGGTTACATACATATTTTCCAATCTTGTTTATATTTCAAGCGTTATTTGCTACTAAAAACGTACCTACATTTTTCATACCACTTCGCACAAATCAATCGAAATGTAACATAAAAATAGTGATTATTTCCGTTTTATGCCCATACTTATAAGATCTGTCCTGCAGAGGGAAATATATATTTAACGATTAACTTATCTCTATTCTTCCAAATCGTGAATTCATATTATTGATTGAATCATACGTAGAAAAGTCTTACTTCACAACCAAATGGATTTTGAATAAACAACAAAATTTATGAAAGTGCATAGGTATGCGTTGCAAGTTACTTTACTTCGTATTATGTTTGATTCCATCTTATATAATTCAAATATTAAATAATCATATATTCATTTTTCAGTGTATTTCGCTATAAGTCGGGATAAGGTGTTTCGTAAAAGTATTTTTAGTTTAAACTTTTCGTTTTAATATAAAAATAGATATGCATCCAAGGCTTATATTAATTTTATGTCATATTATAACTGACATACATACATCATATACTTTTTTTTCATGAGATTTTACGACGACTAATTTATATAATTTTATTACAAAAGAGATATGTCTTAATGTTAATATTTTAAACGTAGGATGTTAGTTATTTGGTGGAATCAATTAGCCCTATTCTATATAACATACAATGAAAATCCCAAACTTTATAATTCGAATTTGACAAATTTAATTACGCTGCCATCTGCTATCTCACTCAGTACGAAACAAAGTGTAAATGATGGCAATATGCAAACATTTTTTACAGTTAATAAGGGTTACATCTTACTTCGAAACATTTTTAAAAGTCGGTTTACATTTATAATATAACATTTATATGTATACAATATATTGCTTATGAGTAGTTTTCGTAGCAACCTAGCGTATTTTTGGCGCCGATCGATCGTTACAATGTTTGTTGCGGCGCAACGTTGCACCGCGTTTTATTTGCTCCATTAATGACGTGTGGCAAACTCGCGGGTCAGGCTGGAAATAATAATATTAATATAAGAATGATTACCGGTACAGCCTATTAAAGTTTTGACTGTCTCAACGGAGGGATATTTGCCATAAGTGCCACGTTAGGCAAGCGGGTTTACAACCGCAGTTCTATTTTTATTTTTAGTCGTTAAATCAGAAGATGGCAGCAGCGTCTTCTAAATGTTTCCCTCTGTCGCATCTTACGACAGCCACGGGATGATTTGGGGATGTAGATAGTCTTACACCAGCACTGCACGGTACAATAAGAGTATATATTATTATAATAAGGTGTGTCTTTATTCATTAATTTCTAGTGACCATTCAAGTATTGGTTCGTCTTACGAACCGGGTCATTCGGGGTGATTATTCAAATGGATCATATCGAGTTTCAGTACTCTGTGATCTGTGACACGCTCGATAAAGACGTTCGCGGGACATTACTATTTGGTCGTAGGTCCTGTCAACATTTTGATCCGGAACAAAATTTTGATGCTTTGATTTTGTACGTGATAGAGCCACGCTGCAGCTATATTATGGTTGCAGCATGAATGGGTCGACTCGACCGGGGTAGGACCACGCTCTCACAGAATAGCAGCGTAAAATAGCAGCTTAATGCTACTGTTTCGTATGGTGAGTGTAGAGAACCGGAGACCCGTTTTAGTGGAATCGAGGCATTCCATCTTAGTCCTCAAGGGTGACAACGAATCTGCATTTTGATTCTTAAACGAGGTTAAATATCGATGTCTATGGGCCACAGCACCCACTTACCGCCAGGTGGACTGTGTACTCGTTTGTCACGCTGATCCTTTAAAAAAATGCGACCCGGGTCAAATGAATGAATCATTCATGAATGACACATGTCTGTAATAAGGTAGTTTCATTTCAATGTGGGCTAATGATCTTACGCTCATTTTCAACTCATTTGTTACGCATTTATCCTAGATTACGAATCAAAATGCAGATGCGTTGCCACCCCTGAGGACTAAGATGGAATGCCTCGTTTCCAGTAAAAAATGGGTCTCAGGTTCTATATACTCACCATACAAAACACAGCAGCATTAAGCTGCTATTTCACGATGGTATTCTGCGAGGGCGTGGTCCCTTTCCCCTGTCGAGCTGACCCAATCGTGCCACAACAAATAATAAGACAATAGAAATAAATTAGCACTCGATTACTTCCAAAACCGATGTCGCCACATTTTAACACATATATTAAGCCACCAATGCCTGCAGCAGTATTATAAACATACGCAATGCACAATGATATCTAATGTTCACATTACATTGCTTGACGAGTTTGTCAACGTCGCGTTCGTCGCGTATTACGGTAGAACAAAAGCAGCAAGGGTAATTGTACAATATAAAAAGTAATAAATAAAAATTTACAAAAGTAAATATCATATTTACTATGGTATTCATCTAGATGTAAATTACTTAAAACAATGATAATTAGTAAAAATCATTTTACCGATGAAATATTATGCCTTTATTACTTGAATTACACGTCCGTGATGACTACTGATTATGCTGCAGTTCACAATTAATAATAACATAAATTCACATACGACGTTCCCCGCGCAACTAAATCACAAAATGGTGAATGATGTTCGTCAACACATAATAGCGGCGACAAGGTCACGCGTCTATGTCGCTGCTACCGTCTTATTATTACGATTTCTGTGATTACAAATAAACATTAATCATACCTGAGCATGGGCATTTATCATTTCCCTCACAGTGTTGGCTCTTGAAGAATCCAGTTGTCGTCTCTGCTGCTGTATGGTCGCCGAAAGCTTGTCGAGGAACGCTGGCTGTACAGCTGAAGGTAGATTACCTAGGAAACACACACATCTTAAATTCTTACCCAACAGCCAAAAAAGGAGAGCCATTTGGATATTGTCTTTGACTTCATGTCGTGTCATCATCATCATTACAGCCTATCAAAATTCACTGCTGAACATATTGCATTGTTATTGTTGGTAGACTTGTCAGGTATGTTTTTATCAGGAAGATGCTGCTACCCATCTACGGTTTTTGATTCACTATGTCACGTCACCTCTTACGTCAACGGGATATTACAGGTCTTCACTACGCGGCAATAAAAATTTTAATTCTAATTTTAAGTGCTGTTTTACTACGTACTCGGTGGTAAGAAAGTTAGAAGAATGAAAATGTTTCTTAAAACCTCACTCCGCTAACAGGTACAGGGAACAGGGGCATTCATAAATAATTTAAAAAATTGTATCGGTGCCGGGGGGACCAAACTCACTCGCGTCCGTGAGGCACGACGGTTGAAGAAGTTCATAGCCCTAAAGTGGCTAGAGGAACGTCATCATCACGTATACCTTATGTACGAGCTTCTCGAACATTCTTATTGTTATTGAGTAAAATTCATAAGCGTTGTATCATCTTCATTATCATTTATTATCAGTATTGTCTTAAATTATCACTTCATATACTAAAAAAACAACTTCTACACCTTACCTTTTCCTTTAGGCGTGGTATCAGCGGACGTGATTGTTGAGATTACTCGTCTCGAAGTTCGCGGCGACAGTTGTGGAGCAAGTTTAGCGCTGAGACTCGCAATCAGTCCGCCTTCTGAAAACAATAATTACAAATATTTAGTATTTAAATTATTATTAACATATTACTCTATTAAATCATTGATATTCTATGAAGGAACATAAACTATAATTACAATTTAATGTGAGACGAGATGAAAATAGGTGTGTCAGATTTGACGCTAATTCACGTTTTGTGGAAATCATAGACTATATATAACACGCAGAGTTGCCTCTCTCTCTATTTCTTTCTTTCCCTCTCTCTTTCTCTCCCTTAATCTTACTCTTTCACTCTCTCCATCTATCTATCTATGTATCTCTGCCTTATATTTCCTTTACTGTTTTTGTATTTTTACAATAACTTTTATTAGTTTTACTGTAGCGAGTGTTGTGAGAGGAGAGTATAATAAATTCCAAAAATATCATATATAAAACCATTCACCATCAATTTGCAAACCTTATCCATCAAAAGTTTTAAAATATTTATGAAGGCAAAATTGTTCAGTAAGGGTTATTGTACTACTAAAGAGTACACGACTGACAATAACCCCTGGGAATGAAGTGATCGCTACTACGCTGTTTCTTAATGTTTTCATAACAATTGTATAAATTATTATATTGTAAATTACGCTTTTAAAAAATGTTCCATTGGGTTTCTTGCTGGTTTTTTCCGAACAAGTGGTAAAAGTACAAACAATGGCTTGCAATGAGTATTACATGTAATCTCAATTGAAAAAAATATTCTATTCCATTCTTTTTTATTCTATCTCATGTGTATATCATAAAACTACTTACACCAAATCGTTATGACCTTTGGCAATAACCATAATCCATTTAAAATAATATTACCAAGATTTAACACTCTATTAAACAAAATGCAAATCCACCTACCATCAGATGGACTGTGTTCGTCATCCTTATTCTATAAAAAATCAAACTGCCTACAAAAACGCATTCGTCAGTTATCCCACAGCTGGGCAAGGTACTCACGTTCGGAATGCCTGTCGGCACTGTGAGACCTGGCCGCCAGCGATCTTCGCAACGCTAAGGGACTCAACGTGGTGCCGCCCAGCTGTGCCGGCTGCGCGTAGATGCTGTTGTTCTGCGAATATTTCTTCTCCTGCTGAAGCTTGAAGCCTGCCGCGTGTGGAAATGATGGAATGATGATCGATGAGTTGGGTAAACATGCGATTAGTTGCGATTAGTTTGCATTAGTTGCGATTACAACTTGTAACCGAGATAGCCCATCAAATGAATAATTTGAAATGGCAATGAGCTGGTCGAAAAAGCAACCGGTGGGGATGAAAGGTCTCAAGCAAGTAGCAGCATCGCACCGAGAAGCTAAGTGTAGGGAGCACCCCACCCCCCACTAAATGGAGTGACGACCTGGTAGGATATATAGGAAGCCAACGGATGCAGGTGGCTCAGAAACGTACTTTGTGGCGTTCCATGGTGGATTCCTACGTTCAACAGTGGACATGGCAAAGGATTGCAATGATGACGAAGATTATTATCCGTGGCCATATAAACAAAATCATATCTTATATTTATATTTATTATATATATTTGTGTGTGTGTGTGTATAATAAAAATATTATTATTACTAGCCCGGCAGACGTTATTTTGCCCTTTCTGGTTGGGTAAGCGATGAGTTTTATTTTGCACACATGCAGTTTTCCAGTGCCATTATGACAATAATCTAAAAAAAAAAAGAAAAACATAACCCTTCTTTTTTACTCTTCCTGAAGCGGATAAAAAGTGACCTATATGTTATACGTCATTATTTACTGCGTACACACCAAATTTCATGGAAATCCGTCCAGTAGTTTTTACGTGAATCGTAAACAAATAATTTTTCTACAGATTAAGAGTCCCCACAGACAGCCTTTCTCTATCGGCCGATAGTTTGATCGGATTGTGCTGCTAGTGCGCACACTGGGCCAACAAAACAATTGGGTTAGACGTGGGTGCGCAGCCTAGCCAACCAACAGTTGGCCGATTGATACATTCGATAAAGTTGGTGAAGAGATCAGACGCGTGGAATCGTGCCCAGAAATATTAATAGGTCCTTACATATGAAATTAGCGTTTTATCGTACTGACCACTTTGATCTGAAATATCTCCTCTTTGGTTAAGAATTCCAAATTCAAATTTATAAATTAATTTAGCTAATACATTTGTCATTCATTTGTTTTTTCCTTATTATTTTTTTCTTTGGCGTCGCTTATTACCGCACAATGGAAAACATGAAATATCGGTATCTTTACGAGTACGAGCTCTACCGTGGCACCAGTGTTGCAAAAACAGCTCGAAGGATTAATGATCTGTACGGCGCTGGTGTCGCAAAAGATAGCACGGTACGTTTTCATTCTAGAGAAGAAGAATCAGAATACTCTTTTAAGTTCTTTTTATAGATCGCTGGTCTTTTTTCAATATCCTGAATTAGGTTTTCAATATATGTTTCGACAAGCAGCGACGAATTCGAATTCATTAATCGGCGAGTGTGCGGGCAGGGAAGAAGGGAAGAGCACTGTACTGATCAAGCGGTCGGCCAATAGTTCGCCGATAGTTTAGTTTGAAGGCAACTGTGAAGCCCATCAAACTTTTTTATCGGCCGACACTGAATCGCCGTAATGTACGCATGCCTCTTCATACTGATTAAGAAGCCGACCAAACTATCGGCCGATAGAAAGTCTGTAGTCTGCGAGGACTCTTATTATATGTATACATGTATAGATACAGATTACCATATGACCTGCGCTCACCTGTCCAGCGTAGGGAGTATGAGAAAATCATTCAAGTAATGCTAAGAAAGCTATATCCAGCAGTGGACATAGAAATGCTGCGACGATTACATTGCGGGGGAATGTTACCTCATTACTTAATATCTCATCTTCGCTCTCATTACGTAATGATATTTAAGCGTTAGGCTTAAACATCATTACGTAATGAGGGTAAATAAAATAGAAAAGCATGTAAAACTCAAAATACAGGGTTTTAGTGAAGAATTTAAAACATTTTATGGCAGCCAATGAATGATGGGAAAGATATTTTTTCCATTGTATCAGATTCAAGAATTAAGGTGGAGGGTTTTCATAAATCAAATGAATGTTTTTCCTACATATGTAAGTATGTATATGTGCTCAGTGGTAAAAGAAAACATCATGAGAAAGCCTGCATGTCTAAGACAAGTTAATATTTCGACGTGAAGTTCGCCAACACTCATTAGCAAGCGCGGCCGACATTTCCCTGACCTAAAACTCTCTCAAAAATGAGAGGCCTGTGCCCAGCAGTAGGATAGGATAGATATATGGCTGTAATTTTAAGGCGATATTAATAATTCTTTATATTAAATTAGTTTTACTTAAGATTTCAGGGTAGGCATTATATAAATTTGGAGAAGATATTTTCAACTTTTAAAAAATAAATAAAAAATAACGCGAGTTATTGGGATAATTTAACGTGGTCATTATTTTGCATGTTTCACGGTTTTGTGGGGGATGTCCTCCTGACCAAATAATAACACAATGCATGGAAAACCTTGCTAGTAAACAATGTTCAGGAGGACTTTATAAAAAGCGAAGATTGTCCCTCATCCGGTCCAGGTTTACGCCAGCTCGACTAACAATTTTACTGAGTAAAAAGAAAATGCCACTGATTGCAATAAAATTACTTGTAATCTGTATTGAACAAACAATTATTATATTCTATTCCAATCTCTCAAGGTATGTTTAGAGCTAGTAGTGGCTAAATTCCCCATGAAGAAGCCCGCTGTGATATCTTTGCGATTGGACATAACTTTTTTGTAGTGAAATTCTCCCCGATTCAGTACTAATTCGCTCAACAATCGAAAGAAGTGAGATAACGTTTTTTTTTTACCCACAGTCCATTCTACAAGACGGCTGTTCAGAATAGAACAAAGAAGATAAATAAAGCTAGTTAGAACTATAAAACAAGTATATTTCTTGATACTATAATCACGGTGGATACAATCTGGTTACGTGCCTATTAATATATTGCATTATTTTGAATGAGTCCGTTGTAACAGACGTATAGTACTTATACGTATTCCACTGGAAGTACAGACTATACAATTATTATAAACCAATTAGGTACCTATGTATTTTACAATTCTCTCTTCTTTTCTTCCTTGAGTTGTCTGTATTTCAATTATATATATATATATATATATATATATATATATATATATATATATATATTTGTATAACTCGAGGCACGTAAGTCTAGCGCTGGCTGAAACAAGAGGGGATAGCTGCAAATGTCGTATCAGTACGGGGGACGGAATGCTACTGGAGAGCCAATCAGCGCGTGCGAACGATACGAATAGCCAATCATCCGCAATAATGCACAATACGACCAATTGTCGGTCACCGCTAGACTTTGGTGCCGCTAGTTGTATGTGGCGCAGATAACGGCCTTAAGTGTCTCTCTGTAATATTAAAATACTAGCTCTATTTTGTCGGTCTGTCCAGGTTAATCTTCGAAATGGCACAACCGATTATGATGAAACATTACGAACAGACAAAATGCAACGCCAGGAGGGATCTAGGCTATATTTTATTTAAAAAGACACATGAAAAAAAGTAAAAATAACAAAATGAATGGTCTTATCTTAAATCTAAATAACGCTGCATTAATATGCTCTAAGAGGTGAAGCCAAAGCGGATTCGTTAGTGTCAAATAAATAAACAATAACAGTTAAACAAAACAAATACATGCCGATCCAATAATTCATGAAGATAGAATTTCACTGAGTGATAACAAATGCGAAACGTCATATCGTACCGTTTAAAGCGCAAAATACGTTTATGATCCCATAACACCATACCATACCATTAACAAAAAAAAATCTTACCGGTTTGTCCATAATGAGAATCGTTGGTGACCCTAGGTCCGAAGCTGGAGAATGAGTTGTTCTCACCGTAGCTCGGAGTAGAGGGACTGGATCCATGTGGAGATCCCTTTCCTTCACCGTAAATGTTTCCTAAGATTGAAAAAAAAACAATTATATAACCGGATTATTTTATTCTACACACATCACCCAGCAATCCATCACAGCAATATAATAAAAGTCCACTGTTAAACATAGACCTCCCATAGACTACATACTTCATAGGGATAATTTTTCCAATTGTTATTACACTTGGTTACCGCAGTTTTTTTTTCTTATTTTGTGTTGTTATCGGAAGAAGGTCCTTCTGCTAATCCTGCCTCTTACGACACCCATGGGACGATATAGGGTAGTGGATATTCTTATACCACCACTACACTATTCTACACTAGTTGTCCCTCGCGACTTCGTTTATAATTCTAAGAATGTTATTTTTTGCGCGGAACCTTAAAATAAATAAAAATTAAAAAAAAACCTTAAGTAGCCTAAGTTGCTACTTATAACATTCGCTATCTGCCAGTGAAGTCCCGTCAAAATTTTGACGACTCCGTGGCGCAGTGGCTTAGCAATGAGTTACTGCGCTGGGGGTCGCGGGTACGAATGCCGCACGGAACAAGTATTTGTATGGCCTACAAATAATTGTTCCGGGTCTGGATGTTTGTCCTTGTGCAATTTATGTTTGTAAATTGCCCCCAGGATACCGGAGAAAATCCTAGTGTAGGGGTGACGTTTAAAATGGGTTCAGCTATTTCGGAGAAAAGCCGGAACAAACAGAAAGACAGACAGACATTTTAAAAGATTGTTATTTTGTTGTAATTACCGGTATATACTTCCACATGCATTAAGTAAAAAGCTGTTATGTTGACATTACAAACCGACATTTCATTTTCATTTATTTTTATAACCTGGAGAGGCTCCATTATACCTTATGTGGTAGAGCCACGCTGCAGCTATATTATGGTTGAAGCACAGAACGAAGCACAGTTCCCCGGTCGAGCCGACCAATGGTTGCAGCACGAATTGGTCGGCTCGACCGGGGAAGGACCACGCTCTCACAGAATATCAGCTTAAAATAGCTTAATGCTGCTGTGTTTTGTATGGTAAGTGTAGACAACCGGAGACTCTTTTTACTGGAATCAAGGCATTCCATCTTAGTCCTCAGTCCTTAATTTAGAATAAATATGGATGTCTACGGGCCGCAGCATCCAATTACCATCAGGTGGATCAAATGCGGAGAGGCAATCAATTTTTTTTTTTATATATATATATATATATATATATATATATATATATATATATATATATATATATTAAGTTAAAATGAAGAAGACTATGATTAATGATAATAGGACTTTTAAGCGTAAGTGAAAGTGAAGAAAAACTCAAAAGATAACTCACCAGTATTCCCATCCCTGAAAAGATCCGAGCTGGACACATTGAGGCTGCTCTTTCTCACATATATAGAATTCTCCACATATGCCATTATACGATGTCCCGTCTGTCCGTATATCGGATTCAAGTTTCCGCTTAAGCTGGCATTTATATTGCTCTTGGCCTGTTGGAACGTGGTCAGGGACGGCGATTGGTTCTGGTTCTGAGTTTGGTTCGCGTTGACGGTCAAGTTCTGATTTTGGTTCTGAACAGTGCGTCGTACCAATCCCGGCGATGCCGGCATGTGTTTCAATTCGGTTAGTTGCTTCACGGTTTCGGCCACGTTTATACCGGCGTGAGCTGGGAACAAATTGTTAAAGTAAGCTTCTATTCTTCTACTCCCATGTGATCGTGGCGGTGTATGAATATCCACAGCCTCACAAAGTTTCGTGGGTGTCGTAAGAAGCGACAGAGTGAAAGGAACCAGGAGATGAGCAGCAGCTTTTTCCTAATATCAACTAAAAAGAATAAGAAATCTGTGGTTGCCAACCCGCTTGCCAAGCAAGGCTACTATGGCAAAATACTCCCTATGAGGAAGTCTACTGAGGAGACCTATGTTCAGCACAGGACATTTTATAGGCTGCGACAGACGGTCTATTCATCTATTATTATAATTCTTTTCATACATTCATTTATAGTGTTCCATCAAAAGTCTAAACAAGTTTATGCAGTTTTTTTTATAGAATAAGGGTATATGGTAAGTGTATGCTGTGGCCCATAGACATCCACATTTATTATCAATTAAGAATCAAAATGCGTTGTCACCCCTGAGGACTGAGATGGAATGCCTTGTTTCCAGTAAAATGGGTTTCCGGTTCTCTACACTCACCATACGAAACACAGCAACATTTAGCTGCTACTTTACGCTGGTATTCTGTGAGAGCGTGGTCCTACCCCGGTCGAGCAGAACCATTCATGCTGCAACCATAATATAGCTACAGTGTGGCTCTACCACGTATAAAGAAATTCACGAAATGTAGGCCCTAGTTGCCACGTTTAGCAAGAGGGTGGTGAATTTGTGTTGTTATAAAAAAGATTATATTTCCTATCTCTTGTTTTAGTTTCCCTCTATCACCTTTTACAACACTCAGGGGATGATCAGATGCATTCTCTTATGCGGCCACCACACGGCTATTTACTGCAGCAGGGCTCTACCACGTAAAAGGCGGCGCTGTTGTCGAAACCCAGACCCTGCAGTAAACACTACAGAACATCAAAAAAAAGTAATGGTTTTACATGTCACCGGCAAGTAGACATTGAAACGTTTAAAACTCTTTGATTTAAAGTTTTTCGCGTTTTTACAGTGCTTACGAGGATCAGGCGGTCGACTGCCGCTGTTTTGCAGTCGTAAAATCTATGGGAGCGACTTGTTGTACACTACGTTGAACGATACGCGTAAGCGCTATGAAACTCCTGGCGCTTATGACGTTTTGGTCGCGAGAAAACTAACCCCCAATGCAAACTAGCGCTGTATGTTTTAATAGTTTGGTTTGACGACGTAACTATTGCTTTAGCGCTGCAGCGAACTTTAGTTCTAACTCTTACCAAAATGAAGCAAACTTTTGGTTCGGGGTGTCCGTTCTATATGGTAGTAATATATTTCGATGATTAAACTCATACCCGTATTAGATTCGTTATCGGGCTGCAACAAGAACGCCGGCGGCGGCGGCAAGTTGTCCGCGTCCGTGGTGTTCATCTGGGGACTCGCCATGTTGCTCTGAAACGAACGACAATAAATTATATAAGCATCTGTTTATTTTTCGTCGGCCATAAAGAACCGAAATTTGACTAATGAGAGCTATAATGTTACGATCACCATATTATGTCGTTACTTCGGACTAAGGCGAATTTTATTTTTACGCAGATGCTAACACACTGTACCTATCTATTTATAGTGTATGCATATACAGAAAATAATGCCTCAGTTACTGTATTATTTAATAATTTTTTCATTTTTTTTAAATAGAATGAGGGTGATAAACGAGCAGGCAGTTCACCTGATGGTAAGTGGATGCTGTGGCCCATAGATACCTTTATCCTCGATTAATAATCAAAACGGATTTGCGCTGTCACCGCTGAGGACTAAGATGGAATGCCTCGTTTCCAGTAAAAAAAGGGTCTCCGGTTCTCTACACTCACCATACGAAACACAGCAGTATTACGCTGCTATTTCACGCTGGTATTATGTAAGAGCGTGGATTTCCCTCGGTCGTAATTATTCGTTTATCCATTTCTAATCTAATTAATATAAAATATAAATAATATTGTTGAAAGAAACATTAATTTCTACACTTTTAAGTGTGGCCTAAGTGTGGCCGCCCTGGTAGCAGAAAACATCGTGGACACGTCATTGTGCAGAAACAATGCAAGTGTTAGTTTGCATAACCTTATTTTTTTGTAATACTTCCCGTGTAGGGAAGGCAAAAGGATCCGAGCTCCTCCCTAGTAAAAGCGTTTTGTGTGAAATAATCTTAAGTATATGTTTCCTTTGTTTAACCTGCTTTAACAGTAGCAAGGATATAAGATTTTTGTTTTTTGTTTCATTCCCCTCAATTTTAGATTTCCATATATTTATATATAATGATAAAGCACAATACTTGGCACAAAAATTATCGGCTTATAAAAAACTAAAATAATTTCTTACACTATCCAGTAACAACATACCAACAAGAAGAATAATAAAACTTCTACCTTCGCTTTGTTTTAAAAAGGTACCCCACTAACCTGTACATATGGAGGTCTCTGAGGTCGCGAAATGGAAGAAGAGCGTCGCACCGGCGGTGGTGGTTTTCCTAAGGAGGTGGACGAGCCACGCCGTGAATATACTGTCGCTGAAAGTACAAAGAACATTTTATAGAAGTCAGGTCGACAAAGTCCACAGCACAGTTGATGTTAAGTGAATGCAGTGATTCATAAACACTCTTCCTTTTCTCTTTTTTCTTTTTTGATAAAATTAGGGAAAGAAACGTCCACCAGATGGTAAGTGGATCCTGTGGCCCATAAACACCTATCCTCGACCATCTCCTCGATCTATCCTTGATTAAGAATCAAAATGCAAATGCGTTGCTACTCTTGAGGACTAATATGAATGCTTCGTTTCCATTAAAATGGGTCTCCGGCTCTCTACACTCAAAAACGGAATCCAGCAGCATTAAACTGCTATTCTACTGTGGTGTAAGCAAATCCGCACGTTAAAATTTTACAGTATCGGAACAAACCGAGATCGATAGCCGCTGGCATTAATGAAATTGTTATTTGCAATTTTAAGTGCTGATTTATTACGGTGAAGGAAAACAATGTGGAAACTGCATGTTTGAGAAATAAAAAATATATTTTCAAGATTTCCAGAAGCCAGCAAGTAATGGCAGCGCGGCGGACGTTTTTAAAAATAAGAAGAGGTCTTTGAGCAGCAGTGGGACATATTTAGCCTTGCGACAATTTGAAGTGGACTGTGTGCTCGCTTGTCACCCTATTCTATAAAAAAGTCAATAATATATCTGCTTTTATCACTAAATATTATAAAACTAAGTCGCTAATCCCCGTCTAGCTGTGTAATCGCTCAAAACTTTAAGTTACTTGAAAGGATTGGATGCAGTTTTAAACATCATTTAATGTACTGTAATGTACATTAAAAGCATATCTTGTAGTTGCTACGCCCTGCAAGTGGGTAGGCAACTGTAGTTTTTATCATTCTGAGTATTTATCAGGAAGATGCTGCTTCTCATCTCCTATTTAAGTTTCCCTATGTCAGCTCTTACGACACGGGACAATATGGTGTAGTGGATATTTTTATACATGATAATATAGGACGTCCTATTTTTATTATTATTTTATAGTTTATCGACCAAATTGGCGATATATTGAAAACGGGCTAAATTAGGAGTACCCTTAACCGACGATTATGTGTATGTATACATACGTATATATGGATGTGGAGGAGGCGAGAGAGGTGTGTCAGGATCGTGCCAAATGGAAGTCTGTAGTCTCTGCCTACCCCTCTGGGTGACAGGCGTGAGTGTTTATGTATGTATATATGACAAGATAATAAATAACAATTATAAAAAGGCCAGTTGCTAGCTTGTAACGCATTTCCGCAAAGTAACGTTTGATTTTAAAATCAATTCAAATACTAATCGATTATAATACAAAAGGTCTAGTTTGTTTACTAATATACATATAACTATACTTCGTAGTCCGTTAACAATTGACAATGGCGACGACGTCTCGCTATGCAAGAAGTTGTCATCTTTGCCCAGATAGTACATATATACGCAGTTGCATAATTATACAGGGTTATTTAGCAATAACCGGCCAAATTTGCTAAGAAGGTTAGGAATATGTAATATAGGCAAATGGTGAAGAAAAATTTATTTAAAAAGTCTCAAACATTCTGTCCTTTTATCTTTAAATTCAAAATGTCTGCTAATACTAATTATTTTAACTGATTGTCATTCATAAATATCTAACAGCTATTATTTTACTACGCACGCACACATTCTGAATCTATAATCTGTGTCAATTTGGAATAATTTCAAATAAAACATCAAATAAGGCCGTATATGGTCGTACTTTAAAAAATTGTAATAACGGTATATCATTATTTATTTATTTGAACTTAAGTTTAAAATTTGGCTACTCTTTGAAAAATAACCATGTGTAATTACCACTCCTGCGGGGTAATTAGTATAAAATTTAAACATGAAAGAAATCAACGTTGCTACGTGGCTTGACGTGGAGATATGGGGTCATTACTATTCATTAAAAAGTTTAGTTTTCTATTTGCGTCAGCGATTGTAGAAAGTCAACGAGGTTGTACCCCTCTTATCTGCTCGTTTCCTTATTAGCTAATATGTGTGTATGATAAAAACACTATTTCAATCCGAGAACAGATATATTTATTTATCAAATGAATTCTATCTTATGTCTTTAGGCGAATAATCAAATAAAGGGTGTCGAAAAACAGTCTGTTGCTATCTGGCTTTAGTCAAAGATGATTTTGGAAACTTTGTTGGTGAGGTATATCGAATATCCACTGCTGAATATATAGATTACTTCATAAGTTTATTCATCAGGGGGATATATGCCGTAGTTGCCACGCTAGCGGGAACAACATAATAAAAACAGCGATTGTTATCAAGAAAATGCGGGTTGACAACTGTTATTTATCTTTTTATTGTTATGAGAAAGATGCTACTGGCTATTTTCCCTCTGTCGCCTCTTACGACACCCAGGTGACAATATGATATAGTGGATATTCTTACACCGCCACTTATGCTGGTATTCTGTGAGAGTGTGGTCCTTTCCCGGTCGAGCCGACCCATTTGTGCTACAACTATACTACCAATATAACTACATCATGGCTCTACTACGTTTAAACACGTTCAAACCACAATACGTTCTAAAATAAATTCAAGACTTACCTGGTTATTCGTCCATCCCATTAGCTTCTGTTGATCAAGTCGCTCGACTATACATACATCAAAAGTAAAATTCTAAAGCACACACCTACCTGACATGGACAGTGGTCGCCGTTTAGGAACGGCGGGTTTCTTGCCGATGGTCGCAAAAGTCGGTGTCTCGTTGACCTCGTCCAGAGACCTGACGGCCTCCTCGAGGCTCCCGAGGGATATCGAGAAGCTCTCCCGAGCCGCTGCGACTGATGCGTCAATGTCGCGTCTCAACGTCACGATCTCCGAATCAACTGTGCGTATGTCGCAAAACAATCGCATGCAAAGCACATTAAAAAAACTACAGATAATGCAAAAAAAATCGAATTGCTATTTACTCACGAGCATTATAAAATATTTTTAAATAATTGAAAAAATACCACTCTAGATTAAAAATCGAAAACCAAAAAAGATTAATTGGCATATCAAAAAAAGTAAATAAAATTGGCTTTCGTGCATTAAAAAACACACGCACACATTCACACGACAAAAATAGCATGTAGTTTTACGATCAATATTGAACTACTCTACGCATATAACTCGTATACATTTCATAATTACTAAATAGTAAACTCAATACCATCGGGATGTTGTATTTGATGCTGGTGTCCATGATCTTCGGCAGCGAACGCACCTTGACTTCCATAACCACTGGATGACTCCAACGATGATTCACTAGCACTGCTCTCGGAACAAACCTGTAGACGAATGTATATTAAGTACCTTAATAGATATTCAAGTAATGAAACAATCATTAAAAACTCTTTTCAAACAAGGTAGCTACCGCTTTTTTTAAAGTGAAACAGTCTATCCAATAGTAATTGACTACTGATGGCCATGGACGTCTGCAGCCAAATTCAAATAAAGAAGGCTATAGAAGGCCTTTTGTACGCCGATGATCAAGTCATACTTGCGTCGTCGGCGGCCGAGTTGCAAATGACGGTTACATTAATGAACAGGTCATTAAAAGAAAGGGGAATGAAAGTGAACGCAAGTAAGACAAAAGTGATGGTTTTTGAAAGAGATGAAAGCATAACGGTATGTGAAATAAGAATAGAAGGAGAGTTAATTGAGCAAGTGTATGAGTTCGTATATTTGAGATGTGTATTCAGCAGGGATGGGAGATATGATAAGGATATTGAACGACGAGTGAATGCAGGAAATAAAGTAAATGGGGCTCTACACTCTATTGTGAAAAGTCAGAATGTGTCAAAAAAGGCACGTATGGCAATTCACAGTGCTGTATTAGTCCCTACTTTAACGTATGGTAGTGAAAGTTGGGTGTGGCAGAAGAAGCACGAGAGTAGAATAAACGCAGTAGAAATGCGGTCGCTAAGGAGTATGTTAGGGCTGAACCTGAGTGACAGGGTGAGAAACTGTGTGATAAAAGAAGAGTGTGGTTTGCAAGATGATGCGGTGACCAGGATTAAGAAAGGAATGCTTCGGTGGTTTGGTCATGTAGAAAGAATGAATGCGGAAAGACTGACAAAGCAAATATATGTTGCAGAAGTGAATGGAAGAGTCGGAAAGGGACGTCCTAGGCGGAAGTTTGTCGACAAAATTGGCGATATACTAAAAATGGGCCAAATTAAGAGTACCCTTAACCGACGAGCATGTATGCGTAGGTATATGAATGTGGAAGAGGCGAGAAAGGTATGTCAGGATCGTGCTAAATGAAAGTCTGTAGTCTCTGCCTACCCCTCTGGGTGACAGGCGTGAGTGTTTATGTATTATGTAAGGCTATAGATACGTCATACGCTGTCACTTCTGAGGACTAAGATGGAACGCCTCACAGCCCGTAACTATACTGGCTCTCTTTACCCTTCAGACCGGCACGCAGCAGTGCAAGCACTGTCATTTAACGTCGGAAATAGGTTTTTTTATAGAATAAAGGTGAAAAACGAGCACACAGTCCACCTGATGGTAAGTGGTTGCTGTGGTCCAGAGATATCTACATCCATCCTTGATTATGAATCAAAATGCAGATGCGTTTGTCACCCGTGAGGATTAAGATAAAATGCCTCGTTTCCAGTAAAATGGGTATCCGGTTTTCTACATTCACCATACGAAACACAGCAGCGTTGAGCTGCCATTTTACGCTGGTACTCTGTGAGAGCGTGGTCCTTCCCCGGTCGAGCCGACCCATTAATGCTGGCAATGCAACTATCCTACTACTAATACAGCCGCAGCATAACTCAAACACGAAAAAATTGGTCTTCCTCATTTTAAATGAGGGATTTAGTACCTACCCAGACGGACTCTTAAACAAAAAAGGAGTCACATTACCGAGTACTTTTACCTATTAAAGTCTAAAGTCTACTTAAAGACTTCTAACTGTATTCAGATATTGTTGTCGCATAGAAGTACCGTCATTATCAAGTGCATTTAGTTCACTGTAGATAATTTTTATAAATTTACTAGCAATCCGCCCCGGTTCCACGCGGGTTATTTCTGGATCTCGACAACAGCGCCACCTAAAGGGCCCAAATGTGAATCTAAACCATCCAGGGACCCATTCAAACAAACACAAAAACTTTCATCAAAATGGATCGAATTATTTTTGAGTTTTAGAGCGAGAATTAGGATGACAAACGAGTACACAGCCCACCTAATGGCAAGTGGATGCTGTGGTCCATAGACATCTACATTTATCCTCGATTAAGAATTAAAAAAAAACGCAGATGCGTTGTCACCCATAAGAACTAAGATGGAATGCTTCGTTTTCAGTAAAAAAGGGTCTTCGGATCTCTACACTCACCATACGAAACACAGCAGTATTAAGCTGCTATTTTACGCTGGTATTCTACGAGAGCGTGGTCCTTCCCCGGTCGAGCCCACACGTTTGTCTACAACCATAATACCGACTGCATCACGAATAGTTCGGTTTTTTATAATAATATCCTCCAAACCTTGATTCGGTCACGGCGGCCAGTCTCCATCGAGTTAGTCTTGTTAGTCTCATTCCATCTGCGCAAGACAGGATTATAGTACCCGAGTATATGCGCAAGCACAGGTGCACTCTCTATATTGCCTTACTCTCATAGTCCCATGGGGCGGTAATCTGATACGACCGGTGAGAGATTAGGTACTGGACCCACAGATTTACGCGCTTTCAGTAAGGGGAACATTTCGTTTACGCGAGACTTAAAATATCTGGATGGGCAACTGGCAGCAACGTCGAAGGTGCTAGACGTCTGGCACTGCACTGAGAATTAAGGCACAATTTTCCTACTACGGGAAAAATCAATGTGCTACAGTGGACTCTTACGTAGTAGTAAAACGAAAAATACCAAATCCAAATCCAAGAATAGGTCGGGGAATAGCATCACCAGTGGGAGGATTTTATTCGGCTCTGCTTTTACCATGTACATTCCGTATGGCAAATTTTTGAATGTTTCACGCCAGTTGCTTCAGACTGAGAAACACTGAGAATTACGAAGGAATACAATAGGGTGTAACATGTGAACGGAGTAGTTGCCTATGGCACTGATATTTTACAAAAAATAAAAACAACAATTTTGAATTAAATAAATTAATTAATTAAAATCTATCAAAATTCAAATCATATCCACCCTATTTTACGAACGGCAATAAAACAATAAATTTAGTAGGCATCTTTGACCTTGTCACTTTGCGGGGTCACAGGCTCAAGGACAAAGGACAATGTAATTGTTCAAAAAAATTTCAAACGTTTAATTCAAATTTTTTTGTAAAATATCAGTGCCATAGGCTTCTACTCCATTTACATGTCACACCCAATTTTTTTCCAGACGGTAAAAGTCATGCAGTATATACTGGATGACCTTTTTTAATGATCCAGTACTCTATGATCCAGACCAGCGACAGGGAGTTGCGTCAAAGATACAAAACATCTAGGACTGCGATCGGAAAATTATTTGACAAATGTGGTGACTTTCGTAATTTCTTCCTACAGTTGGGGAGGTCCACGTCAAGCGATGGACTTATGAGCTGAAGAAAGAAGTTTTAAAATATATAGCTAATATCCAAAAACAAAACAAATTATAGTAGAACCACGTTCTTGTCATTTTCAATTAGACTACTCTCACTTCAAATATAGTCTCAAATCATTGAATTTCTTATAAAACATACGGGTGTTATTGTTTTAAACATTATAACAATTATGTATTTTACACAACGAACAGAGAACGCACTTCAGCGTTCACGCTACAGGGATTAAATTGTTGACATTTAAAGTTTTCGTCCGCGCTCGGAACAATGGCTTTATGACTGACTGGATATGCGTTTGTAGAGTTATGTGTAGTACGTTCGTTCGATCTTGATACTTTGCCATAATTTACTTATTTATAAGAAGTACAACACAAAATGATGATTTAAAGTAAGGTAATGGATTACTTCCAGATTGTGAAGCCGGTTTACCAAACATTCCGAGAACAAGACAACATTTTAATAAATATAATTCCGTTGTTTTACTCCTTGTGCCGTCCTTGCTTTACTATGTATTATCATCATCACCTACCGTTATTATCATAACCCTGATAGTGTGAGTATGTTTTATACGTGGTAGAACCGTACTGAAGCTACATTAGTAGTATAGTTGTAGCACGAACGAGTCGGCTCGACCGGGGAATGACTACGCTCTCAAAGAATACCAGGGTAAAATAGCACTTCAATGCTGCTGTGTTTTGTATGGTGATTGTAGAGAACCGGAGACCCTTTTTAATAGAAATGAGGCATTCCATCTTAGTCCTCACGGGTGACAACGCATCTGCATTTTGATTTATAATCGAGAATAGACGTAGATGTCTATGGGCCACAGGAACCACTTACCATCAGGTGGACTGTGTGCTCATTGGTCACCCTTATCCTATAAAAAAATTACATTTTACGTGGTAGAGCCATACCAGCTACATTATGGTTGAAGCATGTATCGGTCGGATCGGCCAAGGACAATGCTCTCACAGAATACCAGCGTAAAAAATGCAGCTTAAGGCCGCTTTGTTACGTATAGCGAGTGTAGAGATCCGGAGAACTCTTTTACTGGAAACAAGGCATTCCATCTTAGTTACTAGGGGTGACAACGCACCTTCATTTTGATTCTTTATCCAGGATAGATGTAAACGCAAGTGGGCCACACCATCCACGTACCGCTTACGTTGTATTTTTGCATTACTTAAAAAATTCTCATAAAGGTTATTCAAAATCTAATATGATATAAATGCAATGATAATGCCCTCTATATTGAATTTCTATCATAGCGACTAGTCTCCATTGAGACTCAACTGAGACTAGTCATCTTAGCACAAGCACATGTGCACTCTTTATTCTTTTACCCTCATAGTCAGATAGGGACAGTAATCCGACATGAACAGAGCGAAATCAGACGCAGGATCGGCTGAATATGCTTACCGAAGCACGGTGGTGAAACACCGTTAATTTATTGCAGCATTACTTATTTATTTTTGTGGCCGTGGAAGGAAAAGAGGAGGTCTCCCGCCGGACAATGTGTTCTGCCCGGGGAGCGGCAAACGCTCCGTGTGATAGTTCGGAGCCATTCTATATACTATATTGTTTTTACTTCGGTACTTTGATATCACGATTTAGACTTCAATGTGTTTCGCTTGTAGTGCGACGAAAGCGCCGCCACAATTTTATTAAATTAATTCCGGCTCGTTTTATATAATAAAAACAAAGTATCAAAGCATTTAATCCGCGCATCAGCACATCTGAATGGAACATAATATAACAGCGGCTAGTTTTACAACCCGCGGCGAATTTTCCAGTCGCATGCAACGCCGTGCAAAGTACGCACAGTACGAAACATTTCTTTAATACAAACTGAGACTGAAGCATGAAATCAGCTCGTATAATACTGCTTCAAATCTGGTGAGTACTTACATTTATTATAAAATTTACAATGCAATAAAACTGCGTTGCTTATAACGAGATTCGTAAGATATCAATCATACAATCAAAGTAGGGACAGATTTATCCAAAACGGCTGACCATCTCGAAATCTGTGAGATGCGTCAATACCATTTGTAATCTTAAAATGTGAATATAAATAAAAAAATGTCTCCATCATGTTCCGCATTGCTTAAGAAAATCTTGTTCTATGTACCATTTCGTTTCATTTGATAAATCTAAAAATCACTATTGAAAAATTCCTCAATATATATAAAGAACAATTTCTGTCCGTTACTCTCGCAAAAACTCGAAAATCGCTCGACTGATGATTTTTTGTGTGTATTTAAGTGGGTCCCTGGATAGTTCTAAAAAATAGTTGGATCCCCTAGATGGCACTGTTATTGAGAGCCAAAAAATCACCCGCGTAAAGCTGGGGCGGATCTTTAGTTACAAATAAAATACCAGCACCGAAATAAATTTCAAATTCGATTCGGTTTTCAAAACAAACGAGAAACACGATCGAGTTACGGTCGGTCAAGTGTTATCAGCGCCGTTAAGAAGAACACCTAGATATTTTTTTTATCTGGAGATATTTCTTTATAAAATTAAAAATTTACTAGCATGTAGTTCTTTATAAAATATTATCATGACGAAATCTTAGAATTTGACTAAGTTAAAAAAATAAGTCGGTTAAATACTTATGCAATATCAAAGCATACTCTAATAAATGTTTACTTCGCTGTTTTCAGCTTAGCCGTGAACATTCACATTACGTCGCAATGGTGAGTAAACTGCTTTTAATACACACCGATAGGACGCTGTGAACATTATACTATAAACATTTTCTATGTATTTAAAAATTCAGAAGTGGTAGAACCATGCTGCAGGTTCGACCGGGGAAGGACCACGCTCTCACAGAATACCAGCTTAAAATAGTAGCTTAATGCCGGTGTGTTTCGTATGGTGAATGTAGAGAACGGGAGACCCTTCTTACTGGAAAAGAGGCATTCAACCTTATACTCACGGCTGGCAACGCATTTGCATTTTATTTCGTAAACGCGAAGTACACGTCGCGCCGAGACGTACCCGGCACTGCTGGCATAGACAAACAAGCGAAGGAACTTTGAATCGCATTGTTACCTGCGACGTTAAATGAATTCTGTTTGATAATCGCAAGCGCTCAGCAAGTTGGTTTGATCCTGGATCGACACCAAGCAATGCCGACTAATCCTCCTAGAATAGTGATGGTCACTGTTTGGTGGTCTAACGCCGGAGTGATTAATCACAGCCTCTTAGAAAACGGGATGAGCATCACTGCAGCTGTGCACTGTGAGGAACTGAACAAAATGATGGAGAAGCTCGCACATCTCCAACCAGCTTTGGTCAATCGCTCGTCCTCGCTACTAATGCACGACAACGCGCGACCTCATACTGCACAACAGACGGTCCCCAAGATACAAGAGCTGGGGTTGGAAGCTCTCCGTCATCCACCAGACTCACTAGACCTTGCGTCTACAGACTTTTATTTTTCCAGAATTTGGATAACTTTGAGTCAAGTAACGCGTGAGTCGAGAATTACTTGACTCCCACATTACTTGACTCACATTGCAAGTTCTTCGTTCAAATCCTAATCAGAACAAACATTACAAAAAAATTGTAAATCCGGAAGTGTGCACTTCGATCACTGACATTAACATTCTTTAATTAAATATAGTAACAATGTGTGATCAGTAACAGTGATAGCAGGCCACGTGTTTGTTAAAATAAACGGTATAGTGTATAATATATATGATTCACACTTCACATTGCAAACGTCATCATGTGGAAATCCGAATCGAAGCTATCGAAAATATGTAAAATTAGCCTATTTATTTCGTTTTATTACAATTACTAAGTAGTAAGCGTCGTTAGTCTCGAACTGTTTTTGTTTTGATGCTAGATCTTATATAAAGAAACATAATAAATATTACGTCTTTACCTATGAAATTGTTGTTTTTAATGAAATATGTTAACGTAATTTTTTTCTATATTTTTATGTCTATTAATCAAAGTAACCAATCATCCACGCAATCGATGCAACTTTATCTTTACTAACGCAGTGGCCGTTTATTGATGACCTTTTTGAAGCAATCAACTGGACGGGAGGCAACAAATCAAAGGTATTGTGTGCGTTTGGCAGAAAAAAAGCGCTAGCAAGCGCTTACAAGCGCTAAAATAGTTTTCGGCCAGGACACGATTGCTACTTCAGTAGCGCTGACACAATCCGCCATTTTGCTTATTTAATTTGTTTGTTTTGAAGTAGAGTTTATAAGTTGTTTTGTGCAATATTAGTTTTAAGTAATATAATAATGACGTGAATAAACATATATATGTTATTAAAATTCATGATTGGTAAGTTTTTAATATGAATACTTTACAAACATATATTTAAATGAGGTTAGGTTCGGTTAGGAAAATAGCTACTTACGATTTGACAGCGCTTACCGCTTACGATCGCCATTTTGCTTATAAGCGCTTGCTAGCGCTTTTTTCTGCCAAACGCACCCATTGTGTACAGCCTCACGGATGTAGATTTATTTTCCCGTAAAAAAAGTTATCTAAATTCTGGAAAAACAGAAGTCCTGTAGACGCGAGGTCTGGTACGTACGGTACCATCAAACAGTGACCATCACTATTCTAGGGGTAAGTTTTCGCTTATTGTCAACCAAAATTTTCGGACGACCACCGGGTTCATTTTTCAATCCTGAACAAGATTTGAACAAAGAACTTGCAATGTGAGTCAAGTAATGTGTCAGTCGAAAATTGTTTGACTCACACATAACTTGACTCACATTGCAAGTCCTTCGTTCAAATCCTAATCAGAGCATACATAATACAAAAAAAATGTAAATCCAAAAATGCGCACCTCGATGACTGACACTAACATTTTTAATTAAAAATAGTAACAATGTTTTTTCACACTTCGAACACACGTCTTTTGAATTCGCGGTCCTTAACCATTAAGGTTTTTCATTAACTATAGCTTAAAAAAATTAAAAGATTGTTTCTTATCCGTAAACTTATGAATTTGAATTTAAATTATTTGTTATGACATAGAGTAGATTTAAGATGTCAGACATGACAAGGATATAAAATGAAGAGTGAATGCAAAACTTTCAACATGAAAGTGAACGCAAGTAAGACAAAGGTTATGGTTTTTGAAAGAGAAGAAAGTAAAACGATTTGTGAAATAAGAATAGAAGGGGAGTTGATCGAGCAAGTAGATGAGTTTGTATATTTGGGCTGCGTATTTACCAGGGATGGGAGATATGATAAGGATATAGAACGACGAGTGAATGCGGGAAATAGAGTAAATGGGGCCCTGCACTCTATTGTGAAAAGTCAAAACGTGTCAAAAAAGGCACGTATGGCAATTCAAAATGCTGTGTTGGTCCCTACTTTAACGTATGGTAGTGAAAGTTGGGTGTGGCAGAAGAAGCACGAGAGTAGAATCAACGCAGTAGAAATGTTTTCGTTAAGAAGTATGTTAGGGCTGAATCTGAACGACAGGGTAAGAAATTGTGTAATAAGAGAAGAGTGTGGTTTGCAAGATGATGTTGTGACCAGGATTAAGAAAGGAATGCTTCGGTGGTTTGGTCATGTGGAAAGAATGAATGAGGAAAGAGTGACAAAGAAAATTTATGTTGCAGAAGTGAATGGCAGAGTCGGAAAGGGACGTCCTAGGCGAAAATTTATCGACCAAATTGGCGATTTATTGAAAAAGGGCCAAATTAGGAGTACCCTTAACCGACGAGCATGTATGCGTAGGTGTATGGATGTGAAGGAGGCGAGAGAGGTGTGTCAGGATCGTGCCAAATGGAAGTCTGTAGTCTCTGCCTACCCCTCTGGGTGACAGGCGTGAGTGTTTATCTACGTATTATGAATGCAAAACTTAAGAGTGAATGAGGACTCTTCACTCTATTTCGTCAACCTTCTCATTTTTGGGTCTCAACTGCAATTTGTTTTGATTCTCACCCTCGGTCTCGTGTGAGATTAAGAATGTTACTAGTTATGAACCTTACTTTCCAATTGGACCGCGTTATGCACAAATGTTTCAGTCCAAAAAACATAGTTATTCACATATGAAAGATAAATGCGTTTTTCTTGTGGCAGAAGCCATTTTATATACATATGTCATTTTTAAGAAAATTGTATTTAGTTTTTACTTAAAAAAATGATAAAAGTGCCTCTCGATCATTATATTGTTGGCCAGTTTGTGAGTTAGATCACTTCTGTACAATACGGACATAAAGTACGGATTATAACTAAAAGAAATGTCTTCATTATTTTCTCTTTTTACTGATGTTATTATTTTATATAGAAATAATTTACGAAATTATAAGGTCGTGTAATAGCGCCGATAATAATTTATGTATATATATATATATATATATATATATATATATATATATATATATATATACAATTGCATGGGTGTCGTATGAGGCGACAGAAGAGATGAAACGGTAAAGGGACAACAGCATCTTCCTGATAACACAAAAATAATTAAAAAGACTACGGTTGACAATAGGGCTGCCACTTTTTTTTTTGAACAAATATAATATTTTTCCCAAAAAAGATGAATAAATTCTTTTGAGAAATTCAGGAAAAAAAGTACACATGTATTTTAATCTTCATGTATCTTTCCATACATATATACAAATATATGGTCACAGCGAAGAGCAATAACAATATTGCTCTTCGCTGTGACCTTTAAATAATAATTATAGGAATCTGAGCGGTAAATTTAGGTCTATATTAAAATAAATTAACAATTCATTTTTAATTTAATTAATAAATGCTCCATTTCTTTCTTCTTTTCATTTTACACTTATGATTTAAAAATTCTTTTCGTGAAACGTACTTGTTCCAGACTTACAATCACAGTTAATATAAAAAGGGCGAAAGTAGAATTAGGGATAAAAATATACCTATCATTTATCGTAATATATTATTTTTCTATAATATATAGTACAATTCAATGAAATATAATACGATACTATATATTATAGTATGCGTGGCAACTCTAGTTGACAACGCGCTTGTCGAGCGGGTTCAGCACAAGATTTTGGATAGACTGTCATAAACGAATGTAATAAGGCACTTGTAGGGTACTAAAATAATTCCCTTTCAGTCCGTACACGGGTCAAGATGTGAAGGCTGCATACAAATCTGGAGAGATGCAAGACCAAACCATGCCCATTACAATGGACACGATTAAAAAGAAACTGAAAGACGCCATGATCTTCGACTGGGAAGACCCTACGCTCAATGAGAGAGAGAAGAAAGAACTAAGCAAGTTGTTCGATGCGGTCGAAATTATGGTAAGTGAGACGAACGTATGCAACAGTATTACACTTTCAGGAAAATAAGGTTAAAAATTAACTAAGGGACTGTCTATATGGGTGACTATTATTATGAGTATTATTATGACTATTAGTATGAATTAGAAGCCCAAGACATAGATAAATGCAGGTTTCCTCACGATAGAATTAACCGGCGAGCCATGCCGTAAGTCAGCATATAAAACTGCATGTAACAATTTTTGGTGCTAGATTGTGAGGATCGAAATCTAACTCGGGTTGTGTCGAGTACTATGAAATTAACGAAAAGCACTTAACCTTACCGCTAACAGCTAACAGATGGTTAACGCTCGCTGTAAATATACAGAACGCGAGTAACACGGGTTCGATCCCCGCCGGCACCAATTGTTAATTGCAATTTTAAGTGCTAATTTACCACGTGCTCGGCGGTGAAGGAAAACATCGTAAGGAAACCTGCATGCCTGAGGATTAAGAGAAAAAATATTTCGAAGACGTGTAAAGTTCGCCAACACACATTGGGGCAGCGCGGCGGACACTTCCTTGCCCTAAAACCCTCAGGAGTGAGGGGAGGCCTGTGGCCAGAGGTGGGACGTATATAGGCTGTAACTTTTACAGCTATTTTACATTGGTGTTCTCTCTCTGACACCGTAATCCTTTTTCGCGAAAGATCCGTTCTTTGTACGTCAGTGTACTTTCATTGAGAGAGTAATTTTTCTTCTTGGTCGAACCGAACGACCCAGTCATAATACTGCTGCAGCGTTGATTTACAACGTAAAAACAGAAAAATACTTTGCTTAAAGACCACAAAACACAGGGGGGGGGGGTCGAGTCTTTAAACAAAAGCCTTATCTTAAAGTCTTTAAGCTCATGGGCCCTAATGTGTATTGCAAACGACCAAGTCACGGCGTCTCTTCTAGTACGTAGTACATATTACTTTGTTTATATTACCTTTAAATTACAGACAGCATCCCGAAGCCGTCAGCCGTCCAATGTGCAGAGCATGTTCGCGTCACTACGTCTGGTCGAACGGGCGGTAAAGAAGCAGCTCAAGGAGGGGCAGATATCGGAGTCTTTGGCTTCCAAATTTAAATGGGAGAAACTGTTAGTAAGTCATTTATAGCCCCATAAGTTGGAATATAATGTCCTTTAGATAAAATTTTGGTCACGGCAGTCAATCAGAACGAAGACTAAATATCTGAGCTGTACAGGTTTACAGTGCCCAAGTGTATGCGTAAGCACAGGTGCACTCGCTATTCCCTCACTCGCATATTGCGATTGGACGGCAATCCGACACAACCGGAGAGAGATAAGACGCAGGGCTAACGGCTTTACTTGCTTTCCGAGGCATGAGGATGAAACACCGCCAACTTCCTGACTCCGGGCAGCTAGTAATATTTTCTTGATAGACATGATGAGCAGTCACCTGCGACTATTAGACCAACGAAACAGTCAAACAAACACCATTGTAACGGTTATGAGATAAAAACAGTTAACGCGTCAATTAGTCAATGTCAAATACCAAAGACGATTAACTGCCGTGTGGTGGCGACGATAGAAAAAGCGTCCCCCCTCTAAGTTGTTGCTGTCGTAAAATACAACTATGGGAAATGCGAGAAAAATGTCTTCCGGTAGATGGCGGTATAAACATCTCATTTAAGTTAGACAACAGCGCTATGGATGTAGAGCCTTATACAGGATGTTAGTGTAAACACCGTTATCCTTGAAACCAGTGGTTTGGTTTCACTTATAGAACGTAAATTCAATGAAAAATAACAACATTTTTTTTTTAGTTAAATCTCAATTTTTCCTTAATTTCTCAATTTTTGCCTGTCCTAAGCCAGGATGACAGTTAGAAGGAAAAGTTACATCACAGGTTATGTGTACCTTTTGTGTTTTTATTGGAATATTATGTAGGTAGCTAGCGCGGGCGGTGATTTTTACAGTGATAACGTCACTCGGGCACATAGGGTATCCATGAATTTACGGACGGTGTCGGACAGAAACTTTTGAAATGTTATGCAAGAAAATTGCGTTTCTTTTTAAATCGGATAAATATTTTTATATTAAAGCCAACTACCTATGGTTTTAGTGACAATGGTTTTTACACTTACACCTTGTATAACCTCCCGTGGGGTTCCTTCTTCAATACGATCTCCCAGTCACAAATGCTATGTACTGCCGGATCCTACCATTGCTCGTTGGCTAAGTATAGAGGGGTAAGCCCTTTATCACAAGAAATTACATCCTCATGGAGTGGATCATCCAATCTTGCCAGGAAATAATTTAGCAGGCTGCACACTTCGCGATTATGCATGTCAATGGTTAATTATCCGTGACGTCCGGTACAGCGATCGTTAATGCGTCTGCCCAGCGTGACAAGTAATGCAAGTTCTTCCTAGATGTGGGGAGAAGTGGACTTTTATAGGCAGATATAGATGACGGTAACACTCATAGACTACTTCAGAGTGTGTTTTATAAAATGGAAACGTATAGATTTAATACAAGTAACCGAAAGTAACCAATATTTATTTACTTGTTTACAGTTCAAGCCGTCAAAAGAGGGAGAAACCAATGTACCAATTAGATAAACGAACGAACATGCGAGTTTTCAACCTTGAACCATAGATCTGAATAACCAGGCGCTATATTAAGTTTCAAAGCGAAGAACTGTGAAACGATTTTTATCTTTATCTCTGAGTAATAAGGATAATTTTAAACTAACATAAGTATTACGCGTATGTACTTAATTAAATGTATTATATTAATTAAGATTTGAGTTTGTTTGATGAGTGTTTAGTAAATGATATTAAAATATAGGCATATTTTCGTAGACTTATTTTTATTCATAGCACAATAATACAAAAATGTACACACACGGAAGTTGCACAACTAATACTATCAAGACGAGGAAGAAGAGAATCATAAGCTAGTTTTACTTTTTTTTCTTATTTAGCAATATTAGAGGATTTGTCATGTAGGAGATCGTAGATGTCATAAAGGATATTTGCCCAAAGACTTATAATATGGGTCTCCAATAGATAGTAGTGTCTTGTATTTATATATTATCTGTATATATATATATATATATATATATATATATATATATATATATATATATATATATATATATATGATAAAGGTCCAGACTGGCTGCGGTAAGTGCTTCATGTGTGACAAATTCTTGCGCGCCCATTTTGAAAGCGTTATAATATGTAAATAATCAAACATATTCCCAACGATCTTGCTCGAAGGACGAAAAAGTAATATTAAATCCTGAATAAAATATCTCTTGGAAATTGTACGCAGTAATAACGCAATATAATTTCCTCTACTGCTTTCCAGCCTTCAGCGGCCTTCTGTTACATTATGGATGTAACTAAAAATTTCACGAAGCGTTTAACTTCGTCATTTACAATATGTAAATAAAAGGAATAACTTGCCTACATCAGTTTTTCAGTGTTTCCGCCTTCTGAAGACTAAAATAGCCTTTTTTCACTTACTAACTTGATACTGTTACGAGCTTGGGGTACAAAACAATTAAAAACTGCCGCAAGAATTACCAAAATTGATGATACTTTAATTACAGAACACTAATTACAACTTAAAACCACACTAATAACAAAACACAATTGTACTACTGATCACTTTAGTTCGCAGTTGTATCGCTTCGAAGTATTCACTTGAATTGCTAATTCAATACTGACCCGGATCGCGGTCTATACTGGCCTTCTATAGGGCCTCGGATAGTTCCAGAACCTTCTACTGTAAAAACATCTAGAATGTTCGAGTACATACCGGTCCCGACTGACTAGGTGTCGACAGTTCTAAAAAGTTCTTCCATGGAAATTTCTAGAAGGATCTTGACTCTCCTAGTTCTGCTACTAATTCTAGAGGGCGCTAGTGGTAACTAGTGTCGCCATGTACCAGGCATTAATTGTGGCGCACAACAATACGTTAAATTTAATCACCCATTGAATAACCATACTACGACTCCCTTTCTTCCTTGAATTTAGGGTTAGGTAACACACTCTTAGCTATTCCTGCGGTCAAGCAGCAGTGCAGTGTACAGTATAATCACGATGCATTCCATTTTAGTGTATAGAGGCGACAACGCATCCGTAGTTGCAGGTGTTCGTCCACGCACTGCGGTAGCCGCTTACCATTAGATGGACAGTAAGCTAGTTTGTCATCATCATCAGATTTAAAAATAATAATACTAGTAATGTTACCCGTTATTTACACCAAGTAAGCTTAAAAACCTTGTGTTAGGTGTGATTCACGACAGTAGTTGAACGGCGGATTCGAACCCACGATCATGCGTGATTGCGATCTGCACCTTTAACCATGAGGCTACTGTATCCTAACAGGTGGAACAGTAGATAGGTATAAACATATATATATAAAAAATAGTAAATACTTAATTATATACTTACCTTTTCCTGCTGCGGGAATTCCGAGTTATTTTGTTGCTGCTGTTGTTGTTGTTGTTGTTGTTGTTGTTGAGCGCGGGACGCGGCCAGCGTAGCGAGCTCAGACATGTTCACGTACAGTGCTTGTGGCATTTCTACAGCAAGAAATGTATAACATTAATGATGTGATTAATGATCTGATTGAACCTTGCGATTATTCACGGATTTACGTGAAAAAAAGAACTCTAAATTGTTATCGTAGTTCGATAATATTGTTCTAGTAGACTTTGGGAGATCGTGATCTGCTTGGTTTTAGTTCACCTGATGGAGAGCGTCTACAGCAGTCCATACACCGTTACATCCAGCCTATTAAAGTCCACTGCTGAAGACAGGCCTCCCCCATATATTGGCTCATAGGAAGGATATTCGCCATAGTTGCCACGCTTGGCAAGCGGATTGAAAACCACAGTTTTTTTATTGTTAGTCGATATTAGAAAGAGACTGCTAATTTCCTTAGAAGCGACAATAGCCTAATGGCAGGGCGCGGACCGCGAACTCAAAAAGGTCGTGGGTTCGAATCCGCCATTCGACTACTGGCGTGAACCACTCGTAACACAAGCCATTTAAGTTTACCACGAGTGGTTAAGGGGAATATTAGTCATTGTTAATAATCTTGAAAAAATCCTGATATGTTTCCCTCTGTCGCCTCTAACGACACCCACGGGATGATATGGGGCAGTGGATATTCTTACACCGCCATCTGCAACTACAACAAATATAAATAAGGCAGAAAGTGTTAAGGCGGATGAATTCTGGGCCAAATAATTGAATGGCTACTTTTAATAACACAATAACAATAACAATTACAATTTTAAAATCGGACTACGAAATAGTGAATATTGTTTTCTCGATTGATCTCGATCGGAAGCTTCAGTCTTAGCATTGTAATAAACGTATAATAAAGTGAAAACTCTTGAGTTATAGCAAACTTCAACACAGTTGTCACATCAAAGGACGAAGATGTAAAGTCTTAGCCCATAATAATACTGGTTCTCTACATCACACAGCAGGGAACTGCTGCTAGTTGGTGGAAATAATATATTTTACCTTTAGTTAGATGTGGTGGAAGAGAGGAAGGTTTCATCGGCTTGAACTCCTGTTGACCCGTGTTGGCGTTGTTGGACTTAGCCGGTACCGACGGCCGCTCTAACGAGGAACATCTCTGCAAAGTAACATAAGTTTAATATTCCATTTTTTATTTACGTTCAAAAAAATATAATGAATAACAGAAAAAAGAAAAAAATGTTACACGAGGGCACCCCTCAAAAATATAAACCAATGTTTTCACATAAATAAAAATACTACTAAAAGTAAACAGAACGGTAAAAATAGAAATAGACGACGGTAGTCATCTACCACCATGTAAGTTGCTTGCTCGTTTGCCCTCTCTTCCATAAAAAGGTAAGATTTCAGTTTTCATTAACAAACAGGCGTGTAGTTGTACTCACAGTGGGCAGTGGCGGTCGAGCGTATATCCCTCCTTCACGGATCAGAGTGCCGAGAGCCTCCGATGTGAACGTGTGGACGCTCAGCGCTGGGCGTGGGTGAACTCGTTCCGCTGTTAGGGTACAAATTACTTAAAATTCTAATTTGTTTGCCCTCACAGAATACCGTCGTGAAATAGCAGCTTAATGCTGCTGTTTAGTATAGTAAGTCAGGCGAAAGGGAAACCAATAAAACTCTTATTTCTGCTGTGTTTCGTATGGTGAGTGCAGAGAACCGGAGACCCAGAAACAAGTCATTCTACAAAGTAAAGTTACAGCCTATATACGTCCCACTGCTGGGCACAGGCCTCCTATCATTTCTGAGAGGGTTTTAGGGCAAGGAATAGTCCGCCGCGCTGCCCCAATGCGAGATGGCGAACTTCACGTCCTTGAAATATTTTTTTCTTATTTCTCAGACATGCAGGTTTCCTCACGATGTTTTCCTTCACTACCAAGCACGTGGTAAATCAGCACTTAAAATTGCAATTAACAATTTCATTGGTGCCGGCGGGGATCGAACCCAGTTTGCTCGCGTATTGTGAAATTTACAGCGAGCGCTAACCATCTGAGCTACCACGGCTCACTTCATTCTACGTTAGGCATTTTATTTATTAATCGATAGATCTAGTTGTCTATGGGCAACAGTGTTCATGTACAATCGGAAGGACTATTAGCTCGTTTGTCAACCTTATTCTATAAAAAAATATGAAACGCATATTTTTTTGAAAGTTAAGAGAGGTCATTCCATGAAGTACTGTACTGCTGTATGCTGTGTATTTAGTCGAATTTTCCACCACCAGCTGTACTAATGTCTACAAATTACAAAAATTACATGTTATTATACAAAACACTATATTTTACATTAGTGAGAAATGAATAAATACTTTTAATTTATAAAATCATTAAAAAATTGATATAATTTTTTCATACAGTAGGTTTCCATCAGGTAGACTGTTAGTTTGTTAGCCACCTTAAAATTCGATAAATAATAAGAAGGAATTCAGGCCGCTGAAGAATAAAAATAAAATCCTGATGAAAGTACAACATTATCTAAAAGAAATTAAGGGCAGAATATTAATATTTTCAAGAAGTGCTTAAGCTAGAGGTTTAAAGTAATAAGTCATTACCCGATGATATGATATGTGGTCGGCCTCCCATAATAGCTGATGCAGCCCGTTCGAATTGCGCGGTATCTTTTAAATCGGGCCAAGTCGCTGACGCTGCAAAAACACGAATGTATATAAAGGTTGAAATAGAATTATATGGACAGTAATTATTCAAAATATAGGAATGTTTAAGGAGTCATGAGGTAGAGTTTAAGCCGTGTAGAGTAGGTGTATGAATATCTATCACCCTCATATCGTCCCGTGGATGTCGTAAGAGGCTAAAGAGGGAAGTTTATACAAGTTATGGGCAACAGCATCTTCCTAACAACTTAAAATAATAAAAACAAACTGCGGTTGCCAGCCCGCCTGCCTATAGTTCGTGCCAAATAGATTGAGAAAAACGGACATTGACCTTTCGGTCGTTTAACCAGGGGCTACAAACCTTCAATATATAGGCACTTTTTATATGTAGTACTTTTTTATTAATAATGATTTTTTTTAATTATTTTTTTGTAATGATTGATATAATATATATTTATTAACTATTATTAAAAAGTTATGTAAAAGATCGCTGTAGAAGAAAAATCATCTATTGTTATAAAGTGCTTTATTCATTTAACAACAAAAAAGGCATTAATTTATAACACATATAAAGAATGATAACGACACCGAATAAGTACGTACTTATTCAAAAGATAAAACTTTATTTTCTATATTATACAAGAACTTTATTTTGTTTCGGTGCATGCGGACCGTCCCAAAAAAGTGACGCATTTTTAGCTGCCATTGTCACGTTTCTTTTAGAATGAACTGAGATAACGCGTTTTGTTTATTTTTAAGGGATGAATTTGCAAAAGCTCAATATGGTGATTATATTGCTTCAAATATTTTTTTTTAATATGAAACTGTTATTAAATGAATTGCTGCGTTACTTACCATACATTGAAATATAAAATGTAACACATTTTTCGCGGTGTACCGTAAGATTTTACGATGTTTGTAGGAACCACAGACAATATTATTTAATAAACAAAAAATAAAACATATGTGCTGACCTAGAAGTGTGAATAATATCAATATTTAAATATTGTTATCACACCTAAATTGAGATTTTGTAAGTTACGCCTTTTGACACTCGGCTCATATCTGAGGTCATAAGGTCCGTTTTTCTCAATCGATTTGGCACGAACTATAGCGCGGCAACTATATCAAAATGCCTCATATGAGGCAATCTATGGGATTAGGCCTACGCTCAGCAGTGCTTCTAAAGGCATTAAAAACGGAAAGAAAGGAGCGAAAGTTTAGTAAAAGCTAGTTTTTTATATATTGGATATGTTGGATATGCAATATGTTTCATTTCGACTTGGAGAGTTTTGGTGTTGTGGCAATGCAGGGTCCAAGCATTTGTCGTAAATTTTATAGTATGCAACTAAATTAGATGGATCCCCATCCCCATTTCATTCATTCATATAGTACGTATTTTAGTCATTATTAGAAAGACATGCTGCTGCCCATCTCCCGATTTGATTCCCTCTGTCACCTCATCGACACCCACGGGACGATATGGGGTAGTGGATGTTCTTACACCGCCACTGCACTGTCATGAAACTGAATTGCTATTTTAAGTGCTAATTTATCGCGTGTCCAGCGATATAGAAAAATATCGTTAGCAAAACTGCATGCATGAGAAATATTTCGGTATAGTAATATATTTTAATAATCCGGTCGTTCAGAAAATTCTGCTGTCATGAAAGGACTGGACTGCAAAATGCCGCCTCAAAGCGTTGGATGTGGTGAGAAGGCGTTCCTAAAGGCTTATTGATGACTTTTTTTTAGATGAAACGAAACGTGTCAGTCTCAGCCAAGAGCAGAATAGTTAGCTTTTTGGTATACTATAGGATATATTTCAAGAATTACATGATTTAATACCTCCCTTCCCTTTTCACCATCGGACAACTAACAACCTCTCTACGCCTTTACTGTTGATAAAAACTAAAGAAGATTTGTACAAAAACTCTCCACAACAGCGCTGGAGTAGCTACTGGGATGATATGAACTTAGCAGTTGTCGCCAGTTTAAGTGTGCTGCTAAACTGCTCAGTAGCTCGAAAAAGTCGTCTATCCCACTAATATTTTTGGTACGTTCTTTTAAATTTACCCCGTAGTTATAGTGGCGCCACCCTTATTTAATAGTTTTATGGACACTTTTTAATACACAGTCTGTACTCCTTACTTCTACACTCCATAGCCCGAGTGTTTTAATAAATAAGACAAGTAAGATATAGATCTAACAAACAAATAGATGGGACAGTGAAATTATTTCGAGTGTTACTTTTTTGTTATTTGATTTGTTACTTAAAATTTAAGGATGTGAGTGATATTAATATAAAACTGATTCGAATTTAAAAACAAACTTAAAAAAAAAACATTTTTATTTAAGATCTCTATTAAAAAAAGTGATATATATATATATATATATATATATATATATATATATATATATATATATATATATATAGTGTGTGTGTGCGTGTGTGCGTGTGTGTGTGTGCGTGTGTGTGTGTGTGTGTGTGTGTGTGTGTGTGTGTGTGCATATATATATATATATATATATATATTCATTTCATCCCAGTAGCTTCTCCAGCGCTGTTGTGGAGAGTTTTTGAACAGTTATTTACTGCTTACAGATGGCCCCTTTTTGAACTGTTCTAGTATGAGAGTTGGTACTCCCTACTTCTACACACCATAACTCGGGCGTAAGGTCGCTAATCAGTTAGTTTAAACCTCACTGTCGTTAGATGGCGTTCACTTGATTGTGTAAATGTGTGCGTGCATCATTCGAGGTCAGTTGGCTCTTGTAGTCCCCTTAAGTAAATAAAACTATTAATGTACAGATTGAAAACTAACCAGCGTTCCCCACAGCGTCATGGCCGTCGTCCGTGCTGTCGTCTTCGATGGCGCTTTTGGACGGCGTGATACATTCGCTGCTTACGCTCTGATTATCTAAACCCTGAAAAATAGTTTTCCTTGAAAACTGCCAGCTAATAAAATAAATCGAATAAAATAAAATAATAAATCTAGGTAGTAAGGACTCCCTTTACTCTCTGGAAAACCGTCTATGCTTTTGCTTCTTTCTGCCGCCTTGCAGTAATTCCACTCTATGAGGCATTCTATCGGGCTTTCTAAAGGCATATGGTTGTGGTTAGCATAGAACGGCTCCATGGTGCAGTGGCTTAGCAATGAGTTGCTTCGTTGAAGACCATAGGTTAGGACCATTAGGACCCTACAAACTATTGTTCTGGGTTATGGATGATTATCGTTGTACAATTTATGTATGTTAACTGCCTCCATAATACTGGATAAAATTCTTATGTGGGGATAACATTTTTTCAGGAGAAAAAATTATAGCATAGCACCACCAGTGCGATGGTGCCAACTCTGTGCTTATCAACTTACCTGCATAGCGTGCTAAATGTGGGCAAATCTTTAAATAAATACGTTCCAGTTAATGTCTTTTTTCAGATATATCCAGCAGAGGACTTAAAAATGCTTATGATGAAGTAAGATGTGATACCTAAGTCCTCAATCACGAATACCAAACTGCACTAGCAATAAAAGTTAAGCACAGCTATTTTATGTTGTCAAAATAAAGTCGAAAATACGCTCCTTCAGGTCTATTGGAGGGTATTATTTATATTTGTCGGGTTATAACACAAAAAGTAATTGTTACATAAGCGCACACACAACAAAATATAAACTAACTAAAAACTAATAACTAAAACTAAAAGCAATGAAAATCATAAAAATTACATTATGAGTGTAGAGCGAACGTCGTTGCAACGTGTCCTGCGATCTGAAACCGGAATCCGTACTGCACACGCTCGAGAGACGCAATGCTGACTACAGTCATAAAAAAATTAATAAAAATAAAGTATAATAAATAAAAAATTCTGTGTACTAAAAATTATATCCGTTTGTAGATCTTACGCTGAACTTTGAAGACACTTAATTTTAAGAATGTACACTTATATTCAGCCATATCAAAAAAAAACAGTTTAACAGTTAATCAGTTTGCACTTTTTTGGTTAATGTTCAAATCACTAAGCACCACTTCAAAAAATTTAAAAATTTAAAATAATTGAAATTGTTTTATTACATTTATTTGAGTATTCAAATAAATACTTGAATTAATATTACATAGCTGAAATAGCCTTTGATAATATCGTCGGTGACAGACAGATAAAGATAGATAGATAAATCTAGGCAGACCAAAATTATTTTATCGGTGTCCCGTGTTTAAATACGAAACACAAAAAAATATGAAAACAAAAATATATCTGTTGGCGGTTTCCCTATACCAATTTTCTAATTAACAAAAAATGTATTCCCAAATGCGACGTTTAATTACCAAATCGAATACTTATAATAAAAAAGGTATTAGCAAACTTTCTACATTTTATAATGTACAACTTTACTATAGCATTAAACTACGAAATTTGCTGAATAATACAATAACTACAAGTAAGTAAAAGATAAAAGGAACTAATAACTATAGTTCATAATACAAAAAAGCTTTTAACATTTACACAACAAGCAAAAATGAACCTAAAATCTTACTCATAAATCCGAAAATCACTTACCTGTGACAGACAATGTTGCGATTCCCCTCCAGCCGCTGATATCGTACCACCGGAGGAATTAGAAATCGGTGTTGAACAACTGACGGTTGATCCGGAAACACCTGAAAATAAATTAATACTTGAAATAATAACTATTTGACCGTCGCCGCTCAAAGAGCCGTGGTAGCTCAGAGATGAAGAGTTCGCTGTATATTTCGTCCAGCGTGATAGCTGTAACTTTTTATTACTTTTTAACAGAAAACATTGTTCAATGAATAATCATTAATGATGATGTAGTTTAACAAAAACAGATTCGCCCTAGGATATTCTCTTGTATTTTTTTATAGAAGTAAGTGTGACAAGCGAGCCCACAGTCCATTTGATGGTAAGTGGGTGCTGTGGCCTATAGACATCTACAGCATGCCTCAATAGAATCAAAATGCAAATGCGTAATCATCTCAAAGAACTAAGATGGAAAGTTTTGTCACCAGTAAAAAGGGTATTCGATTCTCTGCACTCAATATACTAAGCACAGTAGCATTAAGCTACAATTTTACGAGGCGTTTCTGTGAGAGCGTAGTACCTCCCGGGTCAGGCCGATACATTCATGTTGTGACCATAATACAGCGTGACTGTATCACGTATTAAAATTGATGCATCATTGTAAAACTTGACTTTAAATTAAAAAAAAAATTGCGTTTGCAAACCGTGAAAACTGTGGCAAATATACCTCAATGAGGCGAATCTATGTCCCACATATATGTTCAGCAGTGGACTTTTAAAAGGCTTGTAGGTAAAGGTTTTTTTTATTATAGGATAGGGTGACAAACGAGCACACACGAGCACACACGGTTACCATCAGGTGGACTGCATCAGGTGGATGGTAAGTGGTTGCTGTGGCTGTGGGTAGACATCTAGATCTATCCTCGATTACGAATCAAAATGCAGATGCGTTGTAACCCGTGAGGACTAAGATGGAATGCCTCGAAAAAGGGTATCCAGTTATCTACACTCACCATACGAAACACTACAGCATTAAGCTACTATTTCACGCTGGCATTCTGTGAGAGCGTGGTCCTTCCCTGATCGAGCCGACCCATTCGTGCTAAAACTATATTACTAATATAACCGCAGCATGGCTCTACCAGTACAGTACACTACAGTACAGGTAAATTTACAGACTAAGACTATGTATTACCGTTACCATATCATATTATTATCATAGTCGCCGCGTTGCTCCCAGTGCGAGTGTGCGGACTTAAAGCCCTCGAAATATTTTATATGAGACATGCGGGTTTCCTCATGATGTTTTCCTTCACCGCCGAGTAAGTGGTAAATCTTCACTTAAAATTGTAATTAACAATTTCATTGATGCCAGCCGGGATCGAAATAGAATTGCTCGAATATGAATTATATGGAGATACGTTTAGTGCCTGAACTATTGCGGTTCTGCTATACATACATTATTAAACTAGTAATAATAAATATAACTATTGTACAACACAAACATAAAATTACAAAAGTGGAAAGTGCGCCTTAGATGGGCGACCTTATTATTATTACCTTTATTGGCCTTTTAGGCAAAATAAAAGTTTATATTATGATTTCTTATATTTACACAAACTAGACATTAAATAAAACTGTTTGTACGGATTAATCGCGGTTAATTGAACTTAATTTTTACATATTTTAAATCACGACGTTTTGGGTGGCTTTAATAAAATCCGAAAAACATTATTTTATACAACTTCATGTTCAAAGGTCCCAAGAACCTTAAATGATTTTCAACTAACCGTGTTGCTGGTCCGAGCACTGACTGTTAAGAGAAGAGATAGAAGTGAGGGAAGATTTGCGGCTTCCGAGACGGGAAGAGGTAGACGGAGAATGTGGCGCGGAGTCGCTCTCCGCCCAGCCACTGTAGCAAGACTTCACGTCGCAGATAACCTGAAAATTAATATTCAATCGTGTATTTGTTATCATCATTATAATAGTCTGAAATACAATATTATAAAAGGTGGTGTGCAATTTGGTCTTATTTTATTTAAAAAATGCATAATCAATTTTATTTAAAAAAAAAATCAATTGTTTATTATGCACTTGCGCGTGAAATAAAATTGATATTATTATTTGTTCTACGGATATGCGAGACGAAAAACTTCGTCAAAGGCATGTCGAACAATGACATTACTTAGCAACTCAGTATGTGTTGTGGTGACGCCTCAACGCTGATTTTCACCGGTGATAAAAAAAACTTGGAGAATACAGCCACGGGAATAAATTAAAGTAGGAAAATTGCGTGCACGCGTAACTTTCACTGAACGCAATCCTTTTATTGCGTATAAAATATAGGCTTGAGTAAAAAATATGTATATATCGAAACATCGATATTTTCTCAAAATCCGATATTTTTAAATATCGATATTCGATATTTATGTTTGAGAATCGATTTTGTATCAATTTCGATATTGTAAAATTAATAGACAAAACGTTATGCAACTAAAGTAGCTACAAAAGCATTCATGTGGTGTTGTTCTTTTTTTCGTCGTCCAACCGTCTAGTAATACCATTTTGGGCCTTGTTCTACTACATCATGCAAAATATGACGATATATCGATATTTATCACGCGATATATATCGATACTGTTTAAAAATATCGATACAATATATTTCGAAATATTTTTTTCACTTACCCATCCTCTAATGAAATATATAGCGGCAATGAAACTGCTATGTAAATAAATAAAGCCATAAAATTCATTGAGAATGAAAAAATATAAACACTGTTTCAGAAACAAAATGTACGTACCTACTACAAAATGATGGTAATTTTTACATGTTTATCGGCATGTTTCAGTGCTCCCCGCAGTATGGTGGGGAGCACTGAAACAAATCAGTTGCGCAACAGGTGCATACGAGTGTGGATACATTTGTTTATAAACATGGTTGTAGCGTGGAAAGATGAAACTGTTTTTAAATTAATAGAACTGCTTGATAAAAAAACGAATATTATGGGATTGCTCGACAAAGGATTACAAAAATAAAATAAAAAAGAATGACGCCTGGGAAGAAATTTCGAACACGTTGGCATTTCCAAAAAAGTAGGCACCACACAACAACACTACTTCTTCGGGCGACATGATCTAAGCAACTGATGTGTGGACGGCAGAGTTTCCGAAACATTGTTCCTGAAAACATCTATGTGATGTTTCAGAAACTGTGTATCTGAAACATTGTTTCTCAATGAATACATGGCTTAAACAGCGTCGAAAAGTCGTGAGATGCCTGGTACTGCAATACACTAATTACCTGCCGTACTTGGTTAGGCAATTCTTCCATGCAGCGGGACAGCCCATGTATGATGAAGAAGAAATGATGGGACATAATAAAATATTACTTGGCTCTCGTCATTCTTTTTAATCTTATCACACATACAATAAGATACACTTAATGAGGAGATATGATTACTAATGTCAATAAAAGACAGACATAAGATCTATATAAGACATAACGAATAAGGTTAAGCTTATCATATAACATCACAGTCAACCAAAAAACTATACAAATATGCAAGTATGAGTCATATTTGTATACATAATCTTCTATATATATATATATATATATATATATATATATATATATATTAATATATATATATATATATATATATATATATATATATATATAAGAGATTTCCACCTGTGTAACTCATAACGATATCTCTGGAGTCATACACAAGGCCTAGAGACTTTAAATTTGGTAGGAATATTCCTTTCACCGAGTAGATATACAGATTTTACGAAATTCGTGGGGTTGTTAATGAAAAAAATCACTTTTCCAAACTATAGCTCTCATAAGTATAAAACTTGTCCAGAATATTCTTTCGATTTGAAAGTATTTTATGAAATTCCACTAGGGCAGTGCGGGGATTGTTAAAAAAACTTTTTTTAATCATATATAGCTCCTACAGGTTTGAAATTTGGCGAAAGTATTATTTTTGTGATCTTGAGTTCAACTGAGAACGAATTTTACGAAATTACACTCACGAAGGGGATTGCGGGGGCGTTATAATTCTTCTATATAAAACACAAAAAATGTTTCTACCTACGTCCGTTATAGACTTTGAACCCATGCTACCGATTTTGATAAATTTTTTTGTGTATGTTTGAATGGGTCCTTAGATAGTTTATATTCCCATTTGGACCCTGTAGGTGGCTCTGTTGTTGAGATCCAGAAATCACCCGTGCGAAACCGGGGTGGATCGATAGCGTTATATAAATTTGTGTACATATTTATATACATCAATAAAATTGGTACATACAAATAATTATGAATATATATACGTCTGTTTAGGAATACATAATATGATATAGGTACTTGGATGATTCATGTAACAAGCGAGGTCTTCAATACATGATCACGAAATAACTTTTTAAAAGTAAGTATATTTATTTATTGGGTACTTTTCTGATGTCTAAGGGCAAGGGGTTCCGAAATATGTATCGTATGTATGTATTCGAATAATATGACAAATTTTATTGAGGAATATTAACATACACAAATTTTGTTTGGTTATTTCATTTGAATAAACAATGTGAAAATAGACCAATACATTGCTAATGTAGAATTTATTTATTTTCATATATATGCCTTCCAGATGTTAAAAGTCAGACATACCTGGAGACTACCCGCCGGCAAAGTCCTAGGTTCAGACGTATGCCGTGTTAATTGCTCACTTCCTTCCTGCAGGTGTCCAACCTCGGCTAACATCGCCACTTCACTCTCCTGCAAAGCGGAATGCACAACACTATAACATAAGATATATCTTAACACAACATATTCTATATATAGAATATGAATAAGATTTTAAACAGAAATTTTCTGTTCAGTTGGCTTTACCCTCAACTGAATGTCAAACAAAATTCATTGAACTAATAAAATTAATTCTATCTATCACCCTTATTACCTTCCGTAGCGTAGGTGTCATAAGAAAAATTGATGAGATATTCGAAGTACGATGACTTACGATAGGCACTTTTATTACCACAGCATTTACGCTAAACGTTAATTTTTTTAATGAATAAGGGTGACAAACGAGTAGACAGTCCACCTGATGGTAAATGGATGCTGTGCTACATTTATCCTCGATTAAGTATCAAAACGCAGATGCAATGTAACCTCTGAGGAATAAGATATAATGTCTCGTTTCCAGTAAAAAAGGGTCTCAAAATCTCTACACTCACCATACGAAATACAGCAGTATTAAGCTGTTATTTTACGCTGCTATTCTGTGAGAGCGTGGTCCTTCCCCGATCGAGCCGACCCATTCGTGCTACAACCATAATATAGCTGCAGTGTGGCTGTACCACGTATGAAAATGAATACCGGGAAATATCAATACCGGGTAATTGATCACCAGTGCGATTAACTGGTATAATCCTCCCAACAATATGTAACCTTAATGTGCTCATTATAAAAGAAAAGATTCGATTTTCAGTGACCGAGATTGCTTAGTAGGATAATTTTATATGCACTCAATGAAAATTGTTAGGTAAACATTGTATGAGTAGAACTTGTATGTTAGTTTAACTTTTGCTGTAATTTTACTTTGTAGAGCTTGTTATTAACAATTACTTTATCATTAGGACACTGGTATTTGTAATAACGATCTTATTCCTTCATATCTGTAAAAAGTGTTAGTTTGCGGTCTTTAGAAAATTGCTGGTTTGTTAAGAACTGTTAAAGAACCTCCTCTAATTTCTGTGATGGTTTTAGGGCAAGGAAATGTCCGCCACGCTGCCCCAATGCGAGTTAGTAAACTTCACATGTCTGAGAAATATATTTTTTTCTTATTTCTCAGACATACACGTTTCTTCACGATAATTTTTTCCCCACGAATCACATGGTAAAGTAGCACTTAAAACTGTTTTGCTAAACATCTGAAACTCAAGTTTATTATGTATATTTTTACAATTTGTGAAAATTTAAAACGGTTTATGAAATAAAATAATATACAAATGCATATAAAAGTCCTTAATTATAGAACATGTTCATGTTTTATTAGTAAGTTCTTACAACTATGTTGGTATGTGTTCGTTTGTCAATTTTTTAAAGAAAAACTACATATCCTCACCACGACGGGATTCAGCAAGGTAACAAAGTGACAGAAGCGGCTTCGTTCCTCGATTAGTGCAGCCTTCACAGCTTTCTCCTCCATCTCCTCCAACTGCTGCTTGCGCTCTTGAATGTCCTGATGACAGCAAAATTAACATGAAACGAAACTCTCGGCTTATCCGGATCTGTAGGTTTGTTTATATTAAACTAAAGAACAACTAGATGCATTTTTATGCGGTATTCTTCAAGATATATCATGGAAGATTTTCATACATATTTTATGGAGGGATAGTGGCGAAAGTTTGTCGTTTAATGATCGAGATGTCAAAAGGTAACTCATCAAGTTATCATACTGGTGAATCGCGTCCCTGCGAAGGCCGGTGTCGGTATTACTTCATAACCAGTAAAGATGTTTGTACTACAACCACAATTGTATTATGTATTCGACAGTGTCCGACAGACGCTCCGACTTTGGCTTCGGCCACTTTCGGTCAAAAAACCTTCGGCTTCAGCGTGAATGACCCATTTTGGCTGAAGCCTAAGGTTTTTCTAGCAAGCGCTGAAATTGAACAAACTGTTACGAATAAGCGAGAGCACGATAGACGTGACGAGGCAATATTTATCACCTCTAGATCAACTTGTAGATATGATTAAAATTACTCTTTTATATTATAAAGTCAATATTAACCTTTAATTTAAAAGTTTCGAAATAAATTTATATTAATAATTTTTGCCAATCTTGAACTGAATTTGTTAAGGTTTAAAGCCTTCAGCCTTGACTTCAGCTTCAGCCAAAAGTTGTGGCGATAGCCGATCAATCGGCTTCAGATTTGGCTTCAGCTTGGGCCTAAAATCAGCCTTCGGTCGAACACTAGTGTTCAAGAATGAATCTATTGTTTATTATTGTAGATAACACTTCAAGTAAAAAATATTTTTTTTTCTTGTGAGATTGTATTCATCATTATTACATCATCACAAATCCACTGCTGAATATAGCCAATCTAAGGGCTTCCCCCTTAGATTGACACAAAGCATTGTACTGAGTCTATTGCGTCCATCGACTATATGCACTAATGACGACCTGATGAATTATAATTAGCCTGACATATAGCTCGAAGAACTGACATACATGTTAGGAAAGGTTTTCGAATGGACCCACGTAACAGTAAGCGAAGTCTAGAGCGGCCCCCACTAAATGAAGTGACGATCTAGTAAGCGATGCAGGAAGTGGATGGGTGCAGGTGGCTCAGGACCGTGCTTTGTGATATTCCTCGGGAGAACCCTATGTCCAGCATTGGACTTGTCGGCTGTAATGTTGATGATAATGATCTTATGTGTTACACTCGTACAAAATACATAATTTCTGTATTGTTTCTACATTTATTTAAACCAATAGTTTGACATTAATTGCAGTTTTGTTATAGAATAGGGGTGAGAAATAACCACACAGTCCACCTGATGATAAGTGGATGTAGTGACCGATTCACATCAACATTGATCTTCAATTAATAATAAAAATGACGATGTGTTTTATTCCTGAGGACTAAGATTGAATGCTTTATTTCCGGGTCTCCGGATCTCTGCACACGCCTAACGAAACATAGCATCATTAAGCTGCTTTTTTACGCTGGTATTCCGTGAAAAGTAGCTACGACCACAATATAACTGCAGCATGGCTCTACCATATATAAAAAACTAATACTTTAATCGCTTATTTTACTAAGTTATCATCAAAAAAGGTCATGTACCTGCAAGCAAACATCGACACGTTTCTTCGCATCTGGCGGGGCACGCCTCGCTTTTCTGGCGTGGCGTTGAGCTTCCTGCACTCGTCGCCTCAGTTCCGCCCGGGCCCTCTTGCACTCGCGGGCGTGTTCCCTTCCTAGCGCACCGGTAGCCCCGGCGCAACCCCTCCGCCATTCCTCAGCACGTTCGGACAACGGCGAGATAAGGCGGTCCATTAACGTACTGTGGAACAAAATTAAGAGAAAATTATTATTTCACTATAGACAGGTCTGGTGACCGTGTAGGGGCGGTAAAAGAATATCCACTATCCTATATCGTTCCGTTCGTATCGTAAGAGGCAACAAAGGTGAACAAACCAGGAGATGAACAGCAACGTCTTCCTGATAACAACTTAAAATTATAAAAACTGCCGTTGCCAACTTCCGGTTGGTAACTAGGCCACATCCTCCCTACAAGACAATGTATGAAGAAGAGATCTATGTTCAGTAGTGGACTTTAATAGGTTGTAATTAATGGATAATGGAAGGCGATGATCTCTGATGCGAAGACGTAAGGTACCGCATCACCCAATTTCGTCTCATGGATATCAAATGAGGCGACTGTGGGAAATGCTCGGAAAAAATATCTATACATATTATTAAAATTGAAGTGTCTGTCTATAATATTAACATCTAATATGCTAGACTTCTAATATTCTCAGGAGGTTATTTGCATGTATCTTCGAAATGACTGAACCGATTGTAATTAAACTTCACGAACAGATAAAAAGCAATGCAAGAAGTGACTAGGATATGTTTCATGTTTCAACATGGGAACATAATTTTTTTTATACCCCTTTTTACTGTCATAAATTTTAATTTTAAATAATTTTTAATATTATATAATAAATAAACATTATAAATATAATACATAGATAAACAAATTATAGAAATAGAACTAAGAATAGGGAAGGAACTAGCCCCTGAAATACAGGTATTATATCCTAGTTTAGGGGCCGAATGTAAATTTGGTGCATGTAAATGTTAATAAAGATATTTATAAAAAAAAACGACAAATTAACGAAATAAAAAAACCTTGGTTAACTTAAAACTAGTTAACACCACATTAATAGGATCCTACCCTGGGGAAGTCAGGGCGGTTTGCAAGCATAATAATAATATCATAGATTGCGGTATACGAATAGTACTTGTAAATATCTCGTTCACGTCAGACGATTAATCGAAGGAGAATGCCCCTCCTGATCCTAGCGTCAAACCGCCTGCAAAGTGTGACGATTAAAACTTCCTTCAACGTAGAATGGCTTGTTTCCAGTAATAAAGGTCTTTGGTTCTCCACGCTTACCATATGAATCACAGCAGCATTTAGCTATTATTTAACGCTGGAATTGTTTGAGAGTACCACGACTTCACGGTCGGTATTTCCCCGATCTAGCCGACCTATTTTTATTGCAGGTATACAACAGCTCTTCCACGAAAAAACACTTGAATATAATACTGCTAAGCGTCTATGACTTAGATACAAAAAGAAAAGGAGAGGTTAAACAATATCCAAATATACAAGAAACTACGTGCAGCACCATCTAGATAGTGAAAACTTAGGTTGCTCCAAGTCCAATTTTTTTAACCAACTTCAAAAAGGAGGAGGTATTCAATTCGGCTTTATGTTTTTTATGTGTCGTATCTGAGGTAACAGAACTTTTCTCTGGGTGAACCGAACCGATTTTGACGATTCTTTTTTATTTGAAAGCTAGTGCTTCTCGTGTGGTCCCATATAAATTTGACCAGTAGTTTTTGAGATATCCTTTAAAATGCGTATTTAATTGACATCGACTACATTAATGATGTTCTCATTTTATTTAAATATTAAAGTCGGTTCTATAATTTTTTTTATTTTACCACTTATACTTTACTATTGTATTATATGATATTCAAATACGTTATACAGTCATATTGTTTTACTACGTATTAGCATTGATAGCCTTTTGCCCAAGGTTACGCCTGCGCTGTATGTATTTTCTGCTCATGTAACAGCTCTTTTAGTATATACATAATGTCAATCAGTTCTCTAGGTTTACAATAAGGAAAACCAATTCGTTGAGTTGTTCTAAAGTTATATGTAGTTACAACTGAACATAACGAAATTATTAGCACCCATACCTATTTATTCGATGACGTGGAAAACAATATAATTTCCTCAGGAACGACACTTATTTTGATAAACTTGGAAAGTAACACTATCTAAATATCTAATTTCATTCAAATCGCTTTTTCGAACCGTTTCTTAGAAATCTAAGTACATTACATATAAGCAGTACGGATAAAGAATGTGATCATCGAGCCCGTACCGTCAATATGCACAGTACCAATAGCGAAAACACGCTTATAACCGGCATATTGTTATAACGTAATATTATTCGGTTTATTGGAAATTTTCTTTTAATGGGAAAATATTTGATCTCACGGAATACCAGCTTGAAGTAGAGGTTTACCTTTGTGTTTCCCTTAGGAAATGCAGGTGGCCGGAGGCCCGATTCCACTTCCCCCGTTAGCATGGTAATGAAATCGAATAAAAAAAACTACCCCAGGAGAGTATCAGCTTCCTGGTGATAGAGAATGTTTTGCTGAGCATCCACAACCACGCTATCCTAATCTTCCTCAGCGTGTGTGCTCAGGCTGCCCCACGTATTCTGGGAGGGGGGGAGGCGAAATTCCACTCGCGACTAAAACTGTTCGGGGCAAGCGGAACAATAAGACCAAGGCGATCCCTGTCACGCTATTCGTGAATTTTCTCATAAGCGGGGGACTTCATTTTAACCTTAACGCTGTCCACTACAACCAGGTGACGGCGAAATATTCTATTAAGGGAAAAATATTTGATAAGAATTGTATACCCAAAAAGGTGCATTAATTTTAAAATACATTTACAACTAGCGACCCTTTGACCGAAAATGATTAAGACTGTGTTTGCCAACCCGCCTGCCAAGCATGGTTACTATGGCAACATCCTCCCTACAAGACAATGTATGAAAAAGAGATCTATGTTCAGCAGTGGACTTTAATAGGTTGTAATTAATAGATAATGGGAGATAATCTCTGATGCGAAGACGTAAGATACTGCATCACCTCATTTCGTCTCATGGATATGAAAAGAGACGACATTTTATACCTTTGGGTGACAAACGAGCACACAGTCCACCTGATGGTAAGTGGATGCTGTGGCCCATAGACATCTACATTTATCTTCAATTAAGAATCAAAATGCAGATGCGTTCCCCCCTGAGAACTCGGATGGAATGACTCGTTTCCAGTAAAAAGTTAAAACCGGGAAAACAACAGTTTATTCGAAACATGAGGAGATAAAGATCTTCCTGTATTCACGTGATGGATAAATGTGGATTTCCACTGACCAAAAGAGATGTCCGCTCTTTGATATTAGAATACATTCTTAGTAATGGAATCATTGGAAGAAATCATTGAAAGGAATTGAATATTGGAAGTAATTGCCTACATTTTCTATTTAAAATATTATTTCGAGCGATAACGTTTTCACCGCCCCGCCCCCGCCCCCTAAACCTTTTTGAGAAATGACATCATGCTTGACATTTAAGAAAAGAGATAATTTTGGTCTCATTAGATTCAGTTTACTTTAATTTAGGTCTGTACGTTTTTCTGTTTTAGTAATTCAAATTTGTTTAATTAAAAAAAGCTCGAGGAAGTGTTTAAGTATAAAATATAGATATTTAGATGCTAATAACTTATATCGTACGCAATATTTCCTTAAAATAAAAAGTACAGTTCCAGTTTTTAGTTATATCAACAACATTTTCAAAACATCTACATATTATGATTACACTTCGATTAAAAAAATTGAAAGATAGCTATACAATATAGGCTTCTTTTTTATTTACCTGTTATATCCTAAGTATTATATATGATTTTTTTACAGTAAATATATAATATATTATATCACCGTGAATCAGCTGGTATAATATATAATATAGTGGGTGGACGTCTGTTAGTGACTGTATAACTTCTGTACAATTTGACCAAGGTTAGTCTACTACCCCATGAAAACTGAAACAGGAAATGGGCTGCAGTACCTACCTGATAACTTAAAATTATAAAAAGCTGTGGTTACCAACCCACCTGTTAAGCTTGGCAACTGTGGCAACATCTCCCTTAGGAGGCAATCCATGGGGAGGCCTAAGTTCAGTAGTAGACTTTTATATGCTGTAATGGATGGATGGATGATCGATTGAGATCATATTCACACGAATTATTTGTTTGGTCATGGCGATGATTCATAGCTTTGTTATGATCCGATAGGTTTCGCTAAGTTATTAACGAATTGTCTATTTATGGACAAATATTACTTATATTCACTACTTAGGTATTATGTTGGTTTAGTACCAACAAAGAAAATTACAAAATCTAGACCCGATAGGTGGTAAGTTACGCTGTGGTAAATTAAACATAAAATTTAGTATTATAGTGTAGAACATTACCACGTCACTTACCGGAAAGGGCAGTACCTACAACCATATTCCGAGCCAGCTAATAATTATAAGTCATTTCTTACTTTTACCTTTTACCATCGGGTCGGAAAAACCTCTGTCCTGGAAAGAACCAGCGAAAACCTAGAGGGGCTTATTAAAAGTAGGTGACTTTTTGCAAATTATATAATTATTGAATTAACAAAATATTCTTATTCATTTATTTAAAAATCTTCCGAAAATCGGATTTTTTATAGGATAGGGTGACAAACGAGCACACAATCCACCTGATGGTAAGTGGTTTCTGTGGCCCACAGACATCTACATCTATCCTCGATTATAAATCAAAATGCAGATGCGTTGTCACCCGTGAGGACTAAGATGGAAATTTTCGTTTCCAGTAAAAAGAATATCCAGTTCTCTACAATAAACGGACTTACCACACGAAACACAGCAGCATAAAGCTGCTATTTTACACTGGTAACCTGTCCTTCAGTCCTTCCCCGGTCGAGCCGACCCAATCGTGCTACAACCATAATATAGCTGCAGCACTACTCTACTACATCAAACTAATAGAAACTAAGTAGTACCTATGTATTATTTTATTACGTATTTTAAAGGTTGAAACAACGAACACGTAAGGGCGCTTTTTATGCAATCAATAAATAAAATATTACCTTATGAAAGTCTTCATCCTGGATTCGATAGCACGGTGGCGCAGGCATACCCTCGTCAGCGCCGTGCCTATTTCTTTTGTCGCTCCTGGAACAAAGAAGACTAGTTAAAATATGACATGCTTTATTTATCATTTTACGTGGAAGTGCTGGTATAAATGGGTCGGCTTGACCGGGGAAGGAAAGGAAAACGTTTTACGTGGTAGAGCCATGCTGCAGCTATCTTATATATGGTTGTAGGCTACAACCATAAGATATACTTGTAGCACGAATGGGCGGCTCGACAGGGGAAGGACCACGCTCTCACAGAACATCAGCGTAAAATAACAGCTCAATGCTGCTGTGTTTCGTATGGAGAGTGTAGAGAACCGGCGACCCATTTTATTGGAAACGAGGCAGTCCCTCTTAGCCCTCACAGGTGACAACGCGTCTTCATTTTGATTCCTAATAGAAGATAGATGTAGATGTCTACGGACCACAGCAACCTTTTACTATCAGGTGGACTGTGTGCTCGTTTGTCACCCTCATCCTATAAAAAAAGTGTAAGTGTGCTTGTTTGTCAGTCATCCTCAACCAATTAAAAAACAGTTTATAAATATTACGTATAAATGCAAGATGTCGTATATAAAGTATTTAAGATACCCGAAACGTAACAAAGTAAGCGTGAAAAACGAGTACACAGTCTATCTAATGATATGTTAATTATGTGGCCCATAAACTTCAGATCAAAATGAAGATGCGTAGTCACCCCTGAGGGCTAAGAAGGAATGCTTGGTTGCTATTAAAAAGGATCTATTTGTTAAGCAGGTAACACGTTGGTCATCAGGAATCTCTATCGATAGAGAACAGCCCCTGAAGTCTTCCCTCCTTCCCTATAAGTTACCAGGCGGCTGCCCCGAGGAGGCACGCGCAGTGTTCATACGCACATCTTATGTAGCAGCAAGAAGTAAGGACAGATATCTCAGGAAACAAATCCCTTAAACACTGAGGGTTCCGATTAGGGCCACCGTTGGTGGATCTCCGGCAATGTACGGAAGCGTTGCCATAGCTCTGATTTACGAAGAGAAGGTGAATAGCGTGGAATTTTAGTCAGTCCAACATTCAATAGGATTTTCCCATTTACAAAAAACGTTTTAAAACACTTTACAACGGATGTTAGTAGATTAGCAACAGCGAGCCTTTATATTTTCACGCAACTTTGAAGCACTCTCATTTGTTCCATGCATTGACAAATGGAAACTTCAGATGTCGATACATTTTGTGAAAAAAAAAATGGGTGTATATATCTTTATAATATTATATGTATGTGTATATAATTCTTCTGTCCGTGTGTATGTGAGTGAATTCCTCCTAAACTGCTGGACCGACTATGATAAAATTTTCTGTGTGATTAAGTTGATTCGAGAATGGTTTATATTCACAATTGTACCCGGTAAGGTGTTGCTGTTCAAGATCCAAATCACCCGAGTGAAGCCGGGGCAAATCGTTGGTGTCTTATAATTTATTTGTACTTCATCATAAGCCAATGCTTGATTACAATCCCACCTGGTGGTAAGCGATGATAAAGCCCTCGGTAGTAAATCGCACTGTCTTAGCGTAATAAATGCCTATTCTATCTTGCCTTAAAGACGCCCATTTTGTATATTTATTTTGAATAATTATTCTACTACTTCGCAGTACGTATAATGAAAGACGAAACAGACCATTTTGTTCAAATGAGTGGAATGTCGACAAAAGAGGTAAAGGCCCGCCTGGTTGGACGGTCGGTGGAAGGGGAGATAAGAATTTGAGTGATAATGAAATGAAATGAATTGAAAACTTGTTATTCGAATACGTAAGTTTTTTGATTAAGATTTTTAGCTTGGATGCTTGTCCTTTAAGCCACGTCTTCAGTTCATTGGGGATTTTCATTTATATAGATATTTTCTTCACAATATGCTGATGCGTCACATTGCGAAGGTTTTGAGAGATTTCGACAGCTCAACCCAGCGGACTATCGATAACGACACTTAAGTTCATAAGGCGCCTAAGCGATTAAAATAACTTGAAATTTATATCAACATTGCAGCACTTGTTTCGTCGTTTTCTGTGGTAGTTTAATGCATAGACACTAATACACAAAATCACTTCACTTTTACGTATCAAAATCTAAGTATTTCAAACCATTATTCAAACGGTAAAACAGGAGCAACAATCCGTCGACGGTCACGTTCCCGCCAAAACGTCCTACGTCAAAACGTTCAGAATCGAAATTCCCTTCCGATTACGCGCAGTTAAAAAGTTGTTCAACCATCAGGCAACTGCTTATTAGCACGGTTACCCCCCGCAAGCTCGCGGACTATCCAACTTTGTTAGTTACCTGGTTAGTCGCACGACAAGATACAAGACGAACCGACACGCGAGCGTGATTTTCTCATGCTCGGACTTGAACCTTCGCCGACGGGTGCGACGTCTGTCAACCGATCACTTGTTGCAAACGAAAAAGTAGAAGAGATCATAGATGAAGTGCAACAAAGACCAGCGTTATACAAAAGACTTGAACATTACTCTAATATAAATGTTAAGAAAAAATTATGGAAGGAAGTCTGCGAAGTTTTAATAAGCAATTCGGCAGAACTAAGTGTGAATGAAAGAAAAGAACAAGTTTAGTCTGCGTTTATTTATTGTGTTTGTAATGAATGTATATAATTCTAAACTTTATCATATTGCAACGAAACAGATCCATCAGGTTGAAGAAAATAAGATATCAGATACTGTCATACATTTACACCATTTGTGATATTGCTTCGCCTATCATTTTTTGTGTGTTTTTTGTAGCTTTGGATATCAAACGAGCACACATTTCCACCTAATGGTAAGTGGATGCTGCGGCCCATAGACATCTACATTTATCCTCAATTAAGGATCAAAATTCGAATACGTAGCAACCCCTGAGGAATAAAATGAAATGCCTCAATTCCAGTGAAAAGGGTCTCCGGTTCTCTACGTTCGCCATACGAAACGCAGCATCATTACGCTGCTATTTTACGCTGGTATTCTGTGAGAGCGTGGTCCTCTCCGGTCGAGTATTCGTGCTGCAACTATAATATAGCTGCAGCGTGGCGCTACCACGTATAAAACATTGTGTACGAAGACAAATTATAAAAACGGTTATTACGAAGCCGTTACTGCCCACCTCTTGGTTAAAAATAGTTTATAAAACCAACATGTTTACATTACATTACAACTAAGATAACGATATATCGGTGATTACCATTATTATAGAGGGTAGGGTTATAAATTCGTAGGGTTAGCACTACACTCTTTAGTCAAATATTTTATTTTCTACTAATTATATATAAGAAGTGTTTGTACAACATGGCTACGATGGCTATCCGAGTACAATATTAACATCAATGGCGAGTACATCACTCACCTTCGATTTGCCGAAGATTTAGTCCTTATGGCAGAATCGCTGGAGGACCTAAGCACTATGCTCAATGACCTCAATATTGTCTCCCAACGGATAGGTCTTAAGATGAACATGGGCAAAACAAAGATCATTTTAATGTCCATGTCACACCTATGCCGGTAGTTACTGGGAGCGCTAAGCTCGAAGTTGTTGACTAGTAGGTTTACCTGGGACAAATAGTCCGACTAGGTAAGTCCAACTTCGACCGAGAGGTCAATCGACGGATTCAACTCGGCTGGGCAGCGTTCGGGAAATTACAACACATCTTCTCGTCAGCTATACCTCAGAACCTGAAACCGAGACTTTACAACCAGTGCGTGTTGCCAGTGCTGACCTATGGAACTGAGTCGTGATCCTTCACTGCTGGCCGTATGAGGACGCTCGAAGTCGCTCAGCGAGCTACGGAGAGGGCTATGCTCGGGGTTTCTCTGCGTGATAAACTTAGAAACGAGGGTATCCGCCGTAGAATCAGAGTAACCGACATAGCTGAACTGATTAGTAAGATGAAGTGGCAATGGGCCGACGATATAGCTCGAAGAACCAAGAACCGTTAGGGTAAAAAGGTTCTCGAGTGGCAGCCTCGTACCGGTAGGCGAAGTGTAGGGCGACCCCCCACTAGATGAAGTGATGACCTGGTAAGACATGCAGGAAGTCGATGGATGCAGGTGGCTCAGGACCGGGCTTTGTAGCATACCTTGGGGGAGGCCTATGTTCAACAATGGCCATGTGAAGGACTGTAATGATAATGATGATGATGATATTTTACGGGTACTTACCTAATTTTAAATTTGAACAGCTATAAAGCTAATAAAGAGAATAATTACATTGCCACATCAACCATATGAAAAACAACAACATAATATGTACTAATATATATTTTAAGTTTAAGTTTCAGCATATATTATACGTTCAGGCACAGGAGGCATAGGGACCTCCTCTCATTTCTGAGAGGTGTTTAGGGCAAGGAAATGTCCACCGCGCTACCTCAATGCGTGTTGGCGAACTTCACATGTCTTCGAAAGATTTTTTATTTCTCAGACATGCAGGGTTCCTCACGAAGTTTTCCTTCACCGCCGATCACGTGGTAAATCAGCACTTAAAATTGCAATTAATAATTTCGTTGGTGCCGGCGGGCATCCAACGCAGATTGCTTGCTTACTGTGACATTTACACCGAACGTTTAGCCCCTGATCTACCACGGTAAGATAATAAAAGTCGAAAAGGCCAAATTTTCATAAAATTTGGTCAGGAGTTTCGGGGGCAATAAATCGATCTAGCTAGGATTTATTTTTAGAAAATGTCTTTTTGTCCGTGTTTTTAGGTAATGAAAAACTGCTACAATATCGTTCGAATGAGAAGGTAAATTTTGACAGTTTATTAATGATTACAATTAGCTTAATTGGTATATTGGGCGGTCACAAAATCGTAATACCATGGTTCGAGCCCAGACCGACTTTTTTAAATTTTTTTTTCAAGTTCCTTTCTTTTTTGAGAAAATCTATTTTTTCGAGCCCTTTTTTTAGTATATTTTAAAAACACGAAAATTTAAATTAAACTAATTGCACTCATGATTTTTTATTCAAATAACCAGTTCAGTTTTTTCTATGTATTATGTCGCTACGATCAAAAAATATTATTCGTATTTCATCAGTATGTAATTTGTATCTAAATATAATTTCCAAAACACACGAATTAAAAAAAAACCGAGCGAAAAATACCGAGCAAAGCTCGGTCAACCGGGTACTAAAATATTTAATTACAGAATATTGACAACCCTAACAAAATTGAAACACCCGCTTTAAAACGCCGCCGTGGAAATATTGGGCACTATTATAATTTTCATTTTTCAGTAGTAGATCGATCGTTGACCGATGCGGATGTGCATTAATGTCAAAGAGAATAAAAAAGTCTTCGATTAATGTGGTTTATTAAGTGTGTTCAAAATGACGTCACTGTTGCTGGTATCCCTTGTGGTGACCACGTATACGTGTTGTGTTGCTGGACGTAAGTGGCCAATTTGAATTAGTTGTTAGCTAGCATCTTTATATTACTTTTATTTATTTTATTATTTTTAAAGATGTTATCCCCTCTCCCCACACACATACACACACACACTAGGATTTTCTCCTGTATCATGGAGGCAGTTTTCATACATAAATTGCACAAGGATAAACATCCAGACCCGAAACAATCACTTGCAGGCCATACAAATACTTGTTTCGTGCTGGATTCGAACCCGCGGCCCTAAACACCGTGACTGATTGCCACAGAGCCGTCAACAATTTCAGTAATAAAATTAATTAATAATGAAATTATTTATTATTAATTTTCTTTTCTTAAGAATGTTTGGTATGAACAATTTAGATATTTTAAGTACATTTAAATAAAATAAAGTGTTAAACGAAAAAGAATTTACAAATACCAGGTGGGTTCCGAATAGACATCTCCTCCCCCCCCCCCCCGCGCCTT